CCGAGCGCCTTTCCCCGGCAGCAGCGGCACGTGATCGACTTACGACCTTCGTAAACTCGGGCTATTGTGGTGCCCCGCAGGGGTGCCCTCATGTTGTCAGACGATCTTTTTGCCTGGCCATTTTTCGAAATAAGAAGTTCGTCCGTGCGTAGCCTCGAGCGTTTTTATTGGGTGCATCTCCGACTTTCTCACGTGCTTTTTTAGGTCCCCACTTTCATTTTTTTCTCGAAATACGTATCTTTTTTTTTTTTGCTATAGCTAACCACGCATTACATACTTAAGTAACCCAAGTTTTACAAGAGCTTGGGTTCGAATCCCACATGCTCCTTTTTTTTTTTTTTTTTATCTTTTTCTTTCATTTTTTAAAAGAATTTTAGCAAAGGTTAATATTCGAGGTTGTCCGCCGCTGCTGCCGGGGAAAGGCACGTGATTCGTAAACTCGGGCTATTGTGGTGCCCCGCAGGGGTGCCCTCATGTAGCATGAAGATTGAAAAGTTCCAAATTAGGTAAGGAGCTTACATGGTGAGCTGAAGAGCCATGCATGTGAGCTACCCTTAACGGCATGCGCCGGCTCAGCCTAGTGGAAAATCCGATCGTGTGGTATGTACATGGAAGTGTAGAATTTGGAATTGGCCAATCAAAATGCGCCATAGTGTCTAATGTGATGTAATTTCGGACCCTGAGGGGATGGCGGATTAACTTGTGCCCCATATATTTTTAATGCGCGAGCCCCTCATAGTTGAAATCCGACCCCGCCGAGGAAAGTCCCCTTCTATAGAAGTCCCTCGGCGAAGACGGGTCTTAGCTTAGATGAGACAAATGGGTCGGTCATCAGTCAGCATTTGCAAGTTGCTTCCTCATTGTCCGGTCTGAAAATCCCGGGATGAGTAATTGCCTACCGTACCTAATTTGTAGTTAGTTATTTCTTAGGTACTCATAAGCTTTCTAATCCCTTCATTGTGCAAAATTACTCATCTAGACTTTGTTGGCTTTTATTCCTAAAAGCGACTTGACTCGAAACAGACAACATCTTGCCTACCACTTATACGCCACCGTTTGATCGTACATCGTGACGCAGTCCTCCAATTTATTCCCGATTTGCGATACTCTAGAGCCTTAGAAAATAATAACATTAGAGTACCTTATACAAATTCGCCTATCATGCCGTCTGCGCTCATCAGCCATAACAAGTTCGACGGCATACCTGAGACAATTGCCGCTTTCCGTACGTGTCCTTAGTCTTAGGTATCTAAGAGGATTTCCCCCGAGATCAATCCATGTCGCAGCCGACTAACGCTAACCTATTGGTATAGGCAATGGCGAATTTATAGTCGTTATGGACGACCCGGGTCGCGAGAACGAAGGAGACTTGATCATAGCTGCCGATAGCATAACAACTGAGCAAATGGCTTTCATGGTTCGACACACGTCCGGCTTGATCTGCGCGCCTATCACACACGCCCTTACAGAATCCCTGAAACTGCCGCAGATGGTAGAAAATAGCGAAGACCCTCGCGGAACCGCCTACACAATTTCCATCGATGCCGCCGACCCCTCCGTTACCACCGGCATTAGCGCCCATGACCGTGCCCTAACAGTCCGACACCTCGCAGACCCCAAATCTACCGCCGCCAGCTTTCGGCGCCCAGGCCATGTATTCCCCCTACGCGCACGTCCAGGCGGTGTCAGGGCTCGGAGAGGGCATACCGAAGCTGGCGTGGACTTTTGTAGACTAGCAGGTAAGCCAGAGGTCGCGGCGATCTGCGAGATAGTCGAAGATGGGGACGAGGTCGCCGGGAGGGCCGTGCGAGAAGGCCCGGGAATGATGAGGGGTGAGGGATGTATCGCATTCGCGAGGAGATGGGGACTCAAGGTCTGCACAATCGAGGATCTAGTCGACTACATAGAAAAGACTGAAGGTAAACTTGGCGCCAACGGGAGTTCGTAGTTCCTTGCCAAGGCATAAGCATAAAAAAGATTTTGCATATAGATGGACATGAGAGCATCTCTCATAAGACTACCCGAAGTGGTCGGCGATGCGCAAGTGTCCGTTGGAGAGACAAGGACATCACCTGGTGAAGCAGATGGAGATACTTTACTTGGATCATACGGGGGCTTATAGAGAAAATGTTGGCGGGATCACAACTCTGAATACTACATTGTATTATACCTACATTGGATCTGATATCGAAGCTAAAATAAAATATCTCGAGATGTATTAACTTTAGGATAACTTACATATATGGTCTGGTGTAGTCTATAGCAAGATAAGCCTTATTTTCACTCTCAAATTCAGAGTCCAAGACCATATTTTACCTTCACTTAGGCTGTGGTTCTCATTACTAACCAATTTACTAACCCTTGAAAATATTAGATACTTGATGTAATTGTCAGAGTTAGGTATGCACACAGGTATACTCCCTCAATGTACCTAGGTACATAGTTAATAAGAGAGGTAGGTATGCAGGTATAAAATCCATGTCACCTACCGGGGCCCGTGTTATTCCCTTTGAAAATGTAACGTATCCGGGGACAAATGGTGCAATGCCGACGTCGGCTTTCTCTCCCGTGACGGTGCCCAGCCGGTGCGGCTAGGGCTAGGCACCGACTTCTTTTTGCTTGCTTACAAGGTACCTAATGTAATCTATCTCGTGGAACATAAACCAATACTATTTCTTACATGCACATTATTGCGTTGGATTTATTGGTGGCTTTTAAACGCCGTTATTGGATAAACTTACTAGATGTTCGAGAGAATCGTAAAGCCCCTCAAATGGTTTTACCATGAGTTCGGAATCGCCGCGATCCACGAGACCGGTCGGAATGCCTACCTTATTATCTTGGCGCGGACGTGCCGGATGTTTGCGTACGGGACCAATGCGCTGATTTTAGGTACGCTTCTGGTTAAACCCAAGACAATATAGTGATTTGCTAGTTTTTAATGCGATATTGTACAGCTATCTTCTTCTCTGCTCTGGGGATATCGGATCATCAAATTGGCCTGTTCATGACGTTTACGCTACTAGGAGATGTTATCCTCGGAACGTTTCTTACGCTCGTCGCAGACCGTGTCGGGAGACGAAAGGTCTTACTCGGTGGCTCTGTATTAATGATACTGAGTGGTCTCATCTTTGCTGTCTTTGAAAATTTCTGGATTTTGCTCCTCGCTGCAATTGTCGGTGTTATTAGTATTACCGGTGGAGACTTCGGACCATTTCGAAGCATCGAAGAGTTAGTCGAGTTCTCTTTTCAGAATGATATAAAATTTCTAATTTCTAACAATTTCCTAGGTCTATAATATCGCAGCTTACTACCCCTTCGACAAGAGCAGATGTATTATCGTGGCATGTCACTACGGCACTATTTGGCTCGTCATTGGGAAGTGAACTATCAGGAAGAGTCCTCCGCTACCTGCAGAGTAAGGATAATTGGACCGAGGTTGACTCATACCATGCCCTCTTTTGGATATATGCCGTAATGGGCATTGTTAACCTTGTGTTGGTCCTATTTCTAACAGACGAGTGTGAACTGCAGCCAGAGAAGGAAGTTTACACAGAGCTCACACAAGATGATAGCACAAACGACACTGACATAGATGCGGGGAATTTTGAAGAGTCTTCAGAGGTGACTCCTACCCCTCAAGCATCTCGAAATTGGATTATTCGGATCTTTAGGTGGTTATCGGATCAACTAGCCCAAATATCACCGTCAACCCGATCGGTGATGTATAAACTCTGGTTCCTGTTGGCTGTCGACTCACTTGCAGACGGAATGGTGCCGTACTCTCTAACCAACTATTACATGGACGAAAAGTTTCATCCAGCCAAGTCAACCCTTGGCGACATCACTTCGTTCAGTTACTTCATGGGAGCGATCTCAGCAGCGTTTGCAGGTCCCCTGGCGCGAAAAATCGGGTTGATCAACACGATGGTGTTTACTCACACTCCGTCCTCGGCCGCTGTGTTACTCTTTCCTTTTCCACCTTACCTCTGGATGACGGCAGGGCTTTTGCTCATCCGTGCAGGGTTGAATAATATGGACCAAGCACCACGAGCAGCTTTTATAGCAGCGGTAGTGAAGCCTGAGGAGCGAACGGCAGTTATGGGCATCACGTCCACCGTTAGGACTCTAGCCGCTACAGCGGGACCCACAGTCACCGGCATGTTGGCGTCGAGCGACCGATTTTGGATTGCATTCATTGTGGCAGGTAGCTGTCGTCTATCGTACGACTTTGGCCTATATGCAATGTTCGTGAACATGAAACTTCACACGCATGAAAAGCCGGTCGACCTGTCTAATCAGCATGGCCCAAGACGGGTCCCCGACGAAGAGATGGAGTTAGAGAGTCTCGCTGACACGGATAGTGGAAGCGAAGAGACACGTTCTGAGAAATCAGAACCGGAGACGGCTACTCTTCAAGTTCCTGATAGTAGTAATCAGAGAATTCGAAGTAGAAGTCCACGCCGAGCAGAGATCTAGAGTTGACCCTTTCGAAAGAGAGAAAAGTCCAGCTCAGAAACTGTCTCTATTGCTATTTATGTTAAGCAGCCTGCTAGGAGGCTTCAAGCAAGATTCTATATAGCGGTACTTTCATACGACCAGTTATATTTTGTCTCTTAGCGCTCACTCAACTTCCCTCTAGAGGTAGTCTTAGAAAATTTGAAATCCGGAAATGTCAATCTAGAAATTCCAAAGGGGGGTATATAACTATCTGTGCTAAGAGATATGAAGTTTGCTTGGAGGTCTATCTTCCGTATAGCCGACTTTTCTATGGGTATTCTAATAATAGTGAGGTTGGTTTACAGCCAACTAGGTATCAATTCGCTTAAAAGGCATTATCCGAAGTATCAATCCATCCACTAGGACGCGGGACAAAGAGGCTTCCATTGAATCTCTCGGACACGAAATCCTGGATTGGCTCGAACTTCCGACACGTGTGAACCGCATCAGTCTTTACGTATTCACTGCCGTACCCCTTGAAGTACTTTAACGGGACGACAGCTGTACTGCCCCAACACATTATCGACTGGCGCAGTTGATCCAAGCAGTGGTCTTGTAGAGTTAGCGGTGAGTAACTCATGAGGGGTACGACGGAACCACAAACCGGTGTAGACGGGTCCGTGAAGGGGGGTTTCCGGATAGACGTCGCGGTGTAAGGCCTGTCTGATTTGGTTTAGGCAATGCAGCTGATGGAACATGTCAAACCTATTTTATTTATAGTTAGCATATAGAATTCGAAATGCCTGTATATAGAAATGGGGCAAACAACTCACCCTGCCGTGTAGCCGCTCCTGTGGTGGTCCCAATACTCTGAGTATTCATCTCCCCATAATTCCTTCGCCTCGGTCTCAGAAATCGAGAAGTATCTTCCCCATAGGAGTTTCTTCCAAGCAGCATCGACATCCGCAGTTGTACCGATGTAAGATTTATCGCCGGGCTGGGCGACGAGGAACTCATCTCCATTTGGCGCAAAGTCTATGGGTAGCTTGAACTGGACTTGCTCAAGCTCAATAGAGCTGGGTGGTACTAGTTGACGAGATATTAGACAATGGCCCCAGGCGCATCATATTTTTAGGCAGCTTACATAGCTTCTCTTCTTGGAACCCGGTTTCGTAGCTACCGTTCGCAGGATATTGGGATCTATATTCGATGATAGCCAATGCGGAAATTACGCCCAGCAAGAATATCCCAAGAGCGATGAGAATTATGGAGAGAACTCCTTGACTAGTATCATCTCGCACACACTGTCGCCGTCTTCTAAATCTCGGCTGCTGTCTCTTTGGTAAGAAATAGACTAGCTCGCCCTTCTCAAAGTCGTCTTCGAGTACTTCGTATATCGGGGGTAACGATGGAGCATGCATTGTCGCGAACTGATTTAATCGAAAAATAAACGAGCGAAATGAGAATGGAAAGAATGACGATTATTACAAAATACTATGGCAACTTGAGGACCGGCCTTGTCACTATCTAGAATATACTGCCCTGCAGTTGCTGAGAATTGAAGTTAGAATAAGAAAATGCGTAGTTCTACAGAGGGAAGAATCCGTCCCGAGTTTGCATTTTCCTGGCGACCTTCTACTTTGCTGGAACGTGCTCACCTGTGGCATTGATACTGGGATATAGATAAGATACAAGTGAAATGGATATTTAGAGGGCAAATGCGAAACCGTTCAAACGAAACGGCCACCCTTTGTATGAACTTCCGCTAAGATGTCGCACTCTATCCTAGTGGGTTAGGTTTATTAACAACCCCTTCTTATTAAGTACTAAACCAGATAAGGCACGCGCACCCGTTCTTTCTTGGCTAGTTGAAACCAAGCTCTGAGGGCTGAGGCTCTCGTGCTGAAGGTAAGGGTAGGTCGTCTCCTTGACCTCCACAAAACCTGTTAGTCGACCATATTAATTGTTGTTGAGATTCTACCAGAATACAACCCGTAATACATCATAATCGCTAGGGAAAGTAATACGATCTAGAAGCGAAAGAGTTTTAGGGCCACTAGTATGAGAGAACAGACCGAATAAGAAATGCCAATGTTGAATGTTGATAAACAGGTATCATAAAGAGCCGTGCCCTCGCGTTGTCAAGGATCCTGGCCAATTGGAAACAAGGTATTATGATAGCTTGGACCCTTAAGACCCCGTCCAAAGGTTATCTTGTATCTTGAAGGCAAATGCCCCTAGCTATAGTTTCACTTCAACAGTAAGTCTCTCAAACTAACGTCGTTGCATTGGCTGTACGTTATAAAACTTGACATAATGGAAGTTTCCTATGATCCCGCTAGAGCCATGTGGTAAGCGAAAATCACAAAGCTGTTTTCGGAAGTTAGTAAGATTATGATACCTTATTTGATATGAGTGTATAGTATATGAGAGTGAGGTTTCATCTCAATGTGCAATGGTGTAAGAGAAAAGACATACTTTTTTCTATCTGGGAAATATTTCACTCAGCTCGACAAAAGCTATTAGATAAATGAGGCCATCATGGTATCATAGCAGCCTAAGCCCATCAGTTCAGCGTCAATCTCTTTATTCAAGGCCGTGAAACTCGCCATCCATAACCAAATCCTCAGGTCCAGTATGATACTAGTCCTCGAGTCTTTTGGTTTTCGTTAGTATTCTGTCTGTTTTCGTTCTCTTTACTCCTCAAGGTTTCAAGAAGAGGCCAGAAAGAATGTTCCCGATTGTCTTTCGACTCAGTCCTGCGCTGACGGAATTCACGCTTCCGCAGATAAAATCTGATTTTGCTGCGCAGCGTGATAGCCGTCGACCCCGAGCCACGCCGAGTCGGCCCATTACCTCCTACGCCATTAAGCAGTAGGCGGGCTTACGAGACACCGGCGCTGTATAACAACATGGAAAGTGTGAGACTGGATGGTAAAAAGGAGGTATATTTACCCGACCTAGTTCTCTAATGGATGTTGTATATTGTACTAGGGGCTCTCTGAGCTGGGGTGTCCATTTTGAAGGAACCTGTATAATAGCATGAATTCATAAATATCCATGAGCAAGTGTTGATAGTAGGTACATATGAATATTTAGCGTAGGCATCGAGCATTTCGTAATTCTTATGTCTTATGTTAGAGGACGTCTTATGTAGGCAGTTACGGTGTCGTAGTCGGAGCTGAAGCCTCGGCAGGAAATAGCGAACCCGCCTAAAATAGTACCGTCGGTAGCTGCATGTACCTATCTTTTTTTTCACTCCGGACATAGCTACCGCACCATTATCAAATGGCGTCACCGTAGCTTTCTTGTACGACGTTAGTATGTACATACCTACCTGACTTGATGAGTAATTGAATCGCGGTAGGACTATTCCCCCGAATTACCTTCTAATGCTCCGAAGTGGCTACACCTAACAGTGTAACAGTGTAACAGTGTAACAGTGTAACAGTGTAACAGTAAAGCCACTGGCGCACGTCTCTTCGCACCGCCTAAACGCCCCCAACACCATTTACCACAAACCACTTCAATCCTTTGAGCGATCATGACGTCGACAGCTGCAGTTATCGGTAGCACAGGCCTTGTAGGCTCTCACATACTGACCACTCTCCTCGGTCTCGATGACTTCAAGTCGGTTTATACCGTCTCTCGACGACACCCGAAAGCAGAGTCGCCTAAATTAGTCGCCGTTGTTGAGGCCGACACTACCAAGTGGGCAACCAATCTTTCGTCCATTACGCCCCCGCCGTCTGTAGTTTTCTCCGCCTTGGGAACGACTAGAGCTCAAGCTGGTGGCATTGCGAACCAGTGGAAAATTGACCATGATCGTAAGTTGGAACCCCTCATGCCTTTATGCGCATTCGATTATAGTAGGCGGGACTAATAAATGTTGCCAATTACGCAGTTAACATCGAACTCGCCAAAGCCGCGCACTCTGCTGGAGTCAAAACGTTCGTCTTCGTCTCGTCGGCCGGTACGCGCGGGTTCCTTGCCAGCTCCGCTCCCTACTCCAAGATGAAAGTCGGCGTCGAGGACTCGATCAAATCTCTTGCCTTCGACCAAGCGATCATCCTACGACCGGGCCTGATTCTCGGGCAGCGCGAAGTCGAGCACACGGGTGGGCCACTACTCAACACCATTGTTCGCGGCTTAGGAAAGATCACCCAAGGCGCGCAAGACTTCTTGGGTCAGGATGCAGAGGTCATCGGACGCGCTGCTGTTCGCGCTTCCGTACTGGCCGCCGAGGGCAAAGCGCCGAGCAAATATTGGGTTCTGGAGTCATCTGATATCCTCAAGCTCGGACGAGACGAGTGGAAAGCTTAAGAGGGACGCATAGGATGGTTATACCTTTTGTTTTGGGACATGGAGTCTGGCGCATGGGCGATATCTCATATCCGGGTGATGGGAAGACTAGTTTGAAGAGACAGGAAGGAAATCGGGAAATATTGCACTTATCACGAATCTTATTACAACCAGGTACATATCTGCGGCTCTGCGTACTAAATTATTACAGCCAGTTTCTTGGTAAAAGAACAATTCAATACCCTTGGCTTGTCTTACTCCTGTCGTATAAGCATCTCATTGGGTGGTAGTACGATGACCGCGGGGACTTCGATATAGTCTCCACAGTAAGGTGGAAGAGCTCTCCTTTCTTGTCATAGTGTCACTCGAGAATAGAAAACATATGAGATGCCAAGTTATGATTAACTCGATTCAATATTTCGTACATTTGTTTGATCCGTCACATACCTTAGGTACCTACATAGCGGATGATCTTATTCGATCTTGCATGAAATCTCCACTGCCATGGACTCGAAGGAATTAGTCTAGGACTTATGAGTTTTCCTTAATCATTATTATTCCAACTATGCCTATTATGTGGAAGGCGTTGGTAACAGCTAATCAGCCTACATCGTCTCTTTCAACAGGTCATGTTTCTCATTGGCGGTGACTTATTGAACTTGCAAACATCTTTGTTTGCTGTCATTGAACTAAGGAGACTAGCGTTCTAAAATCATTACAACAATCAGGAGCCATGGGCGAATAATGTATTGACTATATGGTCTTTGTCACCGAGTAGCATATTCTCTTAGTCACGCTCAGGGACTAGGGATGGATCAAAGGCATATTTTCCCTTTCTTCGTACGTGGCAGCTGCCCTCTAGGAAAAATATAAATATCCAAGTAGAGAACCGAGGACTTGACCTGAAGACTTTTCTTACCATAGCAATTATGGATACAAAAAAGACAAACAAGAGTTTCGGCAAGAGAGTCGGCAAAGCGATTAAAAGTACTATATACATCTTAATCGTGGGCTCTATTGGGTTTATAGTTTTATTTGTCATGGATTGGTAGTTAAGAAGTATCGTCATGATCTTCGGCTACTAGAGTCTTTGATAGAGCTTCCAGAAAATCCTGCTTCGGGGGGTTTCTTCAATATACATAATTCCTATCACCACTAACAACGTGCATCGGTCTTCCCGTGCTAGCAGTAGAATTCGTTGTTGCTATCGTGATGGTTGCCCTTCAGCCTTGAATTATTTGACGGCTGACTCCTTTATGAATGTAGAACTATTCTTATAGAGTTATGTGGACTAGAAGGTTCACAATTATGATAACAGCTTAGGGGTATTATATATCGTCTACTAAACTGAATATCCATTGCTAACTCACGACATTTGTCGATTCTATTGTAAAGGGGCTATTGTATCTAGGTCAAGATACGAGGAAATAGTAGCTCGACGACATGGAACCAACATCTCTACCCTGAACCTTCTATCTCTTCCGTGATACAAACTAGGGACCTCGTCGCTATAAAAACCCTAGGCTTACAGCCTCTCCTTTAATTGTCACTTCTTCCCCATAAACGTCTCTACAATCTTCTGAAACGGGACTCTCTTCGGGCCCTCAAGAATCTCAAAGCGCTCCTTAACATGGCCCACGGGAATCTCCTCATCCCCCCTAACCAAGCCCGCCCACGCCTCGTCCGTGAACTGCTCAACGGGGATACCGATGTCGCCCTGTCCGATCTTAACAAGCTCCGCCTGCTGCGAGTGCAACTCGGTCCTTACGGCCGGGGGTAAAATCTCGACGACCCGGATGTGCTGGCTGCCCTCGTCGTGGGAGAGCTGCGCGCGGATGGACCATAGCAGCGAGTGCAGCGCCGCTTTGGTCGCGCAGTAGTTGCCGCACCGCGGTAGGGGGACTAGTGCTAGCCCGGAGGTCACGGCGACTAGAGCCGCGGGTTTCGGCGCACGCGCTTGTAGGTGCGGTAGCAGGTGCGTGATTAAATACAGGTACGAAGTGTAGTTTGTGTCCAGCTCCTGTATCGTGCGGGGCAGGTCGATCTCCTTGGGCTTGGAGAAGTCCAGCGTGCGCTGGATGCCTGAGTTGAGGATCACGGCGTCGATGTCGGGGTACTTCTCGGTGATGCTATGCGCATCGGTTAGCGAGCCGGCATCAACACGGTCCCGGTCTTAGATTGGTGGGTTACTTACTCTTTAGCCCACGCCTCGATCTTGTCGAACTCGGTGATATCGAATTGCGATGCTGCGGCCTTGTTGGACCCGTACTTAGCTACAAATGCGTCGAGCCTTTCCTTCCGGCGACCGACGCCGATGACGAAGATGCCGTTGTCAATCATGCGCTCCGCTAGCGCCAGGCCGATTCCGGCTGTGGCGCCGATTAAGAGGACGTTCTTATACGGGAAGGGCATTTTCCTTTTTTATTATTGTCCAAGATAGTAGAATCTTAAGTAGTATCTTGATATCAGGAAAGCTGATCTATCTTGAGTACTGGATATCGATGACGATGATGAAGTTCTCCCAGTTACAACTAGGAATATCCCGAGACCCAGCAAAGCTATTCCCTTCTACTTTACCTACTAAGCGCACATTTGCCTGACAAGCTAAAGTGGAATAGACGCGAATGTTACCTCATATACTAGTAACTAAACGAAGCGCCTGTTCGGGAAATGCATACGGGACACACCTCCATGCCTCCTATTTCCACATGGTGTCATGGATTGCGCCTGATCTACCTAGGGTAAACCCCACAGCCAAGCTTAGAATATTAACGATCTACCCCAATGGCATTCTATATCGGCAGCTTGTATTCAACCGTCATTGGCTATGTGGTATAGCTAAGGTAGTGTAGTTCTTTAAGGTCGCTGTGCCAAGGCATCTCCCCTGTCAACCCAGGCCCATCTGAATTCGGTAGTCGAAATGCTTTCACTACGAATAAACATTGTAGGATTTGTCGATCTCAGATCTGTGTAACTCGAAATTATCACTATAAAATTATATTATAGACATTCGTTCTCGATTTATGGTTTAAGTTTAGAAATATCTGTGAGCTTGAGTCGATTTGTTTAAATCTTGACCTTTCCCGAGGAGCAAGACTGGTCAAGTCCGCTACAACCCATCCCGGGCAGTTCACAATCAATTATACGTTACCAACTCACACGAGACTCGTAAATTGAATGATGCTGACTTATGCTATTAAAGTAACAAGTCGGTATCTGTATTCATATACGTAGGTCGTTTCGTCCCAGGTTCTCGATCATGAGCCTTACTATAGTAAGGACGGTGTAGTATAAATAGAATCATAGACCACTTGGAGATATTTTGCATTAGGCTCCAAAGACACCAATAGAGCTTTAATAGCCTAATTAGAAGTACCTAATATTAAGCTTCCGGGACGTTCCTAGTTGCTCTAACCCCATGGGGAACTCACAGGAGATAAGCGCTGCTATTTGAACCTTGACTCTTATATTATATAGAAGTCTTTGACAGGGTTTCCAGTTACCCGGGCGCAATGCATCTCAGGGTTTTATAGTAGGGAGTTGTCGTCACGGCTACGTGGCGTTTGCCTTGTACGCATGTCATCGTTCTATTATCTTAACATTAGTCAATTGCCTTGGGTTCCGACTTTAGTGCCTGGTAAAATCGTCTAAGTCTTTCGAGTTTAATGCCTAGGGTGTTACATATAATATTTCGAACACTACGCAGTTGAGCTTTGAACAAAGAGTTACGAGGCAAAATAAACTTATATATACGTCTGAGTAACTAGCCTCAATATAGTACTGCGAAAAGAACAATTTTTGATCGGCTACCTGATAACCGAGCTTTCGCTATTTACAAATTGGCAAAGCCAAGTAACTTTTTGCCTTGGTCGATTGGTGACCTTTTCCCTGCCTTTACGCAATGCCGAAGAATGCGAGATCATCCTTCTGGTGAATAGGCACAGTGTGGCCAACGCCCTGGGCGCTGTACCCAACGAGCTGCGCTGTCGTGGCGGTGCCCTCGCCGTAGATGGTCTGGGTGTATCCGCTTTGGGGGGTGTTGGCGGTGTCCTTGGAGGTGGTAAGACCCAAGACGTTGGACCACTGCTTAAGCGTCTCCTGGTCTGTTTATGAAATTAGCATTTTTTCACTACGCATTTCATGGGGTTAGAACGTACAGTTGGGGTATCGGAGGGTGCTGTCAGCGGTGCCGTGCCAACTACAAAATATTGGTTAGGTCAAGTAGTCCAAAAACGTATTCTGACTTGGTTAGGGCTCTTCTTACACTAGAACTCGGGGACGAGCGCCGGTGTATCCTGGGTAGTAAGATCGCACGAGGTCACCCCATTGAGCAGCAGTCTTGGTGGTCTGTCCGTTGGCGCACTGGTTGTTCCATCCCGGGGGGTCCTGAGTGGCAGTAGAGCCGGGGACGGCGAAGCATCCGTCTGGCACACCGGAGTAGATGGATCCTGCCTTGAAAACGTCGGGATAGGCTCCGAGAAGGACGTTGGTCATCATGGCACCGGAGCTAGTTCCAGTGACATATGTCCTGTTTGCGTCTCCACCATATTTCTCTACGGCGTACTTGACCATGTTGGCAATAGTCTGACTGTCACCACCTCCATCGTGCTTTAAGGCTATACAGACTCTGTTAGGAACTTTCTTATCATAGCGACATATCGGCAGTATAGCAAGAACAGAAAGGGAGACATACTAGCATCAGAAGCGACATCGAAGCAGCCACCACCAGACTTAGAGTTGGGGTAGATCAAGATGAAACCGTACTGGTTAGCCAATGGTGCGTATTGGGACTCAGAGAAGTACCCCTGAGCTGAACCTTGGCAGTGGTGTACAGCTACGACAATGGGCGCCGGGGTCTTGAGGTTACTGGGCACGTACGAGTACATGCCCAGCCTCGTGGGAGTACCGCTGAAGTCGTAGACCTGAGTGAGGGATTGGCAGCTGCCAAGCGCAACTAAAGTTGCGAGCGTCGACAAGACCTTCATATTGCTGTTTTTTACAAGAGCCGGTATTAACTTGGATATCCTAGTAGTTTCCCTCAAAGAATCACTTAACATCTGGTGGGCGATCCTCAAGGTAAATAAACATTTTGATTCCCTTCATCCTACCTAGGCCAGTCTTGTACACGTCTCATGTGACCACTGCCATTTCCCCGGATGTCTCCTTTGCGTGTTCATCCCTTAGGCTAATCTACTAGTTAGTAAATTCATCGTGGCCTGCCTCATTCCAGATCCGGAAAGCGGATCGTTCGGCTAATCAGTAGGGTAGCATTACCCCTGCGGAGAAGTTGGGGAATAGGGACCCAAGTGGCAATCGTGACGCGTGTAAGGCCATTGATATTGAAACATGTCAAGTAAAAACGCCGCGACGTTCTAGGTCAAGCCGCTCACGCATAAATCTTCTCGGCTAAATATGAAATAGCTGCTCCCAACGTAGCGTCCCGTCCCGTCCGGGAGCCTCCAACTTGAATACTAATATTAGCTTACGAAAACAATAGACAACGCATTGTTATATTCATTTACTCCACTCGGAAATAATCTAGTCCAGCCTCCATGATTACCTATCTCATCTCATAGGATAAAGCGTTTCTTCTAGTTAGCATTGACAACGTAAATGTCTACTCAGGTCCCAAGTCCAGGCTCTCTTGAAGCCAATCTCTCCACTGTTGATCCTTCAGAATAGATCGAACTCTGGCCTCGAGCCATTCCGTGTTGCCCCAGAAACCCCACGAAGCCTGGAATCTCAGCCAATCAACTAGTGCAGTCTCCCAATGCCGAACGAATAGACTCCAGTCGTATTCCTGCTTTCTTCCTTCAGCGTCTTTGAAGTCATTGGTTAATCTCGAATGATAATATGCAAGGAGCGTTTCCTCGCCCTTACCCATCGGGAGCTTGTGGGGGATATTACTCTCGTCTATAAGTAGTTCTAGTGGAACTGAACAAGTAAATAATTTAGCTAGATCGCAGGCACCTAACCCGAGACCGACATATTGAAAATCGAACAATGCAACCTTGTGACCGGGCTCAGTCGTAAATAAATTCTCGGATTTGACGTCTCCATGGATGATGGTTTCATACTCTCGGCCACGTGGAGTTAGAAAGTTGGCCACCATCTCGGAGATGGACTGTCCGCCCGGAGTGACTGGCACGCAAAGCGTAGACCACTCCGAGTCTTCTTCGGCAAGGGTAGCATATTCTGCACGGCGAGTGGCAAGATATGTATACCCTCCATTAAGCCACAACTTCTTCCCGGAGTCATCCCCATTCCGTCGTCTCTCGGCTTCTTTGAGAGGAGGGTACAAGTATTCTCGCAGATTTCCGGGCACTAATTTCCGACTAGCTCCGTGAAAACTAGAGAGCCAATCTATTGCAGCATAGACCTGCTTCTCATTGAGTTCTGACCTTTTCTCTCCGGCAATAGGAAATTTAGGTCTTAGGTCAGACATGACTATAAAAAGAATGAGTTAACTTTCATTTATGTTAGAAATCACAAGGCGCATCTAGAAGCTCATTTAACGGGGATTGTAGTGGAGACAACTTATAGAAAGCTGCAGATAAGTAAAAGTGTATTGCGTACTTGTTGCTGTTAGACCTTGGAGCATCTCAGCGCCAGGTTTCCCATGAGACTCTAGTGTCGTAGTAACACAGTGAGCCACGGCGGTGCCCTCCTCTAATAACGGGGCGACGGAGCTGTAAAAGTATTGCTCAACTCCATAGCTCATTAGTTTTCGTAAATGGCCTTCATCTTCGAAATCCGGATTTTCCTGCGGGGGCGCGATGTATTTTAGGATTAGAGGAAATACTTCTTCGCTCTTCTTAGTATTAGGAATATTAGGACCGCATATCCTACGAAGTTCGGCTGCAGCTTCTTCACTAATAGCTCGAGCTTTGACCTCGTAGATGTATCCGTACCCTGCCCATAATGTTTGCATTTTCCTACACGAGACTAATTCAAGAGAGTGCCATGATAGCATGATGGTAGCCACGCGCTCGGGCTTAATTTGATTCTGAACAACATAGCGCATGACTATGGCTATGACTATGGATATGGCGGTGGCTGTGATTTTGAAAGCTGAGAAACGCATTGGCTTTTAGAGTAAATACGGATTTATAAGTCTGATGATAGAGTTGTCGGTGAACTCAGATTTGGAAGACCCGTAAATATCGACTGCGGTTCTTTTCTTGACGGGCCGTTAATATTTCTAACAGCTGCTGACTGGCGTGCAAGCCACCTTAACCCCCTTTTTACGTCTCTTTAGCTAGGTACACATTATATTGATTGGAATACGGATTCAATATATTATTAATATGGTACGTATCATAAATAAGGAATCCTCATGCCAGATTAAGAAGACTTAAACTACCTAGGCATCTAGGAAAGATTATAGTCATGTCAAAAACCATTCCCTTGGACCTATTCAATTTGACTACCAGGTAGGTGCCTTTTATAATATAACATCCTCACTCATGGTTTATGCGTCCTTAGTCTAGGACCATAACCATTTTGCTTTGAAATGCGGTAACCCACCCATCCAAAAAATTAGGCCTATAGTTGCTATCGTGAGCGGTGCTGGGATCGCTATAGCTAACCAAGCTTCTTGTACAAGCACTATACTAAGAGCTTTGCCTGGGGTGTCTGTCTCTCGAGTCTGGACAAGATTGGAGCCAAAGAAAGCCTGTAAAATTAGTTTCTGCACGTCCTTTCCGATGTTTCCAGTGCGTGAACCTACCAGCACAATACTCGTAGGCAGGTAAAGGGTTGTCATAATAGTCAAAGCCTTGAGTAGCCTAGAATCCTTTGCAGATTGCTTTAGTACTTGGGCAATCTGGTCGTTTGAGCTCGCCTGTTCTCCAGACAACTGAGTCAACAGGTGTGTTTGAATGCGCATGGTTTCATCGTGACGGAAATCCAGAATTTTCCCAAGCTATTGAACAGTTAATGGTTTCTCATTCGGTCATATATCCCTAGAGAAGGCATCTTACAAGTCGAAGTGCCCCTTCTGAACGCTGAAGAATTGCTTCTAGGGTCCGCTCATAGCCAACAAGCTCCTCCTCGAGAGCCTCCAATTCACGCAAAGGTGTAAGTTCCAAAGATATGTTGGATTGTACAGCAACGTGTCTACAACGGTTTTGACATCCACGCGCTATGCTAATATTGGAACCCAATACCCCCTTAGCTGTTATGATATCCTGGCGGTAGCGCTCTAAGCGCTGACAGTCGGAGAAGCTCACTGAGAAATCTACTTTGGACTCTATTCCTACTTTCGAGTGATAGGCCTTGTTTTGCTGGATGAACTCTTAGTTATATGTCCGTAGAAAATGAGATGAAAGCATACCAGTTCTTCGCACGTAGATTGGATATAATCAATATAATCTAGCCACGTTCGGGAGGCCGTGAAAAGAATGGACCCATGCAAATAGAGCGAGTGTGTATCTGGATGTCGTTCTTTTTTCGAAATTTCTTTTTGGGCTAATTCTAGTAGCTCTTCGATTTGAGGAGATGGCTGTATCAGCATCCAAGTCGAGGTTGGCGCTCCCGGTTCTGTCTTTTGGTAGATCCCTGTATGTCTAAGCGACCAAGGACGGCCCTGGGCTCGGCCATTCTGTTGGAAAAACCTAGCAATATAACAGAATTCTATCCTAGTAGTCAGCAAAGAAAAATGGTAGGTAGATCGTAGTTGTTCAGGGGTGTCTATACCATCGGCCGTTGATGCCCCACCACGGCGCCAGCGGTATCCAGAGACCACCCGACAATGGTCATCTTCTCGGTACCCAAATGTCCTAATGAAGTCGACAAAATATGAATGCGGTTTTAGTAGATCAAAAATGGTCTCAAACGCGGTTGCGGTTATAGAAAGACGACTCCATGTATTGTATTGACGGATAATGCTAAATTGCGTGAGTAATAATTCAGGTTGGCGTAGAGGCGCTCATAATCTTACATGAATAGCTCACCCTCATGCTGTGCTAGATCCTATATTATTCAAATGATCTTAGTCATGTAATATGGGATGAATACGATTTCTAAAAGTATACTAACTGGAATATTAATGGACGACGTTACTCCAGAAATCGGAGCTCGTGAAACTGGCCGTATCTTGTTAGCGGGAGTACTGAATGATATATAGAACCGATTACTTAGGTACGTTTGAGGCCTTGGCTGAACTTGATAAATTCAAGTTTATTCTCATCTTTCTTTTCGAAAAGCCAGTCCGTTTCGTTGAACAGTCTCAGACGATCAAGATTACCATTATCAGGAAAAGCCGAGCCTTGCCACTTTGTAGATAGGAGGTCGGCCTCAGGTACTGTCGCTGGCATGACTGAGACGTGAAAGTTATACGTCCGATTCGGAACGAATTGTTGGACTACTCGACTTAGCTATATAGTCTTGCTTTGTCGTGATGCATTGAACAGCCTACCTGCCTACGTCCACCTTATAGCACAACCTGGGCGTCAGTTTCCGATAAATAGAGGCTTCAGAGCCTGCATGATGGAGTATACATGTGAGGTAGGAGTTGCATAAAGTAGATACCTAGGTACGTAGTATTTGGAGATAATAAAAGGAGGTACTTGGAGAAATTATTACTTTGTACATTTATTTGATTTTTTGATTGGATAGATTTTGGTGAACTAAGCGCTAAGATATCGGGCGTCCTGGTGCATATAAGCCTGACTCTGAAGGGATCTCCTCAAGGACCGACACCCCTTCCCCAATATCTGTCTTAGTATACTTATCAGCCTTGACCCTTGCCTGCTTGCTCCCATTATCCCGTTCAGCTCTACATCAGCTTCCATGGACAGCAACTCAGTGATAGAAATTCTGAACCGCAGATATGTAGATAGGAAGAAGCTGGATGAGGTTTTGAGCCGGCTATTCGAACAAGGCACATATCAAATCTACGTAAGCAAATTACGGACCCCCTCCTCTCAGACCTTGCCTAACGCGACATGTTATTAAGTCAATCGACAACGGAGCGTCTTTACAACTTATTATCCCTAGAAAACTCCGCTTGGTAAGACTAAGAAGACAAGCCTAGGTAGTTATCCAACGTTCGCTGAATCATTATTCTAGTCAGAGAAAGAGGAGTTCCGACAATCGCCTCCGGCCGAGTATTAAAACGATGACTAGCCCACGTCTTTCGAGAGAAATTTTCATCGACATAAAACGGGAGGTAGAAGCATCCAAGGCGATTGGTGGTTCGGCACACTTTGTCCCAAGCAAAAAGTTTCACGATGCTATTACGCAAATATCGAAAAGTCGAGGCTACGATCTTGTGAGGGACATGATCGCAGCAACCTATCGGGACAATAATTTCTTGGTGGGACGGCAGCAACTAGAAGACATAATAATCCCGGGCGGCTTGAAAGTGTATATTGCCTTCATATTAGCGGACGAGGAAAAACTACTACCTAGATTGGTAGCCTCTGGCCAAGGCCAATGGAAAGATGATATAATATTTTCTCTCACCCGCCATGCGGACGTAATGGTCCCTTTGACAGAAGTTCGACGGCGTATTCTTACCGAGAAACTACGGCTTCTCAGTGCTCCAGTCCTAAAAGAGAATACCTTCGGACATTTTCACTCCTCGCAACCCCTTCCGTTCCTCACAGTAGCAGCCGTCAGAGATCGTGGCCAAAATAGCGTCACAAGCGTGGTCACGGTACCATATGAGCACATTGAATTTTCTACAGAAAATAGTCTCAAAGCCCTCATTGAGCAGACCCAAGAGTCAGGGAAATGTGAGTCTTACTACAACAAGCCGATAAAACGCGTCAAGCTTGTCCGTAAGGAGATGGAATATAGCAAGACCGTAGAGATGGAGCTTAAAACACTAAGGGGCCTGCCAAAACATGATAGCCTGCTTAGATTATTCTATTCCTACGGAACATACGAAGACGATCCTGAGACCTTGAAAACACTATACCTCCTATTTCCTTACTACGACATGACACTCGAAAGGCTTCTGAGGAGCGAGCTACTTGAGGAATGGGATGCAATTGACCTTATCAGTGCATATCACGGGCTCGTCGATGGACTTGCAATATTCAGCGAGACCAAGTCGCCGAATCCGGAATCAGTTGTACCAGGCGTTGGTACACATAACGACATTAAGCCTACGAACATTATGGTGGATACAGAGGCGAAGAAGCTAGTTTTGATCGATTTCGGCGAAGCTACAATAAAACCTATCACTACTAGTATTAAAGATCACCCATCTGAGTTTAGCAACTCATACTTAGCTCCAGAAGCTCTGTTGTCTTGCACGCGTTCTAATGGGCCCAAAAGGGATGTTTGGGCCATAGGTTGCATATTCGCTGAGATCATCGTGTGTTTGGGCTCCCCTGGCAGGGCACAGCAAGCCCTGAATTCTTTCAGAAATAATCGAAAACCGCCGAAAGGGAGTTACGATCTATTTTTCCATTTCCCAGACCAGAACGACCATCGCAAGCTTCATCCTCATGTTGACTCTACCTTTACGGATTTGTTAGGCGAGTCTTCGACCACTGCGCTTATTAGAAGCTGCATACCAATCGCCCGGAAACTCCTTGAGGTTGACCCAAACGAGAGACCCGACGCGAAGAAAGCCGCAGAGTTGCTTCAAGAGCTAGTATCGCAGACCAGTAATAATGACATAGCAGACGAATGCGGGAAGTCCGTGAATGTAAGACCCAGGCCAATTCCTGATAAAGCAGGGCCAGGAGAACAACCAAAGTGCAGTACATTTAATGAGCATTCCGGTACTTCCCCGGCGAGACATGACGCGTTGGACAAGAATATACCACTTCATATATTAGAGTCGGTTAAGAAACAGGCAACCATTCTAGAGCGGCGCGCTGGCGAAGGCCGGAACTTAGGATCCAGGCCGACTTTCTTCTCCGGACGGGCAAAAGCATTATGGAAACTGTCACGGAACTACTGTATATCCAAATGGGCATCTATGCCTTCCTCGAGTTTGATCCTATTCTACAACGATTCAGGTGATCGTGGGTCTGACTTGGCCGAAATCATGTCCATCGTCGCGGCGCGTATTCTGAAGGATGCTGAGTATCAAAAGCTTGAACATTACGCTACCTATTTCTTCTGCGACAGCGCGGACGGTGTAGTCACAGACAAGTGTGCCTCCATAGCCTCCACGCTCTTGGTGCAATTGCTGAATCAATGCGGAGATTCTAGCCGGTCAAGCGAGGTCGCAGAAGCTATCGACTCGGGCGAAACCGCTAGAATTATGAGCGTTTTTACCGATATATACAGTAGGTTACCCAAGTCAAAGGTCATTGTTATCGTTTTAGACAGGTTAGGCCGGGGTAGCAGGAGTAGAGATGGGGAACTAGTCGCTGGTCAGACCGCGGACATGGTACGTTCGCTAGTCAAGCTGGTCCGCGACAATATCGAGTATGGTTCCAGTAGTGCTCCGATAAAACTGTTTTTGAGTATTCCTTTTGCAAAATGGTGTAAGAAGGTGAGAGAAGGATGGGGTATTAACGCGGTGGAGATAGTCCATAATGTGCAGTCGTCGAATGACGATAGATTCGGACTTAAGGAAACATTTTGGCAAAACAGCCCTCTACCTTGGATGGATGAGACTAAGCACCAAGGGAGGAGCAATGTAGCTACAGCACCTAGTTAGATAAAGTCTGATCGGTCGGTTGAAATAGCTTTCATCCAGTGTACCTAGTTACCTGCCTGTCTATCCATTCAAAATAGGGGTCGAACATAGCTGGAAGGGCCACAAAGTATGAACCATCGCTTGAGTTTCTCCTCTCATCCTCCCCCTTCCTATTCGAAGCTAGATTCACCATCCACATCACTCTCCGACGATTAATAGTCAAAATACGCTTCGGTAGCCTCACCATCGACGTATTTCACTTCTTCATCTGGAGGACAATCGGTGGAGTTTGAATTGTCCGGGTCGTGAGAGTTACGCAACCCTTTGGCGAAGGCCTGGCTCCTAGCGAGAATCTCATCAAAATGTTCTGTTTTAATGAAAATCTCATCTTTATCCTCGATGGTGTAAGAAGCATCCTTAATCCTTGGGATACGACTCTCCAGACTCTTGATTTTGTTCTTCAAGCTGTCAAATTTGGTCCGATCTCCCTCTGACTTCCTTAGATCCCTCTTCAGTTTCCTTAGTCTGCTTTCAATCTCGTCGACATTATTTTTTCCTTCTTTCAGCTTTTCGTCAAGTCTGTCAAGGACTGCGAGGGCTGTGGCCTCCCTAAAAGCAAACTGAATACGGCGCCCGCTCCACCAAGGTTGTGCTCCCTGTTCCCCAGACCCTAGAATTGCACCGTTATAGTGGCGTTCCCACCAGGTGTGAACTTCTTGTTGAATCTTTACTTTTGGCTTCCTCGACCCACGCTCAGCAACTAGTTGCTGACATTTTTCCTCTGTACAGTATGTTGCCCATACTTTCTTCGCTGCCGCAAAATTCAAGTGCGGGTAGAACAGTTGAAGGTGGATTCTCTGAGCAACTGCATCGTCAAAGTCAAGGCTCCGGTTACTCGTTAAGATCATAATTCCAGGGTACCATTCAAGTTGGCGAAGGAAAGCGCCGACAATAGCATTCCTCTCGAACGTATCACTACCTCGCTTAGCCAGATATGTATCGGCCTCGTCAAGCAAAATCACACAACCCCATCTCTGTCCCCGATCCAGAATTTCGGCCAGGTGTGTCTCGATCTGACTAACAGTACTACCTAGCTCCCCACTTGTAATGCGGTACAAAGGCCGTTCCGTGAATGCCGCGAGAGCTTCAGCGGTAAAGGTCTTTCCAATTCCCGAAGGTCCTTGTAAGTGTATAATAACGCCTGCCCCTTTACCTGGAACGCTGTCACTCTGGACAGATGTGTCCCTGGCTCTGAGGTGACTTCTCACCGTAGCGAGCAATGCTCTCTTATATCCCACCGGCAGTTGTAGCTCGGTCCAAAGGCTGCTATCGAAGATGGCGTCCTGCATTGCAGAAATCTCGAAGTTTACCCATTTTCGCGATGATAATACGAATCCTTTGACAATTCTAGGGAAGAGCATGTAGTTCTCTCTGCTCACTTCTACACCGGCGGGGGGGTTTCTCAGAGTATCCAACAACGGCGGTCGTATGTTTTCTAGGCGGCTTTTGAAGATCTCGTATTCTAGTGAGTTGTCGTCATGAATCGTATCCGAGACACTAAAATCACGGCATTCAGCAGAAATGCGTGAAGGGAGCTCTTCTACCTCTCGAGCATCACCTTCATAAATGAATAGCGAGGTTGAGGAATGTGAGCGGATAACATTCATAAAATTTGGGATTTTTTCCAATTCTTTTTCGCTGAGGCCAAGCGACAGTCCAGGAGCTTCCAATCCTGCCTGAGACTGATCAATGATTATGTCCGATCGATACTTAGTATTTGGTTAGCTTTCAAATGTATACAGTGTTGCGTATAAAAACGCCAAGTTGTATTAACCTACCTCCGCCTTTCTTGACTTCTCATCAACTCCAATCCCCTTCAAGTGCTTGACTTCGCCTGCCATCAACCTAGAATAACATTCACCTTCCTTGGCTAAACGCACGATCCAATCGTCACGCGTCGTCTCTGGGTGAAAATCTCTACTAGGCTGACAATATTCATATGGGAAGATCTGTAGTTCATGGATATGTCGCTCACCCTCCCAGCGAGGCATCGTGAAGCAACTATCCTCAATGACTATTTTCTTCCCATCCGTGTCAAGGCAAAATCCACGGACATAAAAGGAAGATTCTCTTCCCTTCGACATTCCCTTGGGGAGACTTGTCAAAAGGTGCGGGTCAGTGGTTACGGGCTCGTTGTCGTTGAGTAGTTCCCTTCCACCTCCATACTGTGTAACTCTCCAAAGTCGGTGTATATCAGGAAAGGCCTCATCTGGCTCCCTCACGTAACAAACGTCGCCGAGGTCGAATAGGAGCCATAGGTGCTCGAATAGTAGCGTGGTGCGCTGGTGATTCCGGAGCTCATATCGAATTCCGTACAGGGGGCTCAAATGCTCTTGAAATAGCGTCTTCAATAGTGCAATCTGAGTCTCTTGGTTTCCATATCGACTAGAAGGCCCGTCGGAGTTTTCTAGGAAAGCAAGAATTTCTTCATAGTGCCGTATGAATAACTTGAACGGGTAAAGAAACACTAGCGACACTATTGATGGATCTGAGGCATCTGAGTATGCCTTTGGGCTGAAGGCTGTGTTTGTGATGTTTTTCAGAACTTCTAGCATGTATGGACACCGTATTCTGATACGACTAGGTAAAACGGCGGTGCTAATTTGGCCGCTGCTGATGGGTGCGCCACCGACAAGTCGACTAACGCCTCTTGACAACTGGCGCGAACTCTGTAGCACTTCGATGTAATACACAGAGTCCCTCCTGTTAAAGAACTCTTCCGCTGTGCTACATACGTTGATGAATGGTATGGGATCTGATAGCAACTCGGGAGAAAACTTATTGAGATTCTGCTGAATCGTGGAAGGGGTTCGAGATATCGCTGGCGGTCTTGCCGAAGCTTCTTGGTCTCCATGGCCTAGCTGATCCCCCGTTAGGGGATAATTCTCGGTGCGTTTGGCAAGCTCATTAAATTGATTCTCAAGTCGCTGTACCTGGCTGCGAAGATCATATTCCGGTCGACGGCGGAGACCAATTTCGGTCTCTCTCTCAATCCTCAAGGATCTGTTCAATAGGATTTCGGGCCAATCTGTCATCATTCTCTGGTATATACCTACCTACCTAGGTACCTAGGTATAGCCTAATGTAAAGATGCGAAAAATATTGAACAAGGCTGAAAGGTTTAGGCTTAGTAGACCTTGGGTTAGATCTTTGTTCTATAGAAAAATGTAAGCATGTAATTTGGAGGGGTAGGTACATACGCCCGTATGCCCGAATGCCCGAGTTTACGAGTGTTATTATGTTAGACAACCTGATAAAGTTGCCATTCAATTAAAGGTACTAGTTGACTACCTGAATGGCCGTTATGGATTATATGAGAATTTATCAACGGTTAATTATACTCTAGGTACCCCCTTAAAACACAACGAGAATATTACATATTCAAAATAGATCTTATCAGGACAGTCCTCTTTATAAGACAGCAATGTAGATTATATTTAGAACACTATATTTACGTTTAAAGATATAGTTAATACTCTCTTATTAGAAGAATTAAAATATTACCTGCTTACTGTCACTCTACTTCCTACCCCTACCCCTATTTCCCTCTACCCCTTACGGCAAGGTATTATCCCAAATACTACCAACACAAACTCTACTCTCCCACCCTGCCTTCTGCCCGTTATCGCTAATGACGCTGTATCCAATGCGCTTCTCCTCGCCCTTCCTCAGCAGGAATCCGTTGTGATCGAAAGCGACGATGACGTCGTCGGCGTCCTTGTCTCCCACGCTGACCCAAGTCCAGATGCTAGTTCCCTTGTCGGCTCGGACCACGAACTCTTTAGCGCTACTGTCGTACTCGACGCTTACGCCTGGATCAACTAGAGCAGCTGAAGCCAACGGCGTAGGAGTGTAGTAGTTAGTATGCGTGAAAGTCTTCGTGGCCTCACTGTTCGGCGGGGTTCCTGTAGCCGTTAAGTTGGCCACTAACACGGCCTTGCTAGCATCGAACGAAGAGTCCGATTTCAACTTGTTTATGTCCACTCGTGCTAGCAGCGTGGTGTTGAGCGGCCCGATAGTGAATTCCACGTCTCCCGCCTTGATATCAGCTGTATCAACATCGAGAACGCTGCCATCCCAACCTACCCAACTAAGACTTGCCTTGCCCTTCGTCTCTTGCCAGAGGTCACTCACTGCGTAAACTTCAAGGATGCCGGTGGTTACGTTCCAAAGGTTCGCGACGATGACAGATTGGTAGATGTCCTTGGCGGTATTGTGCAGGATCTTCCATCGGCCCTCGTACTCAATGCTCGACCATGTCGGCGCCTGCCAGATGTCCTGGAGCTGCCAGTACAAGCTTCCAAGCTGCCGCTCGGGCCGTCCGGAACCGATACGGTAGAATTCGATCTGGCTCTTGTAGAAGTCGGCTTGGTAGATCTGCGTCGAGTGACACCAGGCGGAGAAATTGGCAATGGGATCCGTCTTCATTGGCGTGGGATAGTATGTCTCCACACCGTTGGTCATTTGGATCATACCTTCGCTCGCCCTCTCGAAATCACTAGTGTTAAGCCCACGGGGAGGTTGGTGGTGGTTCCGGAGCACGATGGTCGAGCTGTTGTACCATAGGTCCTCTTCATCCACAGCATTCTTCCACGAGTTGATACTAGGCATACTGGTGAACCCGAATTCAGTTGAGAATCGACCAACCGGATAAGTTGATACGTTAAATCCCTGCCAGATATCGTAGTTATAGTAGTCTGTATCTCCGTAGATGTGTCCGGGCGTAGCGTTCAAATATCGCTCGACAATCGGCCTCGGGTTGCTGTGATTGAGAGACAAATATCCGTTGTTCGTGCTGCTCGACATATAGCTAATACTACGGGTGTTTCCAAAGACAGCAGGGACCAACGTGTCTAAGAATAACATCTCAAAGTCGTGCGTGTAGTGATCAAGCTCATCTGGTGCAATTATTTGGAGAATTAGAATCATCAAGAGCATGATCTCGTTATTGCCGGCCCAGAGAGCTAGCGAAGGGTGGTGGTTAACGCGACGGACATTGTACACGGCCTCCACGCGAGCGTTTTCAAGGAAATCCGGGTCAACGGGGTAAAGAGCATCGCCATACTGGAACTCAGACCAGAGGAGGATGCCCATCTCGTCTGCAAGGTCGTATATGAAATCAGGTAGATATGCGCCGCCAGCCCAGACACGAAGCATGTTCATATTTCCAGCGACCACCGCATTAAACATTGTCCGGATCTTCTCTGGAGTTACTCGGGGCCAAAAGGTATCTGGCGGGATGAAGTTGCTACCCTTGGCGTAGAATGTTTGGCCGTTAACCTCGAAATGCCAGTGGGTACCTGGGGCTACTCCTTGGGCTATCTCCTCGTCCGTAACTTCACCCATGTTCATAACGATCGTTCTAAATCCGGAGCGTTTAACTACTGAGGCTAGAGTCTTGCCCGACTCAGATACTACATCGACAGTAATATTGTAAAGGTTCTGCGTTCCCAGTCCGTTCGGCCACCATAACTTGTAGTCCTTAGCGTCTAGAACAACATTGCCAGTAATCACGTCTCCATGATTCTCCACGTCTGTCAGGTCACCGCTGCTAACCTCCTTTTGAGTAGCGAGGTCGAAGATTTTGTAGTTCATGGTCGCCCCTTGCGGTACGGTACCGATTACATCAATGCTGGCGTTCAAGACCCAATTGGCATTCTGGTCAGGGGGAAGAAGGTTCAACTGGCCCTCACGATAGAGATCGAATATCGAGTTGCGAACGTGGACCTCCTCCTTTTGAAGTTGCACAATCCACGCCTTCTGCCAGATACCTGCCGGAGCGAACGCTGGGCCCCAATCCCAGCCGAAATCCGACTGCTCCTTTCGGATAAACTGGCGGTTCCCGAATTCAAACTCAATCTCAAGGCCAATAGGAAGACCCTCGGGCCAAGTAGGAGCCCCAGGTAGAGCAGCAAGCTCATTGGCGATTCTGGGAGCACTACCAAATTCAACAAGAAGCTCAGGAGAATCAGAACTACAGCCGGACAAAATATCGGTGACATCGAAGAAGTATTGGCGGAACTGATTATTTGTGTTCGCAACAGATTTGGAGCAGAGGCTAATGTTTGCAAATGTATCGAGACCGTTAAACAACAAGAAAGTGGTTAGGCCTCCCTCTTTCGATAGTCCAGAGACTTGAGCAGTGTAGTTCCAGTCGGCCATGGCGACCCATCGTAGGTCGAAGTCGTTCAGCCCATGGTATGGATCATCTATGATGTTTGCGGCAAACAGGTCCAAGTGAGTCTGCGAAGGGACTTTACCAGGAACTGAGATATCCTTTTCGTCGTTCGTAAGCGTCCAATCTACGTCGGACAAGTCGACGATGTTCGCAGCGGCAGCCACAGCTGCCGACGCGATGAGGTGGGCGAAACGCATTTCGTCCGGTGTCGTGTTCAGAACGAGCTAAGCAGTTGGCAATGAGCTCTGAGAACATAAGCCATAACTGTAGGAAAACGCTTAAGCAGCATGACCTTTATATACCCTCCAACCGAGGCTCGAATCCCACAATCCTGTCAAGACGGGCTCGGGAATCATAACGGGGAGCATGGACGTTCACTCCGCCACACGGATGACGAGTGTCATTGGTTCGAATGCTAAGATGATGTAAATACGATACAGCGTCAGCAACGATTGTTTGGATCCGCGGTTCCAACCCGCATATTGACAACTTGAGATCCCCACATCGCTTAGACGTGCGATAAATTAAGGCAACTTTACATGATAAAGAGTAACTAGGTAGTTGATAGATATGTATAAATGTTCATAGGTATAATTGAATCAACCCATAGTAGTTATTGATATAACTAAAAGAATACATGACTTGATAGTTTATCTCAAAATTCGTATAATAATCCTAGCCAAAAGGAGGATTCGATCAAGGGTATGGGCCCATAACTACCCGACCTGGAGTCCTGGACCACCAATCTAGGTACTTAATATTATGTATTTTATACGTAGTTCCGACGTCCATTTGCCCAAGAATCTCTACCGATGTCTCTACTTTGTCTGTATCGTGATTTCTAGTTCCGAAAGTGTATGTAAATAAACTACGGTCGAAGCTTTGTTGAATCTCATTGGCTGAGGACCGAGGTTGCCGAACCACCCCGTGGCGGAGCACTTACCAACGTCTCCTTAAATCTCAACTCATCAACCCTAAGAGTACGATCGCACCGATGAAATATTAAACGATGCTACATGGGAAGAATAGCATGGTGACCGTCGATAACTAAGCGGGAGCAGAGACATTTAAATTATGAAGATAGAAGCCAGAACAATTTTCATATTGGTTATACTTCGTACATGATCTAGTATTAAACAATCCATAGATATTCTAATACTATAACTTAAACTTCACTCCAGTATTGATATTACATTTCCCATCCCCAACATAATCTCGGCCAAATGCCGTCTCTACATATTCGAATACGCATTCGCCGGCAATTTATGCCGAATACGGGGAAACCTGCCTTCAGGACAAAACCCGTAAAATATTCTCAAATCCAACAAGGTTCATTCCTCAAAATTGGCATTGACATATCCAAGCGCCCTAATATTGCCTTTTCGCGTATCTTATTTCCTCCTCATCGTAAGTATTTCCAACGCCGAGTTATGTCGTGGATATAGTTGTGGTGTCCGTGTTGGTGTTCCTGCTAGGTTCCAGTGGGTATTAGATCTCGGTCAAGATCCTCTTCGTACTAAGATTTTAAATCCCGCGGATACGAGCGGTTGTGGTTGGTTGGTTGGTTGGTTGGTTGGTTGGTTGTGTGGCACAGCGGTCTCTAGTATCGCATTCCGAGGCCCCGAAGCTGTAAAGCCAGTGCGTGCTAGTAGTCGAGCACGTGCCATGTTACGGACAGAGACAGGATAGTGGAAACGGGAGTCCAGTCCGAGCTACCCAGCTTGGCGGTGCGTAGGTAGTAGCGTAGTAATCCGTAGTTAAATTAGAGTTTATGTTCCTCTCGTGCCCTCGGGATGCCATGCTGATGCTGGGATATTGTTGGGGTATAAGTGGATTTGGGTTCGATTCTCATCAGCGCTATTTGGTGAGTTTAGTATGGCGGTTCTGGTGGCGAAACCAGTTCAAAGTTGACATGTTTCGTGTCCCCTTCAGTGTCGTGACTTATTCTCCTAGGAAATGTCGATTCGTCGAAGTTGTGGGTATAATTTTCTCGTGTCTGGTCGGACACGCGGGAAGCTGTCTAATATTGGTGGGATTTAGCTAAAAAAGATATGATGAGGGTAGCAGGTGCCTAAGGTACCCTTTTCTCTTTCAGTACGCCCGCAGAGACGGGGGGTTGCCCGCAATGACGCTCCACAGTGGCGCTCCGTGAGTTGATTTGGAAATAGCTTTTGAAGCTACGTCCGATATCCGGGTTGAGTTAATCGGGAATGGTGTGGATGGTATTGAAACTCCCGGCTTAGAATTTCTCGAGAGGTTGTTCGGTATAGATTGAAGGATTTTAATAACCTTAGGATTAGTCCAGCGGTATTGGAAGTTGCTGGCCTCCCTGAAATGGCCAAGGAGGTCTTTAAGACTCTTTTGAGTCATTCGCGGTATTCCCTGGAACTTGTCGAACTTGATAAGTATCGACGATGGAACCACAAATGCACTGCGAGTATAGACCCATGATGTTTTCGGCTTTGGTAGAAAGTATCCTCCCTCAAGTTGAAGGAAGTCGCGTCGATAATCGGGCGTTGCTGAGCCCTTAAATGCACGGAAGTCATAGCGGTCTTTGTCGCGGTGTTGTGGCTGTCTCCATGGCGGGAGGTAGTCATTTTCGGGTCCAGAGCCGTATGCCGAGATAGTGGTAACCAGGTAGTACTTTGAATCTTCGGAGTGTTCCAAGACTAGAAAAATTAGTACTAGGATTTGGATCAACGAGTTTAGAGGATTAGGGGGGGTACTTACTTATTACCGGGTGGTTTGTCGCCCTTCGAGGTAAGTAATTGGTGTTGATTAAGGCGTTATATACTGCCTTAGGATACTCGGAATATGGCCTAAGGAACGCAATATCGCCGGCTTGCCAGTGGTCGCTATGTTGTTGATTGGGTGTAGTTTTGTTACGTGATCGACGGGCATTCGATACTGGAATGAACCCGTCTGGATCACATATACTTGTCGTAGACATAGTCGTTATAGTATATATAGGGTTATTTTGAAACGAAAGGGCTTGTTTAAAGGACTAGGGAAGAATTCGATGATGATCAATAATGCTTTGTCGAAGGATATTGGAGCAAATATTGAAGCTTTTGCAGCCAAGGGGTAGAGGCCAGAGATGTACAAAAGCTATGTAGGGTGATGTGGAAAGGAGATGAAAGTAGAAGTGTCTGATCCAAGAGAGCGTTCGTTTTATAGATGTCTTTTAGAATACGACAACGGCTGGTTGGGGTAAGCAAAAGTTAGAAACGAAATTCGAATCTTTTTTCCTATTCTTGGGGACGTTATACATTAGGTTAAAGTCTTGATAGTTTGTAGGGTAGATTCTGATGGTGGTGCTATGTCTATGTGTCATAATCTAACATATGCTTTTGACACTGCGCCAGTTCATAGCAGGAGTAGTTAGTATAGCTATAGTAATAGTATCTGAGTTTAGTAAATGAGCGAGCCAGTTACAACCTCGTATAATGCTTTACATCGTATTCAAACTTCAAGTAGTTAATTTGAGGCAACCTATACCTATGTAAGTACCGGTCAAGCTTTTTCATTCTTTTTTTCATGGGGTGAAGTAGGGTTTGATGTACGCCAAAACGTCTACGAAGCGCTGTGGCATTTCTATATAACTATACATTTTGACTTGTTATTTTTATATAGATACCTACCTACCTAATGTTACAATGTTCATAAATGTTGCCGTTGTGTATGGTTGCAACATTAAATCTGTCGAGTAACAATTCTTTGTGATATAGGTACCTCTTATCTAAGTAATTATTCATACTGAATTCTGTCCATGCTCAGTAAAAAACCTTTCTTTATATATTTGCGTTAACTACCTCACCTACCCATTGCAATAAAGAATATTGTAAAGATTACCCTCGGATGTGCGAGCAGGTCTCCAAATGGTTGAGATATATACTTCCAATATGAAACCAAATAAACTGCCATGGCGATTAATGGAGTTCCTCTTGCCAAAATATTTTCAGCAAGTTATAGGTAGCAATTATACCCCGACTAAACATTTATAATATCCAAGTCTTAAAATAGGTCTTTAAGATTATGTCAATGCTAGTTATACTTCATGGTGACTATGTTGAGCGTGCTAGAATATACCCAAGGTTAACAATAACCTAACGAGTACTTCGTACCTGTCAAGCCACAAAAGTTCCCATCCAACATACATATAACAAGCCGAACACGTAAAGTAATTTTATACTTTTCTAATACTAGATTGAATTTTATAGCCGACCAATCAATATCAAGCCTCTTATTCAAAGAGGTAATATATCTAAAACTACAAGTTCCCGTTATTGTAGCGGGAAATATAGTTATCGATAATGCAAGGCTTATGTAATCTGGGATTATACATGGTCAATCCCCCACTACATAATGCGTCCAATTCTATCAACATCCATGAGGAGTCATCACATATTAATATATAGATCCGAGTTATAATTGTCAACTAGAATATAAGCGCAACGCTCCTATACGGTAGATACGGAAACATCGGGTTTTCTTAATATACAAAGACAAAGAAATAGACTACAATTCGTTTAACTACCTAACCTACCTAGGTACCCAAAGACAAACCCCGCCGTTAATCTTAAATATCCTCATCCCGCATCCAAGACAACTGCTTCCCGCAAACGCCAGTCAGCGCCACACATGCACCATCCAATCATTCATAATACCACCGAGATCCTTTAAACCTACCTGAGAGACCGACGCCATGATAGCCGAAGATCGCCCGCGGATTCTGTACGCAGATTCGGGTCCGGAGCCTCCGTACCCGCTGCGCATGGAAGGCACCGTCATATCCGGCTTCGGCCGCGGGTCCAAAGAACTCGGGATCCCAACAGCCAACCTCCCCGTCGACTCAGTCGCTACGCCCTGGATTGCCAGCGCAAAGTCAGGAGTGTACTTCGGCTACGCCGCGCTCGCTCTACCATCGTCTCATCCCGACCGACAAGACCCCAGCGACGCTCCAAACCAAACCAACGAACCCCGCCATCGCTCTAACCCCCGCGCCGCCGCCAACGCGCCTCCCGCCTCTCACCCACCCCCTCCCACGACGATAACACCCGTCAGCACATCTTCCGAGACCTTCCCCTCAGTCTCACTCTCACCCTCCACCACCAAAGAGGCGCCCAATTCCACCATCGCAACCACTACCTCCTCTTCCGCACCGACATCGCAAAAGCGCTGGCAGATCTACCCCATGGTAATGTCCATCGGCTACAACCCCTTCTACAAGAACTCCGTGCGCTCCGCCGAAGTGCACGTACTGCACAAATTCGGCGCCGACTTCTACGACGCGCCGATGCGCCTGCTGATCCTCGGCTTCGTGCGCGAGGAGCGCGACTACGCCTCCCTCGAGGCGCTTATCACCGACATCAACATAGACTGCGAAGTAGCGCGCCAGAGCCTCGCGCGCCCCGCCTGGACCCCGCGCGAAGGCACCGCGGATGGCGTCACGGGCGAGCTTGACGGCTCTTGGCTCGTTAGGGAGTCGTAGGGATAGACTATGTACCTACTGTGTTGTTGGGATACTTATGTATCAACCTACCTAACGTATATATGATATATCCTATTTTCTTACTTACCTACATAGGCAATATATCATAAGCATGCGACATGGGTAATGCGATCAGGAGGGGCAAAGGGGGGGGTAAGGGGGGTAAGGGGACGGATTGCCCGAATTGTCCCGTCCCGAGGCATTCCCGTTGGAAATTCCCGGAGATTCTTGGGTGCACGTGAGACGTGTTAGATGCGGTTCTACTATACAAGACCAGGTATTGGTCGGGTGGCTTATTGGGTGGGCGTCCAGTGCATAGAACAAGACGTGCTGAATTGTTGGTATCTTAGAATAAGTCAAATGAAATTCATGGTGGCTCGGTCGTAAAACCGATTTTGAAACCCATGCTCTATGCCGTGTCTACCCTATGGTGAGCCCTGAGATAACATGCATTATGACCAGCTCCCTTCAAAGGGAGAAGAGCTCCTAAATACGAGCTCCATCCAAAACGCCACCCATGCTATATATAGTAGTTCTGTGAACTAGAAGTGAATAAATCAAGAAACATGCATGCCTCTATACGTGTGCTCTAACTGGCCTATCCCTATACAGCCAATTGATCCTGATTGCGGTAGTAACACGGTAAGAACTACAATGGAGTTAGCAAGTCTATCAATCCGAGTGGACACAACAATGAGTCAACTTACATTCATGACAATCAGCATTGGTATATCAAAAACATCGCGCTTGATGGTCCAACAGAACGTGCAGTCGATCTTACCATCCTTTTCGAGTTTCGAGATCCCGTGTTCTCCGTCGATCCGTGTGACCCTGTTGCTCAGAATGCTACTGTTGCGCCGGTCCTTGTGAGGGGATTCGTCACTGCTTAAAGGCTCGCTCATTTCCTTAGTTCGGTATTTGAGAAGTCGGCATTTTCTCGTGACATGACCGCGACTATCGCCGAAGGCCAACTGGGCGAAATCTTCGTAGAATTGAACCACACTATCGTCGTCCATGAACTCTGCAATGAAGGCCGGTTGTATCTTGCCTTCCGAGGCCTTGCCCAAGTCTGGTTGGGCTGTTCTTAGCCGCGGCGTAGTGTACTCGGACTTGCCTGTGCTACCGAGGCTACTCAACTCAGATCCCGACCGACCATTATTGACATTCATGTTAGGTTCTTTTCCTAGCAGTACGTTTTTGGTCCATCCGGTCAGAGCAATGAATTCTTTGTTTACAGCCGCCACTTCTCCGGTTCTTCGGCAGACAATAGTTGGCGCAGAGCAATGACCCATGAAGTCTTCGTATTCGAATAAAGTCCGCTGTAGACATTTTTCCATGAAAATAAGATCTTGCCGGTTCAGATTCCTTGTGCATGCAATAAACGAAGGCCGGATACTAGCAAGAGACTTGGCGATACGTAGAGTCTTGTTAGCGGAAAACCTTCGCTGGACAAATGCGATCAAGTTATGAAACCCAGTAAGATATGGATAGGGCTCGGTGACAGTATCGTAGATCGCAGATGGATCGCGTTGTCGTTTGCCTAAAATAGACTGAGGCCCAAACCGGCCCGTGGAACTAGAGGATTTTGGTTTTGGTCGTGTAGGTTGAGCGATTGGTTGAGCGATTGGTTGAGAGCTGGCAGGTGTATAGGTGCTCGCAGTTGGCGATTTGTCGAATCCATAGCCTGTGGGTTGCGGGCTTGATGTATTGTCTGTGCTTGGACTCGCTAGACTATTTGGCGTTGGTCCAGCAGCCGCCACGGCGTATGCATGAGGCAGGCCATGCTGCAGATTACCCGGATATGTGCCGCCGTTGCTTGGATCAACGCTCATGAAGCCGTCATTCATGCCATTCTCATACATATGATTATGATTATATTGACTGACTCCATTTCGATATACCGGCGTAGATCCGTAGTTAACATCCGTCCCGGGAGGATGAGCTATAGCGTCTCTAGGAGGAGTCTCCGCGGCTCCAGAAGACATATGGCCAAGCATCCCAAACTCCAGCGCACCGTAATGGTTCCCAAAATTCAGGCCTTCGAGGTCGAAATTGAATATTGCAGGATTGCTGGGATCAAACAAGGCAGTTGAGAAATTATGGCCCATCTCGCTAGATACTTGAGGAACTTGCATAGAACCTATCTGTGCTGCTCTCGATGTGTTCGGCGGCTGAAACCCAGGCGTCACCGGCGAATGCTGGCTAGCGAAAGACATATTGTCAGGAAGTGATGATAGCTGGCCCTGAGTATTGCCATTAAATATAGAGTAGGTAGACGAATTGGAAGCTTCCGAATAATACGGCGACGTTTCGGAATTTCCGTTAGACAGATGTCTTCCATTTGTTGGCTTCGTATGGACCGCTGGGTTGTAAGTTGGTCCTAGAACCGGTCTTAAAGCCTCTGGAGGAGCATCGTGAAGATATTTGGCTTTCTTCCGGACTCCGTCTTGGCATGCGTCCGCAAGACCGCGTTTTATGCACCTTTGGCATGGACGCTCATCTCCTACTGAAGTGTTAGTAAATCTACTCAGTCTAGCCTCATGGTGTCTCGACTCGATTCACGCTGAGACACATTGGCTGTAGCTCAATTGTGGGGTCATTGAGACAGTTGGACTGCGATGCAGGCCTGGGCACATAGGCGTAGGGCTGAGACTTACCGCATGTGAGATGGGCTCTCTGGCAAGCATAACACGCACGTCTCGCCTTCTTTCTCCTTGGGCGGTGGGGGTCTTTAGGATCGTACTTCTTCTTGACCTCCCCTGAATGGTCGGCGCTGCCAGGCTCGGGCGACGTGTTTTGGTCAGTCATCTTAGCATCTTCGTCCTTGATAGGTTGTTCCATGTCGTCGTACTCGTTCTCATTATCGGACAAGGCATCTGAGACCTCTGTCCCATTTGCCTCAACGTCTTCCGGCATCCTGTCTTAGTTATATAGAATAGCTCCTTTTCAGCTTTCCACGCCGGATGAAAGGTATGGCAATGCAAGTCCCAGGATAAGTCTGGCACAACCACACTGATCCAGAACAACAAATAGCTGAATTTTGCGAATCCCCGCAGGAGTATCACAGTCAGAGCCAGGGGGGCTTCCTCAGAATTTCAATATTCCCTATTTCAAGCACTAGTACAATCTTCCCACCGCCTCTTAGCTTCAACTTCAGCACAGACCCTCGGCTTGGATCGTGGTCCAGTAGCAATCGACTTCGGTGGCGTATGCAAGCCAATGAAGTCGCCCGAGAAGATGTTTATCGAAGCTGGAGGTAATGACGAGCTAAAGATACTGCGTGAGACGCTAGCTTAGGTATTATGGCGCTGTACGCTGCCGCGGTGCGACAGCCGTGTCTAGGGGCCAGTACCCCCTCCAAGAAGGCTTGCACAAGCACGGCGCAACGACAGGCCGCTCGTATTCAGCGTAGTCAAGCAAGGCGGACGCCAATGGGCTAGTTCCCCGTTCCCCGTTACAAAGAGGCGTTCCTTGTGCAACGGGGACAAGGCTTGCTGGGGGCCCCGTCGAGCGGGTCTATCCGCTCTGTTCGTACAGATCGCGGGGGGGATGTTATTTCGTTTGAACAAGAATTAGGACGGGCCGGGCTGCGCGGGGGGACAGGTCTTTGCTCATGGAGTCACGCGGCGACGGATAAGGCACTGGGGCGTCTGGCTGGGGTGGTATGCGGGATGGTCGACGGTGATGCAGCTAGCCGCAACTTCTGAGCTTGTTCGCATTTGGTACTGGGGCGCACAGAGTTTTGTTTTGTCGTCGGCGATTCGGATATGAATAGAACACCTGAAGGGGGGGGAGGAGAGGAGAGCGGGAGATATGAAGAGGTAGCTTGAAGCAGGTATGTACGTATGTATATATGTATGTATATGTGTGTATATGCGTAAGATATGTGTGGTATATATGCGTATGTATATGGATGTATGTATTTACTTTGGATCGGCGACCTATGTAACTAATGTACCATACGCAGGTAAGAAGATAGGTAGGCTATTGCGTATGCGTTATTGCTGCGCGGCTTTGCGAGGATGGTCGAGTATGGCGAGAGCTGCACAGGAGATTTGGTACGGATGCATCCAGCAACTCGACGATCGACGACGAACTGGGTGAACTGGGTGAACAGAACGGAGAGCTCTACCTAAGCGACCAGATCAAGCGAAAGCAGAGCGAGAATTAAAAAAGCCGAAACGTAATATCGTAATGATACAATATTGACGAAGAGGTGTCAGTAGTCGGAAATTTTCATATTCAAAAAGTTGTAGCGCCAATCAATTGGTATCAAACGGCGGTGGCGCAAAAGTTAAAGAAGATGGAAGAGTGAGGTTAGTAAGAAGTCGATGTCGACACCAATGACCCAATGACACGGGCCTTGAAGCTTGGTGAGCCAGCAGACCTGAAAAAAAAAAAATAGAAATAATAAAAAGAATTGACGATATCGGTCGGTAGAGTGGTAAGCCGAGAAAGAGGAAAGAGGGGCACCTCATTGGCTACTGCTTTTCCGCATTCTCAAATTGTAAGTCCCTCTGGTCCTTCAACCGAATTGCGGGGTTCATAAAATCATCTGAACTTTAATTCATTTCCATTTTGTCGATTTTGTTATTGAATTAATTTCTTCCCCTCTTCGGGCACACTCTTTTTAATTCTTTGTTTTTCTCTTTAGCGCATGTAGGCCGAGTTAATTGTAGATGGAGAAAAAGCCGGTCTGCCGGTATGGCAAGTGGATTTTCCCATAAGAGTCCCATAAGAGAACAAGAAGAGCATTTATCAAAAAGGAACAAAAAAGCGAAAAGCCAAGCAACGCTAGACCTAAAACTGCATGTCCTAATGCAGTAGACAGCTCCACAAGGCCTAATGGACCAGTCAGGCACGGACCAACCAACGCCAAGAATTCTGCCAAGGATACGATTCGAACCACGCTACAAACTTGGATTACTAACTATAAAAAACGTGAGAACCTTGCACGACATCATTTTTAGGTGTCCTCTCACCCACCCCAAGCCCTGACGAGTCCCGACAGGGCTCTTTACCGTTGATGCAGCGCTTCCCCAGACAAGCCAAAGAGTTATCTTGGCATATCGTGGTATCCTAAGCTCTATCTAAGCATACCACCTTACTTATTTACATGTTCCTATGTAATAAGCGAAGTATGAATAAATTGTTATCGCACCTTATACATGCACGTAGCATATTTGATGCATCTAAGATTGGACACCTAGAGGGATAAGGGGCACTTAGGGAGATACATACCTCATATGGATGTGGTATAGATGTACACCGTATGTGTTGCTGTAACAGGTATCATCGCTTTGTTCTTTCCTTACCGTAGGTAAGTTATGTTCCAATGTACAAGGTAGGTAGCTATTGCCTCTTAAACAGGTAGACAGTGTTAGATATTCAATTGTACCTCGTACTTGCCTGTATACCTGTCTAACTCAGGGGCACGTTAGGTACCTACATGTACGAATTACATATATCAATTTAATGTCAGTAAGCAGGAAGAGACTTCATATTACTTCATTCTACATTCTCCATTCTCCATTCTCTATTTTCCAGCACAAGTTGCGAGTCATCCAACCCCTCTACCCCTTTCTCCATCCCGCTATTTCATCACGGACGATGCTCCCGTGCGCTCATTTCTTCCAGTTCTAGCAGGTGAGCACGCCGGCGTCTGTCTTCTATTTCTTCGTACAGACACGTATAAGACACGTATACTATCTCTGATATAAATCTACACGGGGTCACTATGGATGGACCATCGGTACGTACGTATATCCAATAACAACGATAACAGCTCCAAATTGGCCCCCCTTTCGTTAGAAAGAATGGCGCTCTATACATGCATAGCGGTGGCTGAATATAACCAACGCAAGCGAGCGAGCTTTTGTCGAATCATGGCCTACCTCTCCGTTGTGCCGAGCCTGACTGGGAAGGAAGACGCAGAATGCAATGCCGAGTAATTGTCCCAGCCATGTTTATCATGGGTCAATCCATATGCACATGCAGTCAAATTTTGATAGGGACCAATCAGATTCCAACGGGACCAGTCGAAGCTTTCTCTTGGACGCGTCACTTGGGACGTGGAATCGATGGATGAATTGTTACATACAGAGATTCCTTCATTGTTTGCAGATGCTCCAATGTTGTTACTACGCCCGCTGCCCGCTAAATCGCAGTAAAATAGGAAGGTCGCCATGCTGATCTAGACGTTCTGTCGCCTGCTGGGTCGTCCTTATCCTATCGCCAACCTTCCCGAATTCTCCGGGGTACCTGAAGATCTTCACTGCAAGAGACCTTCATCTTTCGTTATACCGCCACCCAAAGGGCAATATGTAGTGATCACCATCAGTGTGACCAAGGAAAGTCCGCATCCGACTTCTAGATCATCCTTTCGCGACTATTTCAACAAGCGGTTGCATGCAATATGTATTAATATTGCTTTACCTGTCATTATCACGATACAATAGCGTTCCACATAGCCAAGATAGGTCGCCCACATATACGGAAACCCTATACAGCTTTACAGCTTCGATATAGTCTTGTCCATCTCAGATCGCTTACCCAACTCTACGTAGTCTACGGCGCCAACCGTCCGCTGCTGCAATGTCGTGCATTGCATGAATAGCGCGCTGTTGTTATTGCGGGATGCAACCTCATTGAAGGCTTGTTATTCCCCTTATACCCGTCGTGGATAGTAGATGCGGTCCTTCCACTAGTATAGTCGCATCTTTTTTTAACGCCGGCACTGCTTCCATCGTAGGATATCATAGGGCATATCAGCCCTGCTCTTGGCTAGATGGACTGGGGCGACACAGCATGTCAATCATTTGGAGGATCATGCAATAGCACCGATCAGTTATAATTGAACTCCAAAAGCACGGCATTTGAGTAGCCCAAGAGCTGTGTTTACAGGCCGACCAGTTTATGATTAAAGTCACGTGTTTCACCTGCATACGACCTTCGCGCGTTGCAATATAATCTAGGCTACACCACCTAGGGAAGACAGGAAGCCATGGAAGAGGTAATGTAGGGACAGATTACTACCTAAGTGGCTAGTGTGCCTCTCAAAAAAAAAATTGTGGCAAGTGGCTAGAAAGCTCATCAAGAATAACAATTCCCTAGGAAAGCAGCTGAACGGCTACAAGCTTCGTGTAACTTGGGAAGCGCTCTTCCAAATGCAGCCCGGCTCGAGACAGTATCAACGGTCCTAGACATGAACAACTCATGAAGACGTGGGAGTTCATTGCGTCTTGATATTGCAGTCACTCGTCGTGGTATCACACATGATGTCACGGTTCGAAGCATGCTGCACATGAGAATTGCGTTACCTATAATGAGGTGTTCTATAGTTCATCCCAACAAGTCACACAGAACTTTAACTTGGAAAAGTTGCTTCGGACATGCAAGATCACGATGGTCCGCAGGAATCTGACAAAGCGATTACAAAAATATTCGAGGGAGACTTTCGACTACGTACCCTGTCTTTGTGTCACGGCAGTATCATCTAAGTTTCCATCACGGACTCGCACTAGTAGTCTTCAACACCATGAGTTACGTTAGGCTTCAAGGCTTAGGCCCTACATATTCTTGGCAGTCTATAGACAGTGTCAATAACTAGTCTCTAGGTCAAACATAACCGCACAATTGTTTGTTATGAGCAACGGTGCTGGATAACGTTCCATCATAACGGACGAGGGTCCCCCAAAAGAGGAAACCCTCTAGCCTAGTCATGGTAGAAGGCATTCGGACTTCCGGACAGACGATGCTAGGTCACCTCCAAACGATTCCAAGTTGGTCTATTCGATGTGCCTATGCAAATTCATTCTCATTAACTCTGCGACTGTAGTTATTGATACAGATCAGATACCCAACATCCCCAAGGCCTAGCCAGGTAATACTAAGGGGCTAAGTTAGGAGATAGGCGTTATATTTTCCACCTGCAGCTATGAGAGCGGCTAAAAGCAGGCAACCCGTCAATTTGGTAAGGTGTCATATCTTGCGTGGAAGACACGCTCATTAGCTCTCCTCGTACGTCGGTTGTGGGCATATATTGAAAACTTGATACGAGGTTACAAGGCCGCCGCTAAGGCCTCTGACAGTTAACCAATACATCTATCGCCAAGTGGTCGAAACAACAAGCACGTCTACAAAGCCACCAATAAGCTCACGCGTAGTTGGGCCCGACGGACTGGGAAGAATAGATGAGGAGAAGTATGTCCTACAGCTCGTACGCTCGGGTCAAAGCATCATAATGTGGCGCTGCACATCGCAGACGAGAGGAGCCAATGACCTACCTTGCAAGAATTTTTGACATCATTCGATATGAAGTGGCGCTCGATAGCATCTCAGTCTAGAGCAACAAGAGATAAGAAGAATGTTGAATCGCCACGAGGAGTTGGGGGAATTGGCGTATTCGGAAGGCTAGGTGCTACTTCCGACCGCGACGGCCATGAAATGATGCATTTGCAGTATCAATCGACGTGTCTCTCGGCACTCGTACTAGGATCCAGCTGTGGAATCATCTTTACGGCCGCAGGTGCAGGAGGCACTAGTGCAGGTCCTGCTTTTGCATCCCAGCTACACATGCCGTCTTCTCTCAACTACCGACTCGTAATTATCATTCCTATAGATCAAGCTTAAAAATAACCGCCAGAGCAGGTCGTATTTACACATCAAAAGTGACACCCTAACGCGGTTAGAAGTACGAACTTAGGTTTCGAATGGCGCGATTTCTGGTTCCTCCCGAGATCTAGCTATGTCTGCTCCCCCTTCGCTACATACCTACCTACGTTCCTGGACTTCACAATAAGCTTGTCTAAGTATGGAAGTAACTTGCGAACCGCAACTAGCCGTGGACTTGGCACATATTCAAACGGCTATAGGACGGCAGGAATCCTTTGGTCTTGTGAGACAGTCTGCTAACCAGGCTATTGATATTTCCTCTTGCTATCTTTTCGATATCACGAGGCTATCACAGTCAGATTTAGATCTTAGGTTAAGTCTAGAACGTCATAACGCACGGGTCGGCCCTTTCTCGGATTCAGCTGAGGTATCTATTCTAGGCAGCTAGATGAAGCTGTGATAAATATGACGATGAGTGGTCGTTTGCAAGACCTTCAGCATTCAGCTAGCCGGCTATCCTGCGTAATCACGCTTATTTCGCACTTTATTTCCACCTCTAGAGTATCGTACGAGTCGCTTATTCAGTCTACGCGGCAATAGAATCCAATCCCCGGCTTCCAGCCTCATAATACCGTATTCGGACTCGTCCGTGACCAATTGGTACAATTCAAACACCGACATCAGACGCGGGCATATCAAGCCACTTCTCGGTTCTCTCCTGATATGCTACGCTTGCTTTGATCGATCTAGATTTCCTGTCAACCGGCGAACCTGTCGGCAAAAGTACAATCAATGTAGGATCAGCCGCAATGAAACTCTGTGGTTGGGGGGGGCGAGAGGGAACGCAAAACGCGGCAAGCAAAGACAAAGCTTTAACGTGCGTTCCATCAGCCTCCTTTTCGGCGGCCCCCACCCTACATCATCGGTCTCGGTGTATAACGGTTTACCTTCCTAGAGGCTGGGTCCAAACGCTCCCGGTAAGCCACACCGAGATCATCTCCATGCATGCTACGTTATTTTTTGTTTGACACTTACTTTTCTACCGCAGAGCCTCATAATCCTACCCTTCTGACACACACACCTCCCATGCCATGCAAAGAAGATCCCGCAGATGGCGCCTGATACAATAATTCGGAAAGGAGAGCCGCACCGTATGCTGGGTGCCAATACATATCGGCCGAAAACAGTGCGCGTACTAATCTGTCATTATTACCTCTTGCAATCATCAAATTTCTCCGTAGAGAATATACACAGCTCATCTCATAAACCTAAACCACATTTCGCCCGTCTCATAACCCCCCCATCCCCCCCTTTCCTCTTCCCTACTTCATGTACCATATCCAATATATATATCAATAAAATCAGCCCGCCTGCCAATGCGTATATGCAAAACGCTCATAGTTACAACTAATCTTATGCGCACGAGATAATGTTTGCGCTCCGGCTTCTCTAGGAGCCGAAAGAAACGCCACCGGATGCGGGATACCCGCGGCTAATCCTTCCTTCTCGGCTTCTGTACGCCATTCTCTCCCCCCCCTTTTAACCCGTTTGTGAAACCCGGCCTGACAGCATAACTAGCTGAATTTAGCTGCTTACTTTCTTGCTTTTGATCATATTACGCACCGTGCTCGGATCTCCTTTGCATCGCTAGGAGGCATTGGTAAGCTGTTGTCATTGGTAAGCCGCTTGTCTATTAGATTACTCGACCTTAGCTTAATTTGCCATTCCACAAAAAAATGTGTAGAGATGCATGGAGATTACCTAGGTAGGCAGACGGTTGAGATGCCGAGCCCTAAAACACACCGGTCCAGCCTCCCCAGACGCCAACCCCCACGCAAATCAAACAAACAGTGAAAAAAAAGCAAACCCCGAGCAGAACAAATGATATACCTAACCTAAATTTGACTGCGATCAGCAATCAAAAACTCTCACTTAGATCCGAGAAGTCGGGCACGTCTGCATCGCAGTTGAAGTCCTTATCATACGCCTTGTCGGGCAGGATGCCGGCAGCGAGGCCCTTCTTGTAGCTCCACTGAGGCGCGCTCTCAGTGTCCCAAGTCCAGTACCACCAGCCGTAGCCTTTCTCGAAGCTAGTCATCTGGGCCTCGGCGAACATCTTGAGGAATTTCTTGTACGAAGCCGAGTAGGAACCCGGGTCGGCGTTGGCATCGTCGCACGTGCACGAGGTGTCTTGAGTTGGGCACTTCGGCGTTAGGGCCTCGGTCGACGCGTTGCCCGAGTCGTACGTGCCCGTCCATCGGTTGCCCCAGCCCACGTTGGTCAGGTACTTGGCGCAGTCAGTGTCGGCCTGCGACCACTCGGCGAACATGGTGGGGCCGAAGCCGGTGGATGTGTCCATGCTCTGCTGCGTCTGCTGCGTCCACCCGTCGCAGGCGTACTGCACCTTCTTTTGATGCGTGTAGACGATCTGGTCGTTGTTGAAGATGACATACTGGTGCACGTCAAGCACCAGCCCGTTCATACCCGTTAGCTTGCCCTGCCAGTTGCCTAGTCCCATGAAGCCATCTCCGAACACAACGTTGGCTTGTATGCCGTTCTTGCGTGCGAGGTTGTACGCCTCCGATGTCCAGGAGATAACGGCGTCTGCAGGAAGGGACACCATGCGCGGCTCGTTCGCTAGGCCGTAGAACGTGATGATGTTCTTGTAGCGGTCCTGCGCGAAGAACTTAGTTAGACGATCGTGCACGTCGAGTGATCGCTGTGAATTTAGGTCCCCGTCGGTGCCGTTGAGCCAATTGACTACGCCTTGTCTTCCACTGTGATTCCAGCCATTCTGACTTCCTGGTAAGCCGTGAAGGTCCAAGTTCACTCGTAGCCCGTACTTACGCGCCCACTCGATCGCGCGCAGGAGATAACGCCACGAGGTGCGGAAGACATATGGGTCGTCGTCGTACGTCTGCACGGCCCAGTAGCTGTAGGGGATTCGGACGTGATCTAACCCTGCGGCCTGTATCTCCTGGAAGGTCTGTTCCGTAACAAATGTGGCGTAGTGCTTTTCAAGAGTTGAAGCTGCTGTTTTGGGACCGAGATGCTTGCATAGAGTCCATTCGTCAATGATGCCCAATCTGCTGTCATAGTTGAATAGCGAAGGCGTAATAAAGGGCTCAATCGAGAGCCAGCCACCTAGATTAACACCGCGTGCTGGTGTTTTTGCGTAGTCGCCCCAGGACTTCTCAATAGCGGGGACCTTGTCGTTGGCAGACTTGGAGTCGTCCCAATCCATGAAAAGCCCCATAACCGGCAGGTCACCCACTGTTTCGTTGGTATAGGTTACGTTAAGGTCTGTCGTGTCGTACCATGTAAATGGGTCCAGATAAGTCCCCCGAGCAGCTGGGGGGACGCTATTTTGTGAGATATCGTCGAGACTGGAGTTATGCGAGCCAGAGTCGTTGGCCTGGTTCTTCTTGCTCACGACGACCGCTACCACTATGATGATGATGAGTATCACAAGCGCGACGCCTGCTATGATCCCTATTTGAGATGTTAATAACGTGCCTGGCACTAGGCCTTTTAAACCTACATCGTTTCTTCTTTCTGACGGTTCCTGGTATGTTCCATTGCATGCCCGCTTTCTCCTTTGCGATACTGTCATAGCTATCATAACTACTGTGTTTACTCGCGGCGCCGCCCCTCATTCTTGAGGTCGCCCTCCCCTCCTCTACGATAGCTCCGCTGACTACTCTTCGGTCCTTTTTGTGATGTCTTCGTTCTTTGTCTCTTAGTATAACCTCTTCGTCCCCAGTATCTATGTTGCGATGTCGTCGCCTATGCCGTCGATCCTCTACATCCTGAGATTCGTATCCTCTTTCGCGAACTCTTTCCCCGTCTCGGTATTCTCTTGTCCGCCGTCGTTCCCTTCTAGGTGATTCATACTCTCCTTCGGAATGCGCATGGTCGCCCCTCGAGCGCCGCGCTCTCCTAGGTGACTCGTATTCAACATCAACAGCCTTATACTCTTCTCGTCGGGGTCGGTCTCTTTTCGGTTTACGCTCCCGTTCTTTCGGCGGTTCCTCCGCAGGCTCGAGGGAATTATACTCATTCAATTGAGCAAGCGCGCCCATAGAAAGCCTTCGAGCCGTACCCCGTGATGTCTCCTCCGGACCCGATGTAGGCCTCTTTGAGCCATGCTCTCTGGATCTCCGTTTCTTATGTCGTTTATGATGCGCATCGGAATCCCTACGCCGGTGGCCGTCCGATTCCACCTCGTCATGCGCCATGGGTATAAGGAATGAGAAATTTAAGACTAACTACAATATAGATATGGGATACATTCACAAACACGTAAGGAGTCTTTCAATCTATAAAGTAGATAGATATGCAGGCCCTTTGCGGAAAGTATCTGCAATAATTTATCGATTGCGTCAAGTTCCTTGGAATAAACCGTTTAAGCTTGCGTGGCCAAGAGTTTCGTGCCATCCAATGGTGAATCTGTGGTTGGCCGGGCAACTATCTCTTCCAAGTTATAATCCTTGTAAAAGTTGGAAGATACGAGATGCTGTCTCCAATTGCGGATAGGCCAAGACTTTTCCGACACCCTGACACCCAGCAGTCTGGGCCATGACGGTAGGTACGTGGGTACCAAAAAATATAGCTAAGACAGCGGATTGAACGGTATAACCAGCGGGGCTTAGCTAGGTACCTAAGGTTAGGTACCTAACACTAGGTCTCGTGGGCTGCGTAGATTGTGGGGTTTTAGTTCAATTCGAGATTCCCTAAACCGAATGCCGCAACTAAGCGACGTCGGTTCTCAGCTTCTCCATGCGTATGACGGCCTTAAGACGGCCTCGGTTGACTTGACCGATTTCTCACATTCCACTTCTGCTTATCAGAATGCTTTCAATCCATAGCTAGACATGAATCTGCAAAGGTAGCAGGTAGCATCGTAAAAATGAAGAATTGTATTTCACTTCGACCACTTGCGAGAGCGTCTACGCCCATCAATAGGCTGTATAAGTCGAGGCGACCGGCTGTATGCTCGTCACGACGTCGAAACTACTCTACGCATCCGCCGAATGCGCGACTCAACTTACCGCCTGACTATTCAACAACGCCACTACTAGCACACAGCTCGCAAGCAGCACTTTCTAACCCAGAGTTACCGCCTGAAGCTAGAAATGGTACAGCAAAACGTATGAACCTATTCCAGGCCATAAACGATGCCCTGTCGATAGCGCTTGCTGAGGATGAGAACGTTCTGGTATTTGGCGAAGATGTATCCTTTGGTGGCGTGTTCCGCTGTACGATGAAGCTTGCCGAGAATTTCGGAGGAGCTCGCGTCTTCAATACACCTCTAACGGAGCAAGGTATCATGGGATTCGGCATCGGGTTAGCCGCCGAGGGTATGCGACCCGTAGCCGAAATCCAGTTCGCTGACTACGTCTACCCTGCGTTCGACCAATTAGTAAACGAGGCCGCGAAATATAGATACCGCGAAGGAGGGACCGGAAGAAGTGCGGGCGGCCTGACGGTGCGAATGCCATGCGGAGGCGTCGGTCACGGAGCACTGTACCATTCACAGTCACCTGAGAGCCTTTTCACTCATATTCCTGGTTTAAGAGTGATAATGCCGAGATCTCCACTACAAGCCAAGGGACTATTGCTTTCTGCTATTAGGAGTAATGACCCGTGCATTTTCCTAGAACCCAAAATCCTGTACCGAGCGGCCGTCGAACAAGTGCCGACAAATCCATATACCTTACCCCTCTCCAAGGCAGAGATACTTAAGGAGGGCAAGGACGTTACTATTATCTCATACGGACAGCCACTATACACTTGTAATGCTGCCATTCAAAAGGCAGAGGAAGACTTAGGAATTTCGATAGAACTCATTGACCTGCGAACCGTATATCCTTGGGACAAAGAGTGCGTCTTCGAGAGCGTACGGAAAACGGGGAGATGCATGGTGGTGCACGAATCCATGGTAAACGCAGGAATAGGGGCCGAAGTGGCCGCGGCGATCCAGGAGGACCCAGACACGTTTATAAGACTCGAGGCTCCGGTGTCGCGAGTAGCAGGATGGAGTATATTCACCCCACTGATGTTTGAGAAGTTCAACATCCCCGACGTAGCTAGTAAGTTTTCGAAGCTGTCATTGTTTTCCAATGAATAGTGCTAACCATGGTATAGGAATATATGATGGCATAAAGAAGCTATTGGAATATTAAACAGTAGATGTTATACTTAAGATATAAGTATCCCTTAAATACCATTATGCATATAAGTCGCGGTCTGGTGTATTTGGAATTTTGGTATGAGAGGAACAAAGAAAATAGTGTCAAGAAAGTCCATAAATTTATTGACAAGAGGGCCTAAGTAAATACATTAAAACCCTAGAATATTAAGTCCCTAGGGTTTGAAGACTTTAGATGGCTGGGAGACAATAGAAATTAATATAAAAGCGAATAATGAGAAAGAGTGCAGATTATACACTGTATTTCGTACGTACCTAAGGAGGTACCTAAAATATCCTATCGATAAAGCCCATGGCCCCCACTTAGCTGCCCCGCGCTCCCTGCGTTTCAATAAGTCAAGACTAAATTGGGGCAACGGAGACGACAACGCTTGTGATACTTTTCCTAATGGTACCTTAATTTAATCCCTTCTTCGGACTTAAACCTCTTCACAATAGGACAATAGGACAAACTCAAGATGGCTACCTCTTTAGAAACCGTGGAGTCCTTTGTAGAGGGTGCACCCCCTGGCGAGGTATGTTCGATAGCTAGGTTAGGAGGTATTTATACAAATCGGACATCACAAGCTGACTTACAGATACCGAACAGCTCGCAGATGTCATAAACGGTACGTCCGAACCCCTTATCTCTTCACCCAATCACACCATATACATACAAGTCTAATATTTAATCATATCTACAGATATCAAGGCTCTAACCTTCAACGAACCCGATATTGTCTCTAGACTAGGACCCGCGTTCGAGAGGTACAACGAGGAGCAATTCGTCACCGCCAAGCTGCCCGGCAGCAGCCAACAAGTTATCATCAGCTCGCATAGCTCCCTCGGTAACGGACGATACTACGATGTTGAGAGCTCGTCAAGCTTCGCCTTCGACCACGTCACCCAGAAAGCGAGCAACGTCCAGAGCCACGTGCTAGAAGGACCCCAGGCAGATTTAGTGTACGCATGGCCTCCCTAAGCTATAATAAATAGATGAGAGACAATTAGAAAGACAATGTGTCTATGGGTATTGGTATAGAGTGGCTGGCTGATAGGCAGCGCGCAGGAAGTCGACACTAAAAAGCGTCTCGGCATACGTTAAGGAGCACTTCCCGAGCGGTTCGTATGGCGTGTACTCGATCGAGGGCGACTCCAAGGTCGCCGTTATAATCGTGGCCAACAAGTACAGCCCGAACAACTACTGGTATGTGGACCCCTTTTCTCAACCCCCAAAACACAACCATTAGCAAAACAATATAAACAGAGGGCTCACCCATCCACAGGAACGGCCGTTGGCGCTCCCTCTACATATTCGACCCTTCGAGCAGCAGCATCGAGGGCAGCGTCAAAGTCGACGTGCACTACTACGAAGACGGCAACGTGCGCCTACTCACCAACAAGCCCATCACCGCATCCGTGTCATCAGGCACCGGAGCCGGCATCGCCAAGGAGATCAGCGCTAGTGAGCGCAAGTACCAAGAGGAACTGAACAGAGGATTCACGAGCCTAAGCGAAGGCGCCTTCAAGGGCCTGCGGAGACAGTTGCCCGTCACGCGCCAGAAGATCGAGTGGGATAAGGTCGCGAGTTACCGTGTCGGACAGGATATTGGAGGGGCTGCTAGAAGATAGTAGTGACGGGGAGGAAAGGTGCTGTTAGATGTTTTGTTGGAGGTGTGATGTGGAATATCGGTCGACCCCGGTGAGGCCCGGAGTGTTGTATTTGCTTAGCCAGCCTGAGTAATTTAGCGTAGCATATGCTGAACAAGGACGTCTTGATGAATACGAAGGATGAGTAGAGTTTATGTCTCGAATATTTGCCCAAGGGACTTGCAAGTTAGATGAAATCCATGTTGCATATTTTATTTCACCACTACAGGTGCTTAGGTTTCTACATACACCTCTAGACGATCAGACGCGAATGCACTTAACTGGGCAGAAAAGAGCTATTCATTCTACCACTAAAGAATAGGTACCCAAGTAAACTACAGTTACTGCCATGTTCTAAACAGGTACTACACGTACAGAAGACATCAGGTGGTACCCCTCCCTCACTGGCGCACGGTTGCCAGGTGCAGTTGTCATAGGGATCGCAAGGTAAGTTAAATATTGCAATAGATGCACAGTCCATCACCCCGGATCCGAAACCCAAGGTCAAAATGGCAATTGGCTTAGCGGTTAAGGTGATGAAAGGATAGAAATAACCCCTCGAAGGGTTTTTCATAGGACTTGCACTTCGGACCTAGCAGGGCTACGAGGAGGTCAACTCGTGTTGGTACGAATGCGACAGAATGGTGGGCAACTCCGAACTTTTTTGTACGTTATTTTTTCCTCTTATTCTTTTTTATTCTATTTTTATTTTTATTTTACTAATGTAATACCGTCGTCCAAGTTAAAACCATCTTATTGTCGCGCAATATAATCAAGACAACATACTTCTCCCCTCATCCTGCCCGATAGATTCATCCCGTGGTGCCAGTCCAGTGGTAACCCGCGGCATAAGCTCAACACCAGGGCCTCCGAGTGTTCGTGTGAACACGTACTCGTGCCCAGCCCAATACGCAACGAAATATGCCAGCGCCGAGAAGATCTCTGCCAACTCGATGCACTGCGATACACGGAACCACCATCCCAATGCAAAGACCCGTCCCGGGCGAAGAAACCAGAGAGGCGATATAGTGCAGGTATAAGGGGGATCGAAGGGTCTTCCGCGGCCCCCGGCAGCTAGGGAGTACGTATATCCCGCGTAGAACAGTGTTCGGGAGCGGCAAGAGTAGAAGTCCTCCGATTCGCCTCTGAGAAGTATAGTACCAGCCACTGTAAAGTACAGCGATAGCCCTATAAAACTGCCGAAAACTATCACAAGAGTTCCCGGCCCATCTCGTTGGGAAAAACCTGACATAGATAACATGAAGTCGATCATCGCACGGGCGAAGCACCAAAACAGACTGATACCGAAGGACAAACGCCAGCGACGGGAGCTAGGAGGAGTCTCCATTAAAAATAGACAGAACGAGAAGAAGCTGGAGAACACTTAGGAATGGTTCTAAAAGGGTGACGGGATACCTAGTTCGGAGAGAGCCTCCTAGTAGACATACATCATATCTAATAATCTAACCGCTATTTCGTATTTTCGGAAGTCCCTGTTAGAATCATCGTATGCGGTGATCCAAAAGACTCTAGTCAATACGAAAGAGATGGCTGATAGAACGCCGAACCTGGCAGGATGAGTTGAGTAAAGGGTATCACATATCAAGATTGGTTGTGAGGTAGGTAGGTAGTTACCATTGTGCGTAAACAGCTATATACTTGCTCAGTAACAAACCCTAATTTATTTGCATATTGCTTATTCAAAACTTACTAGCATTCCGTAACGCAATATCTCTCCTGTTGTTGAAAAATATATTCATCTTGCACAGTATAATAGATCGGGTCTTATTGCTTTAAGATGAATTTGAAGCTACATTTTCGATGAGAAAGAAGCTGATGTTGGAGATGAATGTTGCGAAAGTCGTCGTTTCCCCTACTATGTGACATGTCGACCTAGTCCAAGGATTAGCATCCATCCAGCATCAAATGAAGCCCCCACCGTACGAAAGAAGTTGGATATCTGTAAGACAGATATGTAGCTGAACACAAGCGTCGATTAAACGTGAGTGGCTATAAGACATGATGGCCTATAGGAAGGCGTTTCATGTAGGAACAATATAAATAGATCAGATATATCAGAAATAGTAGCAGGGGCTCGTAATCATCTAGGTTACTTCTTTAAGTGCCTCGCCGTATTCAAATCAGATACTATCAACATTATCATCTATGGAGGCGGAATAGAAGAGTATCGTCTGATAGATATTTGTGTCGAGCGCGGTACGATGGCAACCCAACAGATTTACCAGCCCCTTCCGGCAGGGTCTATACGTTTATTATCAATTGTCCCGGGATTTGCATCCGAGGCGATCAACTGCAGTCTAGTCGTAGTCGCCGACGTAGAGCAGGCGCCGACGTTTGACGCGATATCATATGTCTGGGGTACTGAACTATCCGAAGAACCCATCATGTGCAATGGCCAGAGGATGACAGTCACGAAGAACTTGATCGAGGCCATGAGATATCTCCGTCCGCTTCCACGCTGGGACTCAGTCATCACTTGGCCAGAAAATCATCCTCTTCATTCGAGTCGCAACGTTTGGCGCGAGTTCGCCTCTAATCGGCAAGAAGAGCGAGGGCAGTCCGACTTTCAGCAGGTGAGGCATCTTGTTCTGGTTGGGAACTAATGACGTTTGAATTGTAATAATCTGACACAGGAAAGGCCCATCTGGATCGATGCGCTTTGCATCAACCAAAAGGATAATGTCGAGAAGTCACTCCATGTGAAGTCGATAGATAGAGCCTATACCAACGCCCATACGGTCAAGATATGGCTAGGTAAATTACCAAATATCGTATATCCGACTAATCGGCCACCTCCGGAACTGCAACTACTAACAGGGGTACCCGTATTCTTAACGCAACGGAGTAAGCCCATCGGTAAACGCGGGAAGATGCCGGTCATCCTCACGATGATCGCACAAGCTTTGAGGAACGTCCAGGCCGGAGAGATTTACCCTACGGCATCAAAATCTGCTGCAGATGCCGTCTACCGAAATTTAGTGCACGGCTTTCCTAACGCGTCGGCTGAGGATTGGCAGTACCTCCGCGAGTTCTTCGACAACCTATGGTTCCAACGCGTTTGGATCGTGCAGGAAGTTGTTCTCGCTCCACGAGCGATAGCTATCTTAGGAGACTGGGAGGTCCAATGGACAGCCTTAGGGCAAGCGGCCACGTGGTTTCAGACACATGGCTTTGCGTTGCCCACTAACATTGAATTTAAGGGAGAGCTAGGAGACCTTCTGCCAATATCCGAAGTAGCCGCGATGTGGCATATGCATATGACACCGGGGAAGAGACGGCCCTTACTTCAGATGCTACGGGACCTTCGAGGGAGGAAAGCAACTCTCAAAGAAGACAAGGTATATGCAACCTACAGTTTAGCAGAAGAGACTGCAAATACAGACAGGCTCGACCCGCTAATCGAACCGGTCTACGGTAATCCCATCAATGAAGTTTATCAGAATGTGATTCGCTTCCTCGTGATAGAACACGGGGAGCTTTCGGCATTATCTCATGCCGGTGGAATCCAAGGGCTGAAAACCACAGCGTGGCCATCTTGGGTACCCGACTGGAGTCAACCAAAAGCATGCGTTGAGTTGGTTAGCCATAACCAGGATGATCCACCATACAACGCAAACAGTAATGAACATCTGGCTATTGGTGATTCTACCGACCCAAGATGCCTTTCCGTCAAGGGAATTAGGGTTCTCCTAGGCGAAATAAGAGTGTACGGGGATAAACTTGTAAGCTATGGGTTCCGACACAGGACGTACAAGGAAGAACGTGACTTTGTTGGAGCGGCCTGGAGTTTGATAGCACATTGGTCCGACAAGGTGAATAACCTGGAAGAGAGGAGGCCAAAGTATCGGCCAAAGAACATACCGCACACATTTGTTTCAACGCTCACAGCAGGTCTCAGCGATACGAAACGGCCGATCAACGAGGATCCTGACTTCCTCGATGATGCAGCACAATGGCTACTTCAACAGTTTGGGAAGCGAATACCAGTCTCAGGAATCGGCCAAAAATGGAAGTGGTCAGATACTCTTTGGAAGTCTTCGAGTTCAATCCGGTTCCACGAGGCCTTTACAAGGGTTTGCTTGCATAGACGATTTTTTCGTCACGGCAGGAAATTTGATGGGGATAGGTCCCGAAACAATAGAAAGGGATGATATGGTCGTGATCCTATTTGGTGGTAAGGTGCCTTATGTAATCCGAGAGCTCGGTGAGGGCAAATACTCTTTCATCGGAGAGTGTTATGTCCCCGGTTTGATGGCTGGGGAAGCTGTTGAACAATGGAAGACGAACGAAAGCCAGGCGGAGTTTTTCAATCTTGTGTAGGGAACTTTTTGCAGCTCGTTAGATGCTCTTGGTAACCCCCGCTCTTCGTATTCGTTCAAGTAAGCCAGCTCGGATTCCACGATGTAGTATCCCGAGTCTGTCGAGAAGGATCGATTTCACCGCCTAGAAATACTTACTTAACACATCGTCTCTGAACATGAGAGGGAGCTTCTCTGGGATGTTTTGCTCAAAAGGTGAGAGTACCTAAGGTAAGACAACTATCCCGGTACGCTCATAACTGACAGGTCATGACTATATAGTGCCATATGTGATACAAGATGTATGTATGCCATCATTCAGCATGAATAAGATCCGACGGAAGCCTCGGGTCTGTACCGCACTGATTGGTTTATAAGGAGAAGGGAGATGGTACCTATTGGTATAGATGCGATATAGATCCATGATAAATCTATAAGATAAGATAAATAATAATTTGTTCGATTTTACGTATAATACGTGCAGGTGTAATAAGCAACTCTGCGGCGTCTATTGCAGATTTGTTAAGTAATGTCGTAACAATTGACTTATATATATGTATTGTACGCTGGTTTGTGTAAAAACTTGACTCAATATCGTGACCTTTATCAAAACTTGAGAAGGGCTCAATTAAAGGTTGTTAATTATGTATGTACAATCGAATAATGAGTTGTGCAATACTACCTAGGCACTTATGCTCACATAGCAGGTACCGATCCGCTATCCGGTCCTTAGAGGAGTACATAACCGACCAGCCGAGGTGTGCATAAATGCTACATAACTCCGAGATAACTTTTAGGCAGGTACGACTCCCACGCGTCTACTAGGGTGTAAATAGCTTTGCAGTGTGGATCCAGCCAACTAACCAATCTCAGGGTCCATTAACCCATCATCTTAGGTGAGCTCACCCAATAATCCCCACAGCATCCTGATAAATGAATTAGGGAAACCCTGATTCGCTAGGATTGGGGCGGCCGTGTACTCCGCAGACCGCTAGCTCCGAAATTTCTAGGGGAGAAGACAGTTCAACTTAAAGAAATCAACCACCAATACAATTTCACAAGCCTTCTTATCCCCCAACTTTCCAAAGTTCCTCTCAACAATCCCCGAACTCCGTTGCCGAGTGTGCCCTCATCTCGACTCGAAAGTCCAGATCGCATCATTGTGTCTGCATAACAAGCCATCGCTATTGACAATTTTCTTCCTTTATCCTTAAAGATTTAGACAACAAATTCAAGATGGCGGACAAGGAGTATACCTACCAGGATGTTGCCGAGCACAACACCAAGAAAGATCTTTTTGTTGTTATCCACGATAAGATCTACGATTGTACAAAATTCGTTGATGAACATCCGTAAGTGCTCCAGCGCATTATGCGATTCCCATCGCAATTCCTTCCCACGCCCCGGCAACCCATTGTCGCCGATCGGACTTAATAATATGTAAGCTGACTCGTTTTCATTATAGCGGTGGTGAAGAGGTTATGTTAGATGTCGGTGGCCAAGATGCGACAGAGGCTTTCGAAGATGTCGGCCACAGCGACGAAGCGCGAGAAACCTTAGAGCAACTCCTCGTCGGTACTCTTAAGCGAAAGGTGAGAACCTCATGCTCTTCTCTATACTTTAATCTACTATACCTCTCCTGTTCCGATATGCTGACAGTCTTTGGATACAGCCCGGTGACCCGTCCCCCAAGGCCCAACAGTCCTCCCTCGCACCTGCTGCTAACACAAGCTCTGCTGGTTTGGGAACTGCTTTGTACGCTATTATCTTCATCGGAGGTATACTCGGTTTCGGTGCTTTCCAATACCTCCAGTCGCAGCAAGGCAAGGAGGCTTAGACGGATTCGTATATTCGGCAGGAAATGTTTGGGAGATTAAGAGCGTACAACATGATTCAAGCGATGGACGATCGATATCCTCTCGGCAATGTATTTGATGAGTACTTAATAGATCGGGCTATTTGGTTCTTCATAACTTATTAGTCCATGTCTCATCGTCATCATCAGACTGCTTGGTTAATTGAGAACCAGGAAGTCAGGTGAAGAAATGGTTATTCAACTTTATTAGAGCTGGCTAGCTAGGAGATAGCGGTCACTTTAATAAGAAGCAGTTTTCATAGACCCGATGATCTAAAGCAGTAGGGAATAGCAATCAATTAATGCAATTAAAACATTATCTTCAATTATTGGCCACACGCGCTCAGTATGTTTCCCAATAATACTATTTTCAGCATCTAATTTGAACTTTGAGCATGTGCCATCACAGATCAGAATCGGTTTCCGGTTTCAGTTACTTATCATTTCTTTTACTTCTCACGACGCCCGTCTTTGACACCATCTGATCTTAAACGACCATACTAAATGAATTCCGATTCCTCAAATATACTACATCATTCAGTCATATCAATATCTAGGTACCTGTTACTGTGTTCGGAAAATTCATAGCCATTCAAAACAGCAACAGAGTAATATCAACTCGATAATTCACTAACTCCTAATATTTGCAAAGAAAATACGTATCCAGAACCTGCGTCTCTGATTTTAAGGTTAGGCCTGTCGTCTCACTAAAGAGCAAGAGCTACATTCAAACCCCCACTACACCACTGCACTGCACTTTTACTTTCAAGCCACGTGTGGACGTACTTAATCGCAGTAGGTAGTGGACCTAATCTTAGAACATTACCTAACAATTAAACTTTACTCAGCCTCGTCTTTCCACCTCTTTCTTTCTTCATCCGTCTCTTGACGAGATCGCTTTCACCAACCAACTTTCTCGTCGCTATATCACATACATTACAGGAATCTATTTTAAACCGCCCATCATGTCGCCCTCCAAACCCGCCAACGGCATAAAAAGATCGGCACCCGCCTCATCGGCCGCATCTCCATCCGGCGCGAATACGAGCAAGACCGACAACAAGCGTCAGAAGCGCGACGGGAATGCTGCTGCGACGAATCATGCCCCGACCCCAACGCCCGCTGCCGTCGCTGCTGCCGCTGCTGCGAAAGACTTCGGCGAACACAGTAATACGCATCTTTCATTCGCTGTCGAATTCCTCAAAGAAAAGCGCAGTCCTAGGCCCCTACAGGAGATCTTAGATCACCTGACGCTGCAACACCTCCCCGAGGACCAGCAACGCGCATTCGTTCAAAGTCTGAAAACCCACTCGCGCATCCTATTCAGCCCAGCCCCCAAATCCAAAGCTAGTTCAAGCCAGCAACCCGAATGGCGCACCGGTACATATGAGTATAGAGCCAAATTTCCCGGTGTAGTTTCCAAGATAAAACTGCTGGAATATTTGCAACAGAGAAAGGATCAAGGAGGCATTTCAATCAAGGATATTAAAGATGGCTGGCCGGACTGCGATAATGCTATCGAAGAGCTAGAGCGAGAACACAAGGTCATGGGTATACGAACCAGAAAGGACACCCACGCACGAATTATCTGGCCCGATGTTCCAGAGCTACATCACGATGTAGACCCGGAATTTCGAGTAATGTGGTTCCAAGAGGCCCTACCCTCTGTCGATGAAATGCCTAGGAAGCTGAAGGCACTGGGTCAGAAGGCCACAAGTGAGGTGAAGAACATAAATCTCGGTCAGAAGGCTCCGCCGAAGCGCAAGAAGGCCTCTCGTGTTCAGAAGAAATTCGAAAATGAGCACATGAGGAACATCTTCGAGCAGCACAAGCGCAAGTGAACTCAGCCCAAGTCACTCAGTAGGAAAACTTAGGGTGTGTACGTTAGTGAGAGCATTGGTATTGCATTAGGGTATTTCTACGGTATTCCCAAAATCAAGAAAAGGAGAAAGGGGAAGCGAGCATTCACGGCGTTCGGTTGGTCTTATTTGATGAGGTGTTTCGGAACGAAAAGGGGAGGGCAATTTTGCCCTATATATACCTGGGTAGGTAATCATGGATACACGCATACTCGGTAATAGGTATTAATATGCGACGAGGACTTTCCGAATAAGCAACATGCCCCACTGCGTTATCCCCATAAAAAGGTATAGGTTTGAAGTAAACTTGAGACTAAGTGGTTCTGCCATTGCTGTCTTTTACTAAGGCGTGACTTTGATATGGGTCCGCCAAAAAGTTATAGAAAAGAAACCAGCTTTACAAAGATATAACCTGCTGTAAGAAACTAAGTGGTCAGGTCATGATTCTAGCAAACTACCTAAGCTAAAGCTACCATAGAAAGCCATTCTTATTCTCTCCATGTTTCTAATTCGTTCCCTTTTCCATCTGGCCAGAATTTTATCATCCAGGCCTCGATACTAGAAGAACATTACATAAAAAGAAAACAAAGGAAATGAAAATGGTTAACAGCTACTGAATATAAGCAAAGTTATAACATTGATTATTATATCATAATATTTATAATATTCAGCTTAACAAATTTATTCAGGAAAAAAAGGTCAACAAATTGCATCTTGAACTAGAAAAGAAACGATCAGGGATAACAACAAAGTATACTGCCTTTAGTATTACACTTGCACCGGCATTGAGCAAGTCACGTATTGACGCTATAACTCGCAATAGCCTCACTGACGTCTACTATCAATATACCTCAAATCACAAATAAAATATATTAAACCATGATCTGTGCAACCATGCCTACACCTAGGCTCTTTATATTCCTATGACTGTCATTATTATGTAGTCTTATCAAGCCATGGCTCATTGCTTATATACATCACAGGCGTTGTAGGTTTTACCTACCATCGAGAACAGAACGTTTTAGAAACCGAAGCAACTCATATTATATACTATTAAAAAACATCCATGCCAACTATCTTATCTCGGAAATAAGGTAGAAGTAATACGCCCATGTCTCTAAAGTAATTAGTATACAGACGCGTTCAATTAGAAGTTATCGTGACAAGGAAATAAAAAGCCAGTATTTTGGTTGCCTATTGCAAACTCTTATTCACTAATATCATTAAAGCAAAACCCGACCTCCATTGGCGATTATATAAGTAGCCAACTATTAATGAAAGCCTAAGTTTACATTTGCTACGTCGATATTGCTCTTTTCTGTAACTCAATCTCTTTATGTTTTACACTTGTAACAAAGTCTTCTTATGCTTTAAACGGAATTCGATTATTGCAGTTGAATTTTATGGACATTTGTACCACCCATAGTATTACAGATTTGATCAGAACAGTTTGTTTTAAATTTTTAAGACGCTTAACTGCCCATTCTCCTCGGACACCATCCCGCGTTTGTTTGCTTTAAGTACCCAAGTTAAAGCGCTGTTATCAAACAACTAATGATTCATGTATACCCTCCATAATTGACCTATAGCTTATAGTTAAGGAGAAGTTAACTAGAGGAATAATAGAAGATCTTGTCAACTATCAGTACTCGATAACTTCAGTAGTGTTAGGACTCTAGACAAGATATCTAGGTAGAATAAAGGATATTTTCAGTAGGTATAACCATGGCCTCTCATAGTTCGCTTAGGTGGAGTTCTTTACTGGACAACGAAGTCATTTCCATGTTTCTTGCTCCACCTCGTGATAGGTAGCTTAGATGGAAACATTTATACCCAGTCTTGCCCACCCCATAATGACAGCAAGACTCATTTATAAGACTTAGGTAAAATTCGAATATGATGGTATTGGAGTCAAGGTAAATTCTGGCCCTCAATATGGGATATTGCCGTCAGTATTCCATAGCTGGATTAGAATCCCGTAGTTGGTAGTCTTCTTTACTTTATGCCAAAGGTCTTAAGTGAGCTCCCTAAGCTTGTCATCGGACAATATGATGTATGTGGTACTTATATTTGCTATCAGTAGATCACCAGCATATATGGAGGGGACAGTATCACGAGGTTGAGCCAGAATAAAACCAATTTCGTTGTTCCGCGAGGAATGCTAAACCTAACCATAGAAACTTGAGCTATATATACGGAAGGTGTTCTTTGTTCTAGATGTCTTATGTAGAATTCTCACAGACATTATCGTCAAGGGGCACGAATAGAACCACCGATGTATGTCGGCAAATAGCTCGTCCAGTCATAATAAGAATAGGCTGGGTATAACTAACTGAAGAATTTGATCATTCCCTAAACACCCCCCACGATAGTAACGGGGTAAATTAAGGATGCTAGTAGTTAGGTACCTGTTATGATGACAGTAGTCGAAGCGCTAGCCGGTGACGCTGGCAGCGGGCGATCCCAAGAGACCTTTAGGGATCCGTGTAGGCCTTCATTTTGTCTAATCGCATAGCCTAGATACAAGCTCGGAAGAGTTTCTTGCGATTGGTTGCAAGTTTTAGACTACTAGAATTATGTCTACGACTGTAGGCACCTTGGCAGTTACTACTATTGTACCTTTAAAATAAAAGTAGCCCAAATTTGGAAGACCTTGCGGGTGACTAGCCACGTTATATAATCGTGGCTCCAATGATATCACAGGATTGTTAGTAAATCCTTTGGTCTATTAGTTTAATCCACTCTAATGAACTATGTTAAAGACGAAGGACATTTATTGGTAAAGGCGTGAGCTCGTTGAACAACGAGGCGAAACAACAGCAGATAGTCAACGTCGGTGGTCGTTGACGACTTCAATAGATTTTCCTGGCTGGTAACTTATTCTAGTTACGTCTATATCTAATCAAGACTACCTATGTATATTCTTTTTCTCTAGATGGGCTGATGCGGTCATGTAAGGTCGCTGATACCATATTGCTCCTAGCCGCTTTTGTGCGTTTTTGTATGACCGCAGTATCCTATAGCCCGCCCAATCTTCCAGTAGTAAAGTCTAACTTGCTTTCTATTGGTGATATAGGCTCCAATAAAGATGGTAAATCGAATACCTTTATTTCAGGAGCTCTGAGTGGTAGTGTTGTTCCATGCTATGCCAACGAGAATAGTATACGACTCTATGCCCTTTGCCAGGTGTTCCTCTATTACCAACTCACTCATATTAGAGTTAATCGGACCGATGGACTACAACATTTATATGTGTCGGAGGAATTATAGGTTTATTGATTGGATTAATCGCAGCAGTCGGCATAGTAGGTTTGTAGTAAACTAGCATTTGGCTCAATCACTTGCGCGACGTCTCCTCCAACATTCTACTAGGGAGATGCTAACAATCGACTTTCAAGTCAATCAGCCTTATCCTGTTGTATGTTTCTGTAACAAGCTAGGGACATTCGTAGTCGTCATGTGAGCCCTCGATTTAGGCGCTCTACGTGCGAGGATTTGATGATCTAGTATTGTATCGGTCGTATTAGGCAGTATGAATCTAGACGATGGAGAGAAACTAATACTGCGATCCTTTGATTAGCACTTGTAGTTTCGCGCAGGTAACTTTGGGTCTGGCCGGGGACTACTATAGATCACTTACTATTGAACTATCATTAGAATAGCCGTTCAATGCAACATCAAAATTGTGTGCTCTCCGTTCCGGCTAAGACTCGATACCGGTAGATAGATCGTTCGCTAGCTCCACAGTGGAAAAGAAGCCGATCCTATTTCCTGGGTCTAGCCTGAGTAGCGCCGATATGGTTATGTCGCATCGCCCCGCGTACCAGTTGATAATGCTTGCACGATGCTTGGCTCGTGACGTTAGGATGATCCGTGCCGGCGAACAAGAACACCTGTAGTATAGACTGTATAGTCAAACATAACCGTCAGATAACATGAGAGCATTTGATAGAGAACATGCCTATTTGTTTTGTAGAACCCCTATTCTGGAGGTATGGTTGGGTGTCGGGACGTATGCGATATCTCAGAATGGTAAAAATAGCATATGTTGTTCCTCTCTATAGCAAGGAAAAGACGCGTATTCACGAGAATTGGAGGTTCTTTCGGCCATCTCTTGAGAACGACTTGTCTTTCCTCAGTTGTTTAAAGATTATCCAGATATGTCGGGTCATTGGCATACATTTTCGCGAATTCTTCGGTTCGGGGCTCAAGGTAGAATATGCTATAGCGCGTAACTATATCGAAGAGGCTGCTTATATTAGTATTTGTACACTTGTAGAGTAGCAGTTCAAGATTTTATGATACTAAGGACTGTGACATACTGACAGTCGAATAGATTGGTAGTATATGCCATACCTAGCCTCTTGAGTATAGAGTAGTTTGTAGAGCTGGCATCAGTATTCTTTTTTGTAGACAGGGTACTTTTAAAGCATGACTTTAGTAGTGAGAGGCCGACTGTCTCTATACTATACCATCGACTTTCTATGGATGATTAAGATAGAAAACGATGCAACGAGGCTGACAGATACTATGGTAGTAAAGCTTAGCCTCGTAGCGCTAGACACTACCGTTTTGCTATTCTACACCACCTGTGCAAAATTTACTTGGACCCTTCTGCTTACCGAAACAAGCCCTTAATACTGAAACCCCTACAATCTGCTCAGAAATACAATAAATTCATTGACGAGGCTATGACACTACGTTGGGAATATCTACTATTGATCACCCGATTTTTAGGGTCAATAATGGGTATGATTTTATCGCGCAAGTGGCTTTGTAATCTCGGGAGGAATTGTGAATTTGAGACTTAGTGCAACGGAAATCTCGGTGAACTGCTTCACGTTCTTGTTTTGTCTTAATGGCTGTTTTCTATCGGACAGGGGATGTTGCAAACATCCCTTTAAGGCAGGATAACGTACGAGCATATAACTTTTTAATAATCAAAACATCTAGGCACGTAGGCTACTTAGTATCGTTTTTTCATCATAAATATGAAGACGCTGCTTTTTTTGTACGAAGCAAGGTAAATATTTATAGACGAAAATTATTTTTTGAAGAAATGCAAAGCACGTCAAAGAGTTGTCATGTATGTAGGGGCTTATCTTCTTCTAAGCAGGAAGTAATAATTCTACGCCGTAGAAGATATTCTAGCTTGGTATAGCGTGTATCATAAGTTATCGAAACCCACCTTGACTGCTAGCTCCACGGGAAGCGATCTAGGATATTTGCGACGCTACATCGGGATCCAGCCCTTCGATGGGAAGCCCCTACCATGCCGTCTCGTTCGATATGCCGTTATTTTATATTTTGCCTAACATACGGACCTGTCAGCGAATTCAAGGCACCGCTTTGACTTACTAGTGTATCCCTTTAGTTCCTAGCTCAAGGCCCCGTGGGGGGATGGCACCAAAGAGGTGGAGACGACACGGCCAAGCTAACAGCACATTCCAGGATGATGAGCACCTTGATCCAGGGAGGTCAAAAGAAATATCTTGGGAGGATAATGGCGCAGCACAACCTAAAATCCTACACTAGTCGATCCGGCTGCTTCGCTCACCTGGTTACGACGAGCCCTAAGACAACGTGGTTGCCCCCCTAAATGAATTATCTAGCCTAGATCAGACAGCCCAAGTAGTCTCCAGCGGGATGAGTAGCGCATGAAACAAATATCCGTCTCTAGACTAATCATCATCTCGACTTAGCAATATGGGTCTAGCCAATGCTACAATACTACAATACTCATGAGCCTCGAGTCCTCGACAGCCTCACAAGTCTTCAATAGGTGCCATTGGATATCGTAAAATTGGTTCCTGGTGTTGAATACTTTTACCTAAGACAAATAATTCACGGGCGCCCCTTTCTCATCTACAATGTTCCTACAAAATCTGCAGGCGAGCACAGATATTCCTCAGGCTTAAGACCAGGCTACCGCTGCGAAATTACATCTTAGACAGCCTTAGCTCCCGTCAACGATTCAGCTGCCGTCAGCTAATGGGCTATGATCAATGGGGCCGCAGATTCTTCAGGCTAATAACGGATATGCCGTAAGTGGCACGCAGCCCAGCCTTTGGGGGGAAATTGTGGTGACATCCCATGAATCTCAAGGCGCTTTATTGCACACCTCGGTGAAGTACTCTTCGGTATTTGTTGATTATAAAGATGTACCTGTTGAATTTAAAGATGTACTTGACTGTGACTCGGTCAGATGTCATTATTATTGATCCTGACTGTTGATGCAGTGACGACCACGGCACGAAACTGACATATGAATTCTACGCCGTAGCTCCCGTAGTGGGTTATCTAGGATGATCATTCGATTACGACGTACAATAAGCGAGTCTCATTACTAGAGCTTCCTTTTTAGAATCCACAAGTATATCCATATCCTTGGAGTGTTTAGTTGAAAACATGATACAACCCGCCTTCATTGGAGCCATACGTTATGTGATGTAGTGTTCAGCCATAGAAGCCCATAAACAAACACGCCAGTCTCGAAAAGGGTCTTATGTTACTTTGCTGCGGGCGGCGAATAATTAGTAGGTTGGCAGGATTCTAGATGAGACATCTAGAATAAAGGATACTTTCAGTATGTATGGCCGTGGGCTCCCGTAGCAAGCTTAGAGTTCCTCGCGGCACAATGATGTTGTTTCCTTGCTTCTTGCTCCACCTAATGATATAGGTAGCAATCTATGAGCCTGGTAACTTAGTCCTCTAGGGTGACTGGCATCACTATTACAAACGTAGGAGACCTAGGTGATGAAATGGAGTAGAGGATTACCCTCAAAATAGGGGGGTTCGCGAGTCTATCTACAGAGTATGGTGTTGATACAATACTATTAGAACGGGTCTACTACTACATATACACAGTAATAACTCATATTTGATAAGCTGTGCGATGTCTATCCCATAATTGGATGGCTTGCAGCAATAGGCCCAACGTTTATAGTTACCTTGAAGGTGGAGGATTCGAGAAAAGTGATCACGATCTCGAGGTGCCACCACATCCATTCCAAGCCTTGAATTTTCAGGGTTGCTCTCGGTATGTACGGTACCAAAATTATATCCTTTAATGACTGGTCTTCGATTTCCCTCAAGTAGCTTGTTAATACGTTACGGATTGACGGTGTTACATCTCATAATACTAATAAGACATATATATTAGGTTAGTAGACTTTATCGATATAATATCTCATATAACATGAATCTTAAAACACAGCATGATAGCGTACCTTATATCCTCTCAACATTATATACGATATTGGCTTTTTATTGATGCACTATAAGGTATATAAGGCATCTATATCGTCGTTTCAAACAAGAGCAAGCTATCTCGGCCCGAGTGTTTGTACGGAAGCCTGTTGCGATGTCGGGTTTCGACCAATGTTGGTGGTGGGCGGCATTCAAGTCTGTCAAAGCCATAAACACGCCCGCCTCACGAATTCATAGGCTGTAGCTTATCGCACAACTGGCTCACATGCACGTCAACGTAAATAGAAAATTATGGGGATTGTAATGAAAAAGCTATGGGTCCGCTCAAAATGGCGAGAGACGTCAAAGTTCGGAGGTTTGACGAAACTAGCCTAGGCGACGTCTCAAGCCCTTGCGCGCGAGCATGGGTGCTCGCTATTAAAGAATGAGTCTACGTGCATTTCACGCGTGCTCGCCGGCGAACTTAGCTGCGGAGAAGCTTGCTCATAGTTGAACGTTCACAGAGATAGCCGTCCGGACCAGCTAAAATGTGAGCTGTGCTCATGGGCGAATGTATGCAAGAATAACGCGCCTAAGTAACCGTGCTTCCTTTCGGGTATTTCTGCGTCCCAGAGAGTCGGACGACCCAGAGGAAGGGTCTTCAAGGGTGGCAGTGAGATGTTCAGACAGGGGACTCACCGGTTCTGGGTTCGCTTAGGGTTGTACTGGACCGCTACTACGTAGTAGTGGACGGGGCGCGGATGCGAACCGTGTGCCGGGAAGACTAGGGCATTCCCTGCCCAGCGGAATGGAGTCGATAGGCCAACGTACTGGTGTAGGGTTGACTGCTAAGCGTTGCATGTAGTCGAATGATGTTGTGCTGACATTGTTTTCGACAGTATGCTACATCAACGGCGTTACTGAATCTTCAGGCGAGTTGTATCAACTTAAGGATTCAACTCTAGAATCCTAGGTGGTCATAAAATGAACATTCATATATACATTAACTAGGTATTATTAAAACTACCTATGTAGGTACTTTGCCGTTAAACTTACCTAAGTTATGTTTTCACCGTAAGCTGACCCCTTTGTATCTATGTTACTACTTATGTTCCTAGTGACACCTCCACAGCACTTCGGTGGTGTCGTATTGGAACTTTTCAAACGCATTAGCGGAAGTGATACGGCACCCGGGATAGATCAAGCAGCTTCTCCGTGGCCGCCGGCCGTCAAGCCCCCGATGGGCATTACAAGGCACTGCAACAAGTCTAACGGGGATGGGCGGTGAGGGCATTGGGTGGTGTGTGGACTTCCTACCTAGGTAGCTCTTATAGCGAACGCTTGGTGACGTGGAGACATTCGCATAGACAGGACTAGCTAGAATCGCTACGGAAGCATTCTTCCAGGTAGGTATTCCTGTTGCGTTGATCTTCACTGTGCGTCACCCCTTTTGGGGGGTCTAAGACTAAGCTTTTCATGAGTCCCTTCTTTAGTAAGTGGATTCTCCTATATGATTCTTAGGATGTGAGCCTCATATCTCATATTGTAAGGTGAGACTGTCGTGCTTGTTTAATGGGTGGTTGAGGATTATTACAATTTCGACACAAATCCTGGGCCAGGATATACGCGTATCGGTCGTGCTGAACAAACTACCATGTATGGTTGGATGAAATACTCTTACCGGTCGTGTACTCTGCCAACCAGGTTTCTGGCAATGATAGCTTTCGTAAGGGCTAGAGGAAGCCAAATTTTAGCTAGTCGAAAATAAAGGAAGGGAATGCGGATGCGGGTGTTGTATCATCACTTATATCCTTGAAGTTCCACTCACATCTCAATGACTAGTACTCGGGGCGCGCCGAAATCTGATAATTCCGCTTTTCCCTAATAGAGCTAATAGAGTGTCCCCCTATACCGATTGGCCTTCTCATTTCTCGCTCGGACGCCTTCAGCTTTAGGTATGTAGAAGGTCCCTTTTTAGTATGGAAAATTGAAGGAGTATGGTGAGTAGACTCTAGTGTTAGAGCTTTATTTTAGTTACCTTTATTGAAATGACTTGGCGAGCTGCTCTACCCGAGCTTATTAAGAATAACAAACCAGATCGATTACATACACCCTACCTTCGCTATTAGCATCAAAATATTAGTCTCGATGTGGAGCTAAATCCGACCAAGCTATGCTATCTATTGATAGATACATGCACTAGAGCAGGAACGTGTTTTTGATGTCGGCTAGTACGTAACGTGGCATGCGCCGGCCCTTTCTATAGCTCGGGTTTTAGTTCCAAATGGATACGTGTGTGATGCTGTCCAGCGTTGTAGTAAACTTGGCATATCGTGAGTTGGAACACAATTCTCCCAATGTGAAGTATCCTGTATTACCCAAAGGACATAATTGCTGGTGGAAGAGTTTTCTACGTGGCTTATGAAGCAAATTTATTGGTAAGTCATCGGCTTTGGCTACAAATTGAGATCTCATGATAATGAAACTGTTCAAATCACAACCAACATATTGCTCTAAACTTATTGCAAATTGGCTAACGCGTGTTAGTATAATGACTAACAGTATTATTAGTTATTATTGTATAGAAAACCACATTTTAAAGTCATTACTCGATATAATATGTTGCATGTTTACCAATAGGAGGTTATCTAACACTACGATAGTCTATATTTCAGATCAGCCACGAGTAACTAGACCAACTGGTTTACATTTTTATATAGATATTTACGAGCTGAAAACATGCACAAACAAGAAGCTGCAAATTATTGTTAATTACCTAGATTACTACCTATGATACCTTATTGACTTTTACTACCCAAAGTTATGCTCCCGCCTTTATCTAATACACAATCGAGTAGCCGGAAGAATCAACTATTCTGAACACTACCCCGATAAGAAAGATGGACGGGTTAAAAAGATTAACAACCCTTTCCACAGATGATAACCGTTATTCGATAGTAAATACACAGACTGCTACATGCCTGTCAACTTAGTTACACCCAAGATCCAGGTTGGAATTATGTTTGTGGTTCTAGAAGAAAAGAGTGGAAGCCATAGAAGCGCAGGGGTTGCTCCGCTTTTGGCAACTTGGACGGCAAAGCTTCGAGAATGTTTTCATTCGTATGGTCGAATAAATTGATGTCATTGTCGGTAATGCCTGCGAAATGAAGGTGCCGCTAGCAAGGCGCGGGAGATTCCCATGCCACGGTTCAAGCAACGATCCATTGCCTTGAACTAGTCTACATAGTAAGGGGGACCATGTCCGGATAAGGCGCTCGGCCGAAGGGATAAAGCATAATCAGATCGAAAGATTGTCATAATTGTTGAAATACCTAAGGAGGGGAGAAAATGTAACTCGCCGTAGTAATTATGCCGTGGATAGTATAGGGTAGCTAGACGTTCGCGGCGCCGTTATGTACATGTTCCTGTCCACGTAATGTCGGACGGGGATGGTTTCCAAAGAGAAAAGATCCTTTCAATGTTGGCATGTCCGGGTCCAGCGCTTTTCTTCCGCTTCTCGAAATCTTCCAGAATCTTGCTCTGTTGGGGTTAGGGCCAATTTCGGGCCTGTTTGGAAACCTCATGCGCCGGGGTGCATTGGCTGATGGAACCCATGCCTTTCCCCACAGCTATCCAGCCATCCATACCGTACCATACCGTACGTGCGGTGGCAGAGGCCACTCGAGAGGGTACACTGTCGAAAACGTGGTTATGTATCATTTCGTGTCCTACTCTTACTGAGCAGCTGAAGATAAGCGTGATCACACGAGGCTATAAGCTGCGGACAGCTGCGTTGTTCTCAGCTGGTAATGCTGATAGGAATGCTACGCTAATACGACTCGGTCTTTCTCCATGATCTCGGGGTTGATTTGGAACTGGAGTACTGTATGAGATAGAGTGCGAGAAGAGTGTTACTGCCTAGATGCCCTGGATCTTCCCGGCATTATCTGCGTCTTCCCGTCGTGAAAAAAAAGTGACGTGTTAAGTTGGAGATTCATCTCATTTGACGACGTCGATATGTATACGACTGTTAGAATCAAAAGTAAAAATTCGATATCTGAATTATAACTTATGAGCTATCTAATAGAGAAGGGGGTCGTCCTTTTTTCTCTGTACCTACCTGTCTATACTCTGTTCTAATTGGACATGACCGTAAAAACACTTAAGAAAAAGGAATAATACGTCCCTCTCGCACTCGGGGAAGTAGAGAGTAGTGTGGGTGTAATGTGATATACCTCCTTTACGGTACGTACCTACTCACTTCGTACACGGATCCCCCACCGGGTTACATGTATTGTTGTTTGGTACTTCGTATATTTTAATATTTCATTTTGGCACAAGAACGAGAGGAAAGGTATCTAAGTAAAGTAAGTACCGTATGTAAAGGTAAAGAGAAAGAAAATAATCAAACATTCAAAATCCAGGCATTTGGTGTTGCCGTTGCAGAATAGCCCATACTAGTCCGGATTTGTTATTACCAGATTACCATCATTACCATCATGGAGTTAAGCCTGGATATGCAATTTTGATTCTACCTGGTATTCTTTACGGTCAGTGAGGGTCACTGAGCGGAATGCACCCCCGTGGCTAGTGGCTAGTCATGGCTAGTCCCTATTTATGGAAACGATTGAATCCCCATGGAAGCCGAAGAAGCAGATAAGTACGTCTTATTTACAAGGATATTTCTTTCTTCTTATTAATTCTTACCTTCTTACCATGTCTTCGGTACGCGCCAATCCCACGTCCTCCCTTGGATGACTCTTGGGTTGACTTGACTTGACTTGCTTGCTGAGAGTCTGTGAGTCTAGGCAGTTCCGACGGAAAATGACTGGTGACTGGTAACTGGTATTTTCATTGCTCAGTATTCGTCACCCTACCAAGATTTATCACCAGCCTTCCGAGATACTTTAATTCCGATGCCGAATGCGCTGGTATTGCACAGCGTATGTATGTACTACCCCATGGTTTGTATATACCTAGACCTAGACCTATGTATGTAGACCTAGGTCAAGTATGATGTAGACCTGTATGATGTATATCATATGCATGTATGTACCTTATGCGTCGTGTTAGCTACCGTTATATGGATATTGCCCACATGAAAAAACGCCCCGTCTGTCTCATTCCCCGTAGACTTCAACGTTCGTACATAAAATTTCACCCTTAATGGTGTTTCACTTGTTGCAATCAAGTGATTATGTACAATGGCACGTCTGGGGGAGATCATGGCAATATCGCGGATGGTATGAGCGGGTCCCGTTCTATGGGTCTTTACTGGGATCATAGTTGTGCCTGATGCCAAGGTAAGCAATGTTCAGACCGGTTCCTCTTCCTGGGTCCTGGGGCTGCCTGGGTACATGATCGAATTATGCGTTTGATATCTACTATAGCAGTCCATAATAGTCCGTAGTAGCCCATGGTATTGGTACCTAAGTAGCTCACATATCGATCTGATAAAAGAGAAGAATATATGGAATAGAGAATTAACCTCGATTATCTCGATATATATATATTTAGAAAGTTGAATGAATATACTGCCGAATCGGGATGATCCGAAAAGCCCCGACAGTTTTTTTTTCTTCTTTTTTTTCTTTTCTCGCTTTAACCTACAGGGGTCAAGCTTCCAGAAAACAAATTCAATACTGAAAATGGTTTAGCGGGTGTTGAATAATGCTTAGACTACTTTACTTTATCGATACCTTAGTGGCAATACGCGCATGTACGTATGCTACTTTGGTACCCGTGTAGCTGTAGCCCTATTAAAATGTGGTTTCATTGGACCTTCACGGAAATGAACAAGGGTCGAGAGAAAAAACAGGTAGGAAAAGGAGAAAAGAATTATTTAATATAATACTTACGTAGAAAGTTTTTTTTCTTCTTTTATTCCTCACTTTAACATCAGTATACATTGACGCAACTGGACTGTAAGGGTTGCTGCATTTCTGCCTGGATTATATACCTATGTATACGTACCTACGTAAGTAGCTTCGTGCAGTGTTTTTGTTTCTTTAGAGATAGATTAGGTACATGTGCCTACCTGAGGTACCCACGGCAACATTTACCTTTACCTGCGCGTTGTGGCCCCTGCTCCCGTTCCTTACCATCTTTACAGTGTGCACTTACCAACGCGCATGCACCATTTTACCTGCCCACCGCCAAATTTATATCAAATGTACCAAGACGTAAGTATCTAAGTAGGTACTGAAGTACTACGGTACACCTCCCTCGACAAGCTTACCTAAAATAACCATCGATTTGGTCATTTCATCACTTCCATTATTTTTCCTTCCCTCGCCGTCACACATCCTTTTTCTAAATTCCTTCGTCAACCTTTTTTTACTCTGAGCCGGCCGTCTGGATATTGATCACCTTAAGCAGCGGCGCTCTTGTTCCTCTTACGTTGTCTACCGTTAAACTTGAAAGAGCCCGAATAATTCCTCGAGGTACGTTAGGATCACAAGCTGCCCCATTCCCTCCCGCCTTAGTCGCCTAGCTCCGGATCTACCACGCGCTTTCTTTTGTTGCAGAGATATGGCCCGTTCGGTTTGCACGATGTGCTTCCGTAGTTGCTATACAATCCGATCACTTCCTCATGTCTTTGTCACGCGTCGCATTCAAGCGGCGGTTTGCCTTGACCGATCTACTATAGTAGATCTATGAGCTCAAGGTATCTTGCACTACAGGAGCCTTCGGTGTTACATAGCTCTGTCGACAAGGTCCAAGTCAACAAACATTATTTTTCATCCCGCATGTGCCACGAACGCTACCAAGCTGTTCTTAGTTCATAACATGCATACTTCTCCAGAGTGCTGACTCGATTAGGCTTGTTCAGGACTACGGATCTTTCGCCCCATACTGCCCTAATAAACGCGAAATCGTGACTGGACTACCACATCACTCGACTGTATTTTCATCACGTCCTCACGAATTCAGCTCCACGGCATACGCCCGCGATACCACTACCCCGCCTTCGTCATCTTTCCTAATAATCGAAAGAGGAATATTTCTCTAGAGATTGTTACTTGTGCTGCTGTGCAGAACTCTCCTTAAGATCCGATAGAAAAATTTAGGCGCATCGAGTTGTCTGGCCTCAAATAGTCAGGCTGAAACTGTGCGCAACTTCTATCAAGGCAAACCGTTCACGTAACGCTAGAGTGTTAGATTTGACTCGTCAAGGTCAAAGCTGACGCGTATCGAGTCCAACGACCCGGAACCCTCTCACCATTGGCAACAAAAGCGATAATTTGTGTCTTGTTGACGTATACAGACTGGGATACTTGGATTATACAACACCTTTATATCGAACTTTTGTGTATTTGGAATTGGAATTCGCTTGAACTGTCTGAATAAGGAAGAATCTACCCCTCTATAGCGCGCGCAGCACGGCGAAGAGGTGATAATCCTATTGAGATCCGAGTTTGTTGGGAAACCCCATTCGGTTAATTTGGATTTTTGTTCTGGCCACACTATGTCCAAATCGCCGTCATCTGAAGTGATGAACATCACAAATATGTTGGACAAGAAGAATGCGGCGGCAGCTGCAGCAGCCGCAGCAGCAGCGTCAGGTCGCTCGCCGGAACACCAACTTCTTCCCCATCCGCAGCTGACTCCGATCGGCATGGATCGTGCGAACTCACCGCACGGATCCGAGAGCTCCTACCACTCAGGCCCCCGCCCTGGCCAACAATTAGACGCCCTGAATGGCATGAGTAACGGTCGGCCCTATGGTTCCCCCACTGCAATGCATGCAACGATGGCCCTGTCCGACCCTAGTATGCCTCCTACTATGATGATTCCTGGCATGCCGCAGCTCTCCCATGCACTCTCTATGCCCTACAACAAGCTTCCTGAGCAGCCCCAGCAGCCACAACCTCAACCAAAGGCGTATCCATGCAGCACATGTCAAAAAGCCTTCGCGCGGCGTAGTGATCTGGCTAGGCACGGTAAGTTGTCCTTTTATTAAATCGATGAAAAGGGATGACTCTAATGTGCCTTAGAACGTATCCATAGTGGTATTCGTCCGCATGTCTGTGACTACGAAGGATGCGGGAAACAGTTTATTCAACGATCAGCTCTGACGGTGCACCAACGAGTTCATACTGGCGAGAAACCCCACATGTGTGAACGATGTGGCAAGGTATTAATTGTCCCTATTTTCACGTAGAAGACACGCTGACTTGAAATCTTTAGCCATTCAGTGACAGCAGCTCATTGGCCCGACACAGGCGTATTCACTCGGGTAAACGGCCGTATAAGTGCCCCTATGCTAACTGTCAAAAGACGTTCACTCGAAGAACTACGTTGACTCGGCACCAAAATTCTCATTCTGGCACAGTTGAAGAGGCAGCAGCAGCCACAGCCAATGCTCTAGCAGCGCAGGCTAGTAGAAACGCTGCTCGCGTGGCTCGTAGTGATGGTGAGCCTGGATCAAACCATGGTTCACCACTGAACACACCCTCGCCAGGCCAGAGACATATGTCTATCTCGCCTAGTGCCGAGCTCGCTGCTGCTAATGCGATGCGCAACAGCGACTATTCGTACGTGGGCAATGGCTCACTTCCGGTGCATATCCGCACCGATATGCAGTCCCAGAGTCCTACTTCGGCCCCGGGCTACCCTACAGGCATGCGACCTACTTCTCACCCAACGGTGTATCCGCCACCCCCTACTCTGGAGCCAAGTATAGAATCGCATCAGTCAGGTACTGGTAGTACAGGTGGAAGTCCTCATATGGGTAGTGTCGGATGGCAATCGCCTTCGCACATGGCTTCACCCACCCACAGCAACAGTGGCAATAGCTACGTGTATCCCGATCCGGATCAGCCATTTCTGGGCAGCAACAACTTGGGCCAGATGTATTACAATTCGAGCGCTCAAATTCGACGACCAACAAGCACGGAACCCAGTTCGGCAGGATATGACGTTAAGCCACGTCCTAACGAGCTGTGGGCTGGTCAGTAGGATGACTTCCAAAGCGGCGTAGGATGGCGTTACGATGAGATCACGTACGCCTACGGATATGATCTTGCATAGATCTCCTTTGTTTCTTGCATCTTCCCTTTGTGTTATGGACGGCTCAATACCCAACGGCACGGCAGGTTTGATTATTCGCGACATGCGTTTGAGATGGCAAGTGGCGTTTGTCTCTTTTCTTTTGTCTTGTTTTCAGGCTTCAGATCAGGAATCCCACTACGAGGCAGTTTCGACTCAGTCTAGAGGCGTACGCCCCTCGCATTAATCGGCCGAGGCATAGACCGCCGGCGCCACTGGTGGAACTTAATAATATCACGGGCCAATGCTTGCATCTCACTTGATGGATTCAACTGAGATGAAGATGGTCTGTTGGGACTTCGCTTCTTCCTGCCGATTCGAAATAGACTGGTCGGCCTGGCGGTCTTCACGATACTACGCATAAATCGGCATAGGTGGAAAGGAAGGAAGTTAGGGATAAGGATCGGAAAAGATTTGGTCAAGGGACTCTGGAGTATTTGCTTGCTCTTGTAGTGGATGGTAAATATGTAAAGAAAGACAGGAATCTGCTTGGTGCGATGGATTTCGCTTTAGAAGAGCACAAACGTACAGTGCGATGGTATGTCGATAAAAAGACTAGTCGCCGATATTGAGCATCAAGAATGAAAAGAAGATTTCGGTAGCGCTTTGAATAGAGAGCAAAAGCCATCTTTAATGCTTGTCTCGTAGTTTACCTCGTGGGGTATACTACATCGCTTATTGATAATTATGGTTGAGGCTGTACGTACTAAACAAATAGTCAATCGATGGTATATTAAATTATAATTGAATTTAACAGAAATTATACTGGAGGTTGCCTATTGTTTATATTATAGCACCCCACGTCAATATATACCACATCTACCAACATATTCGTGTAAAGACAAGACAACATCCTATACTACCTATGTATGTATGCAGGTTGCCATACTAGTGCCATCTTAACATGTAGGTAGTTTCCTAGCACGGGATGCGCATGCTAAATCCCGGCGCGCGGGCAAGGTGGATGCGCTACTAGGCTTCTTGAGGATCGAGCACCATGTCTTCTCTCTGTCGTATACTACTCTGCAAACGTCGATCCTCGGGGCCGTTTAACATCTGCCGCGCGTGGATTCCTTGGCGGCGCAGTAAGAAAATAAATTCAAAAAGGCATCCGTCGTTGTCGTACGATTGTGACGAAATTGGCACGGCCGGTTGAGGCGGTGATGGCGTGGCGGGATCCCGGGGGTCTAGCGCCCGGGGAAGCTTTTGGCGATTTTTTGATTTGTGATCATATGTACTTCGTACGGGGTAGCTGCATAATATGTAATCCCTCCCCCCCTTTCTTTTTTTCTTTCTTTTCCATATCTTTCTTCAGCGCGGCTATCAGCGCATCGTGGTTGGGACTAGTTATAGCTCGGCTCTTGCTCTACTCTGCATCATATTTATTGATTATGTGATCTTTAAACTACCAAGAGGAAAACTTTGCTGAACTACTGGTGCTTGATGCGGGAGGCGGCGTCTTGTTTCTTCTATGCATGTTGGATACAGGATTTTTGATATTAGGGTTTTGTGCGGGCTGGCGGCGTGGGACTAACTTGACTGACTATTTATTTATGTCTTGCGGTGTCGATTATTCTGCGAGGATGGAAATCCCCGAGGATGTGGTGAAGCGATTGATTGGGCTTCTGCCCCTATTACAACTTTCTTCTTTTTCTTAAACCGAGACTTCGACTATTCAAGATTCGAGCCCCTTGCTCCTTTCCGGCGGTGGTCCGAGGAGGAATATCATTTCATAGAAGGAATTAAGGGCCTGTTTACAACTCTTCTGGGAGTCCTGCCCTTAGCCTCTGGGATTAACGTTGCCTAAATCCTTGGAACATGGCGAGTATACGGGACTTACTGTTGCCTGTCGACGACAAGGAGATCACAGGGGCGGTAGTGAAAAAAGAGGAGGAAGCCACCGAGAAGACCGACATTATACCCTCAGAGACGACGCGGTTTCTTGTGGAATTCATCTTGGATGTGATCTGTCCGTACTGTTACATCGGGTTCAAAAATCTAAAGGCCGCTATCGAGACTTATAGAGCCCGTCATCCAGAGGCAATTTTCGAGATAGTCTGTACTCCGTTTCTGCTTCACCCTCTAGCAGCTCGAAGTGGTAAGTCGTACATTCAACTTTCCGAATCTCGAACATAGACGAAAGCATGAAGCTTTATATACACCGATCTTGATTGACGGTTGTATACAGTACGTCCAATCTTCCACATATCATGTAACAACTCGGCAGATGCTAGATGGAGGGAGGAGAGACATATTCGCTTAGCCCTAAACCAAGACACATTGGGAATCCCGTGATCACTAACAGATTGACCAGCCAGCTGGCTAACCTAGTCTTACCATAGCATACGACAAATCCGACTACCTAATCGCACGTACCCGAGGCCCCGCGTATTGGGTCGGCCCCGGAGAAGCAGCTGGTATAAACTTCACCTGGGCCGGGCGCACGGGAAGCACGCGGGACGCGCACAAGCTTCTCCGGTTCGCACTAGAGAGCACGCCCACAACGGCCCGCGCAGCACGTAATAGACGAGGGGCACCAGCTCCGCCATCGCCACACACCAGCGCTCGCGCGCCAACATCACCGTCCGCCGTGAACGGCAACACTCCAGCCCGGGGCCCAGCCCTGCAACTGCGCCTCCTGGAAGCGCTCTTCCGGGCACACCACGAGTCCGACGGGGATATATCGGACCCCTCGTTTCTCGCGGAGACGGCGTCCGCCGCGACGGGGTTCGCGACCGCCCAGATCCGTGCCGTTCTCGAGGACGCGAGCGAGGCGTGGGGCCGCGCGGTGAGTGCCTTGGTCGCGGAGGTGTCGTCCCCGCGGGGGCTCGCGGTGCGTGCCGTACCTACGCTTGTGGTCAACGATCATTATGTGATTGGCGGGGTGCAGAGCGCGGGGTTTTTGGTTGATGAGTTTGAGAGGATATGGAGGGGTGGAGGGAGGTAGAGCGTATCCTACGGTGTGGGAGGTTGATAGGGGAAACTTTCATGGGGTGGTCGAGTCGTCTTGAAGGGGCTGGTTGTTTTATTAGTTCCTAGGGGCTACTTCTCCTATTAGTTCTACCCTCGAATTAAGGGGAGTGCGAGCCCGCCTGACCTGGAAGTTTAACTAGTCGAAAATAGCTACAATTGGGAGTTTGTAAATATTTAGCAAAAGGAGATATATCTGGCTACGGCTTTAGAAAGAGTAAGGTAAGCTAGTCGTTCAGTATTGTTAAATACCTAAGAACAGTGCTATTGTATAGATCTGCCTATATTTTTAGCATTGATGAATACAGTTAAAGTGCATGGATATTATGCAGTCTAACTACAACACCATATGTCTATGATATCTCTTGCTGTCCCTTGTACAACTCTGCTATTATCGATGTTCTGATAGCAGAAGTATGCTGACTGTACCTTGAATATATATCTCTTTAGTTCCCTCACCCAGACACTTAGACATAGTTCACTTGTATAGAACTATTAGTTAGTAACATAATTGTTATTAACTAGTATACTATATTTGAAGTATTTTGGAAGGTCTATGCTTCTCTTGGCATACAAGTAGGTAAGAGGACTTTAGAGATGATACAGGAAGACTATTTGCGTTATAATAGCCTAGTTAACTTCTCCGCAGCCTCATGCCGTCAATTACCGGTACATGATGCCGACTGGACACTCAAAAGTCCCACTATGGGGAAGGATAATGGGCTATTCGCGGACATTACATGTATCAGCTCAAGGCCAAGGCTAAAGGCTAAAATGAAAAACAAATTACTGTATATTAGAAATTGAACTTTACTATAATGCCGCCTTCGAATTTTCCTCGAATGATATCTCAACGTTAGCTCGGGACGACTTAACAATCTTGTTATACCCTTCACTGATCCTCTGATAAAGGTGAGCTGGTAGAATATTGGTATTATATGAAATTCTAGACCCTTTTCTTGGATAGGGATCTAAGGTACCATCCTCTAAACTCTGGGCATAAAATCTGGGGATACGATGTGACGGTAGATACGGAACAAGTCCGAAACTGGGACTTCATCCGGGAAACACCGTTTCTATAGATGCGATCATTTATCGACAAGTTAGAAAACTAAAACCTCAGGAATATAAGAGTGCTTAGCCCTTCGACCACGAGGTTCGACAGATAGACAATTAATTAACCCCTTACGAGCAAGAAAAGGCTCCAAAAAGTATTCGTAAAAGATCAAGGATTATGCTCACCAAGTCTCTCCTCTTCACGGCCCTCCTCAAGGCCATTGCCGCGACGCCGATCAATCTCGACGAGCGGCAAACCGCTTGCGAGGACATACATTTTTTTATTGCCCGGGGATCAACCGAACCATATCCAGGCAGCCAGAAGGACCTCGTCAACAGAGTATGCGAGGGCTTGTCAAGCTGCGGGTACGAAGATATCATATATCCCGCCACGCTTGAGAACTATTGCAACTCGGCATACGCGGGAGTCGCCAATGGTACCGCGCAAATCACAGCATATGCTGAAAGCTGCCCTGAGGCGAAGTTGGTTTTGACTGGCTATTCCCAGGGAGGGCACGTCGTAGGCGACATACTTGGAGGCGGCGGGGGTCCTTTCCAAGACTGCACGCAGAAAACGAACACGCCTTTATCACCTGAAACCTCGCCCGGTAATCAGAGTACGGCAACCTCACACCCCCGAAATTTTGACGGCGTATACTAACTAGATCTTCTAGTCGTAGCGGTGACCTTCTTTGGCGACGTGCGTCACACAGCCTCTCAGACTTACAATGTGGGAACAGGTGCTGCCGGTAATGGAGTAAGTACCTAGTCTACAAGCGCCCAAACTTATATGGTACACTAACGGGTAGCAACTTAGATTTGGCCGCGATCAGAGTCGGATCTCGGATCTTTGAACAGATTCTCGGAATCAATGCACTCATGGTGTTTCGTAGATGACCCTGTCTGCGGTGGTGCCGGTGGCTCGGATTATAGCGCGCATATTGCGTATTTCAATCAGTCTACCCCCGAAGCTGCCACGTGGGTGAAAACCAGGCTCATTTAGGTGTATATTCTGAAGATATCATAAGTAGTGGAATATAGTCGATGTTATCATAATAGGGGACCGGTTTGGAGGTATGAATGAGATGACAAAAAGTTGTATTGCTGAAGTGTAGTGGGGCCGGACCTGGAGGTGCGTACCTGAGGTTAGGTACTTATCCGGGTGGGGGGGGTTTTAAGACAAACTGATATCAGTCTGTTAACATTATAAAAAAGGGTTAAAATAATTTATCTCAGTTCTCAGACCTGAATTCGTTGAAGCGGGCTGCGCCCGCTTGCGCCACGCAACGCATGGCCCGTGTGTTTGTATCTGTAAGGCATGTGTATAAGTTTTAACGAATTTAAGTTTAAAGCCCGTTTAAACTTAAACGTTACTTATTTTTTAATTTAATGGTAAATAACAAAAAAATTTATTTTACAATAATTTAATATATTATAAAAACGTATAAAATAATTTTAATTAAAATAATTTAAAGTTAATAATATATTTAATTTATTTTTTTAATTTTTTTATATACGCGTATAACGTTACGTTTTTATATATTAAATTAAAACGTTAAAAAAAATTTAATTTTTAAAGTTTAAAATATTATAATTAACATTATAACATTATAATTAATATTATATATAAATATAAAATGTTTTTTATTTTAATTTTAATATATTATTATTAAAACTTTTCGTTTTTTTATACATTTATATAATATTGTTTTTTTATATATTAAATTTTATAACGCGTGTTATAACCGGTATTACGGTTAATATTAACCACTTTTATTTTATTAATATTATAATAAATAATATTTATAATTACATATAAAATACTTTAAAAGTTATTATTTAATTATTTAAACTTTCCCGGTTTTTTTTATACCCGTATAATTTTATTACATGTTACGATTATTACGTTATAACCGGTGTTATAACCGGTGTTATAACCGTTATTATAATTATTTTTAACGTTTTAAAAAATTTAAAACGCGTAAATTTAATTAATAAATTTAATAATAAAATTAATATAATTATATAATTAATTATTATTTATTATAAAAACGCGTTAATATCGTTATTTTTAATAATTTTATTAATTTAATAATGTTTTTAAAAAATAAAATCGATTTTTAATAAAATTGTGTTTAAATTAACTTTAAATTAAAGTTTTAATATTTTTTTAAAAAAGTTATATAAATTATAATTAATTAAAAAAGTGGTATAATTAAAAAAATATAACTTTATAAATTAAAAAAATTCGAAACTTTAATTTAAAATCATTTAAAATAAAAAATAATTTATTTAAATAATAAAAATTTATACGTTTTATATTAAATATTATTTAATTTAAAAATTTTAATTATTTTAATAAAAATATTTTTAAAGTTATAAATTTAATTTAAATATAATAATAAAAATAATTGTTTGGTAAAATTAAATTAATATTATTTTTTTACCATTATTATGTTTTTAATAATGTTTTAATTACATAATTATAAAATTATATAAATAAAATATATATTATATATAATTATATTATGTTTATAATAAATATATTAACGTAAAATATATTTTAATATAATAATAATGGTATTATTAATATATTTAATTAATAGTTATTATATATTAAAAATATATATATATTAAAAAAAAAAAGTTATTTTAAATATTTTTTATTTTAAAAGTTTTAAAATTTTTTTTTTTTATTTTTTTATTAAGTTACGATAAAATTTAAATGATTATAAATTATTATAAATTATATAAATTTACGGGTTATTTAAATTAATTATAAAACATTATATTATATTATATTATATTATGTATACGTGTAAAAAAATGATTTATTATTTTATATAAAATATATTAAACCATTTATTTTTTTTAAATTAATTAAAATGTTTTAAACTTTTAAAAATTATTATATTAATAAAGTTTATTTATTATTAAAATGATAAAATATATAATTTTATTAAATTAATTAATTTTATATAAAATTAACGTAATAAAATAAATATAATAATTATATTAATAAATTTTATTATATTAATAATATTAAATTAAAATTAACGTAATAAAGTAAATATAATAACCGTATTAATAAACTTTATTTGATAAAACACCGGTCATGTAACCATGTCACATAATTAAGGTTATGCCCATATATATTACTTGGGAATTAACTTATATATATGTAAATAAATATTTTTCATTTGGTAAATTTTTTACTTTTTTTATTTAATTAAATATAATTAATTAAACCATTTTATTTAAATTATTTTATTATTTTTTATTTTTTATATTATATAATATACGGTAATATTATTGTTATTTTAATATTAATTAATAATTAATTTATAAGTTAATTATAAAATAATAAAAAAAAACTTGTTAAAATTTTATTATAATTTAAAATGGTAATAATAAAAAAAAGGTATATTAATTAAAAAAAGTATATATATGATAATTTTAAAAATAACAATTTAAATGCGGATTAAGCTAAAAAAATAAACTTAAAAGTTATAAATATATATTATATAAAAAGATTTATTACATATAATAATAATTAATGCGATAAAAATTTTTAAAATATATTTTAAATAAATTTTAACGGTTAAAACGTGGCAATATTTAATAAAATTAATTAATTATTAAAAAAAAATATAAAAAAATATTTTATAAATTATAAGTTATATATGTTTAAAAATGGATTATTTAATTAAAAGTTTTATAATATATTAAATATAAAAAACTTTCCGGTGTTTTTATAAAAAATAATAAAAGATTATACAAAAAAAAATATATTTATTTTAATATTAAATTTATAATATGTTAAAAAGTTAAAAAGTATAATAAATAAATTTATGATATTAATATAATAACTGTAATTATTAAATTTATTAATAATTAAATTAAAAAGATTAAATTAATTAATATTAAAAATATAATCGAATTTATTAATAAAATTTTTAAAATAATTAATAAATAAAAGTAAAAAGGTAATAAAATTAAAAAATAATTAAAAAGTAATTAATTTATTAAATTATATAAAAAAGTTAATATTTTATTTAAAAATAAAATTTAAATAAATAACGTATAAAAAACCGTTATTAATAACAATTTAACAACCATTTTTATATTTACTTTTAATAAATTAAATATATATATATTAACTTATTTAATTTTAAATAAATTAACCATATATAATTTAACATTTAATAAATTAATTATATATACATTTATTTTTAATAAATAATTAATTAAATATTTATTTATTATTAATATAAAATTATTATATAATTATATATTATAATTAATAAAAAAAATATTAAAACCAAATAAATTAATTTTAAATATATTAACTTTAAATATAAATATATTAATCTTTATAAAAAAAACATTAATAATTAATATATTAACTATTAATAAAAAGATATTAATTATATTAACCATATTAACCTTTTTAATTTTAAAAATATTAATATTTTATAAATTATTTTTTTTTATACCAATTTTTTTTATATTAATTTTTTTTATATTAACTTTTCTTATACCAATTTTTAATATAATATTATATAAATTAATATTTTAAAAATTAATTTTAAATAAACTAAATTGGTTTATTATAAATATTTATTAATTGTCGCAATCAAAATGGCGACGCCGCCGATTGCAAGCATGCAACCAGGGCTTATATATTTGACACACCCCCCAGGTGATCACTATTTAAATAATAGGGATTACCTAAATCGCAGCACTTTAACGTCTCTAAAGCTCTTTATAACACTGGCTCATTCTGGCCCTCGGCTCTCTAGAGTCTCTAGTATCGTAGGTGGCTGTTAGCTGTCAGCTAAACGTACCTCTACCTGTAACGCGATGACCTCATCTAGCGCGGTATTATACGATGCTTTCAGTTCGATTCGAACCCGCGCCTTACTGCCAGTACTAGTCTGGCTCTGGGGCTCGATCGGGTTCAGGATTAACGCAAGGTTGCATTTGAGGTATGCAGGGAATGCGGTGCAATACCGCTGCGCTAAAGGGCTCATAACTGTCGCAATCAAAATGGCGACGCCGCCGATTGCAAGCATGCAACCAGGGCTTATATATTTGACATTAATTTTATTAAAATATATAATTATAACAATAATAAATTTAAAATAAAAAAATATAATATATTAAATAAAAAAATAAAAATATTTAAAAATATATATAATAAAGTTAAAATAAAAAAGTATAATTATTATAAAACATTTTTTATAATATTAAAAGGATATATATTATAATATTATTATAATTATTTTGTAAAAAAAGGATTAATTTTTTAAAAAATGGTTATTTATTTTAAAAATATATTTTATATTATAAAAAATATATAAATGTATATGTAAAAATTTATAATAATAATTATTTATAATATTATAAATAAAAATCCGGATAATATTTTAATAATATACTTTAAAATATTTATTTTAAAGATTTAACGTGTATATAAAAAAATAATAACCAATTATATTAATAAATATTATTTAATATAAAAGATATTTAACGTTATATAAAAATATTTAACGTTTAATAATGTATTAATATATTTAATAATTATATTTAATAATTTTTATGTTAAACTTTAAAATGTAACCGGAATTATATAAAAATGTTAAACTTAAAAAGATTAAATAATAAAAATAAATATTTAATATTAGATTAATCGAACGTATTAAAATAATAAATATTTAAAATAGTTATAATTTTATTGAAATAAATTGTAAAAAAAGTATTATAATAAATGTAATAACGGAAAAAAATGTTTTATATGCGAAAAGTTTAAGTATTAATTTATAAAATATCTTATTAAAAAATGACGAAAAAAGTATAAATAATGGTAAAAATATGTATAAAAGTAAAGATTTAAAAATATAAAAAAAGATTTTGAAAAATTTTTAACCGAGTATAAAAAAGTTAATAATAAATATAATAATAAAAGCGAAAAAAACGATTATAATATGTGGCTTTTAAAGTATAATTATAATAATAATTTATTAAATAAATACCGGATATTATTACTTTTTGATTAATATTTTATAATATATGGTAAAATTAATAACTATTAAGTAATAAATATTTTTATAAATTAAATTATATATTATACGTTTATAAAATTAAACGTATTTAATAAATTAAAATATTTTAAAATTTTAATAATTTTTTATTTAAAAAACTAATATTTACGTATATTTTAAAGTATATTACCTAATATAAAAGCAATAAACATATTAATAAAAAGAAAATTTTAAATATAAATTTTATAATAAATATATCTTTATATTAAAATAAATATAATAATGGTTAAACGTTATTTGATTTGTTTTAATAATAATTTAAATTAATAAAATTTAAAAACTATTTATATATTTATTTTATTTAAAATTATTTTATTTTATATTATATCTTTTAATATACCATTTTTATTATATTTAAAAAATATAAACCGATTTGGTATATTTTTTAATAACGTAAAAAACGTATTAACCCATAAAAAAAAAAACTATTTTATTATTTAAAAATAAAAATATTTATAGTTTTTATTAAATAATTAAAAATAAATAATTATATATTGTTATTTTATAAAAATTAAACTTTATTAAATTTATTAATAATTTAATTATTTTACGGTAAAATAATTTTATAATATTTTAAATAAAATAAAATATAATAAATTAAATAAAACTATTATTAAAAAAATTAATAAATATTATTATTAATATTAAATATATAAAAACATATTAAAAAAGTTTAAATTTATAATAAAAAATAATATTAATTTTAATTATAATATATATGTTAATGTAATATATATTAAAAATAAATTAATGTTTTATATTGTTAATAAAATAATATTATTTTAAATAATAAAGTTTTTAAAAAATATAACCGTTAAATATATTTAAAATATGTTAAAAATAATATAAATAAATAGTTATTTTAAACCGTTTAATAAATTCATATTTAATATAAATATAAATTTTATTATAAATAAATTTGTAATTAATGTAAAAAGATTATTAATTATAACCGAAAAAATGTTAATTAAAACATATAATTTAATTAAGTAATTAAAACGGTATTATAAATTAATATAACGTATATATAAAGTTATATTAAAAAATTTTTAAGATATTTAAATAAATATATATTATATTTTATAAATGGTTATTAAAACGGTTAATAATATAATAAAATTAAATAGTTTTATTTTTATATTATTTATATTCGGTATATATTTTAAATTAATTAAAAATTTGCTATTTACTTTTTTAATGGTAATATATGTTATAATTGTATAAAAAATAATAAAAAAGGTATAAAAATTTAAAATATAATAATAAATAAACGATATATTAAATATAAAAAACAAACCAAATATAATAAATATATTAAAGTTTTTTTTACAATTAAAAGTGTAAATATATTAAAAAAATAAAAGTTAAATAAGATTTTATAAACTTATTACGCGTAATAATAAAGTATACGTTATTAAAGTTAATAATAAATCAATTAAATTTTATATTATTATTATAAAACCTTATTATTAAAATAAAATAATTAATCTTTTAAATAATAAAAATAATAATTTTAACCGTAATCTTGATTTTAATAATATAATAAATAACTTTATGTTAAAAATTAAAGCATTAATAGTTAAAAAATTATAAAAACAATTACCAGGTAATAAAAATAAATTTAAAAAAATTAACAATGTAAATTATTTATTTTTAAAAAAAATTATAAACGTAAAATTTGCAGTAAAGTTTTATAAAAAAAAAAAGATTATTACGTTAAAATAATCATTTAAAAAATTTAATAAATAAAAAATTAAAAGATTAATTAAAAGAAATGTATTTTTATTTAAACGATATAATAAAAAAAAATACGGAAATATTTATTTATTTAACTTAAAAATTATTTATAAAATTAAAAGGAAAATAATTAATAAACCGTATAAAAAATTAAAATTTATTATATAAAAATATAATAATAAAAATAAAAAAGTAATATTTATTTAATTTTTAATAATATAATATTTTAATTAATAAATTATTATTACGTTTATACTTTTTTTAACCGTAAAAAATAAAGGAATTATAGTATAATTATAAAATATAATTTAAACGTATATATAATTTAATATAAACTTAAATTAAACAATTATTACAAAATTATTAAAAAAATTAAAGTACATATTTCCCGAAATAACGGTAATAATTATAATTAAATTTTTTTATAAAATTCCCGAAGTAAATATATATTAATAATTTATATATTTTAAATATTATAAAGAAAAATTCTTTATAACCATATTATTATATAATTTATACCTTTTAATATTAAATTTAATAAAATTATTTGGATTAATTATAATATAAACGGATAATACGTTAAAAATATTAAACAAAATATTTAATAAATTGGAAAATAAAAAAATATAAAAAACAGGTTTAATAGTAAAATTTAAATTATATTTTATAAAAAAAAACGTTATAATCTTTAATAAATACGTAATATTAAAAAATTTAAAAAGTAATATTTATTTACGTTAAAAAGATTAAAGTAAAAAAATTAAAATCATAAAAACTGGCGTAAACGCATTACAATAATATGTATAACAAAAAGTTTATAATATTTATATAATTATTATATATTAATTAAAAGTAACGTTTAATATATCCGAAACGGTATAATATTAAAAACCAAGTAAAAATAAAATTATTAAATTTAATAAAAAATTTTAATAATAATTTAATAACTTTTAACATGGCTTTTAATATATTTTATTAAATTTAATAATAGTTAAAATATTTATCTTTATAAATAAATTATTTGTAAATAATAAAAATTTAAATTTTTAAATCGGTTACAAAATATTTATTATTAATAAAATTAATAGTAATAAAATTTTTACCATAAAAAATAATCTAATTTATTAAAATTTAATAAAATATAAATAAATTATTAAAAACGTTTTAATAAATAAAATATATGCCATAATTTACGGCGTAAATATAATTATAATAATTAATATAATAATAACGTTAATTTTTAAAAAATTAAAATTTCCGCCCGTTTTAATAATTATATATATTAATTTATTTTTATTTTATAAATATATTATTAAATTTAAAATAATAAAAAAAAAACGGTTAATAATTGATATAATATTATTATAACAATTATATAAATAATAAAAAATAAATAATATTAAATAAATTTATAAAAAAAATAATTTAATTAATGTTATAATTAAATTAAATGTTAATAAAACGTTAAAAACATTTATTAATATTAATTATTTTACCATAAAATTATAAGATTAAATTAAAAAAAACTAAAAACGTAATTAAAAAATGTTATTAAAACATTAAAACTTAATAAAAACCTTTATTTTTAACTTATTATTATAACAATCCCACGTTTAATAAAAATAATAAAACAAATATTAAATTTATTAAAAAATAACCATAAAAATTGTTTATTTATTAAAAAAAAAAAAGTTATTAATAAAGAAAATATTTAACATATAAATCGAAACATATTTTAAAACATATTTTAAAAAATTACGTAAAAAACGTTTTAACCATTTTGCGAAAAAATCAAATTTTTATAACAACATTTTTTAATTTAATATAAACTTTTTCGGTAACATTTACCAAATAATTATCCCATTTTTAAATAATTTTATAACATTATTAAATCGCGTAAACTTTATTTATTTAACTTTTATTTTTCATTTTTTACAAACATTTCTTTAAATTTTATTACATATTTTTAATAATATTTTAAAAATGTTAATAAGTAATTATATAACGCATATTACGATATATACCGGATAAATATTTAAATTATTAATTTAAATTTTAATAATTATTTTTATAAATTAATAATAATAAATTAATATATTAATGTATAATTTTTAACCATTAATACAACGTTAACATTTAATTAAAATAATTATTACACGTTAAATAAAAAGTAAAATAAATATTTAAAATTAATTTATTATTTATTTCAAAATAATAATAATATATTTTATCATTTATAACATTAAATTGTTAATTAATTATAATATAACAATATTATTAATATAAAATTATTTATTTTATAAATATATTAATTTAATATTTAATAAATATTATAAATATATAAAAAAAGTTATTATTGCAAAAAATAATATTAATTTAAATTAATTTAAAAAAAAAAAAAAAATTTACGAAAAAAAAGTAATTTTATATTGCATAAAATTTACGTTTAAACTTACGTTTAAACGTTTAATTTTAAAAGTATAATCATATAATAATATAAAAAAAAAAAAAAAGTTATTAATAATAAAATACCGGTTATATAACCATATTATATAATTAAAGTTATGCCTATATATACCGTTTAAAAATTAACTTATATATATATAAATAAATATTTTTTATTTAATAAATTTCCCATTTTTTTTACTTAATTAAATATAATTAATTAAATTATTTTATTTAAATTATTTTATTATTTTTTACTTTTCGTATTACGTAATATACGGCAACACTATTGCCATTTTAACATTATTATACTGGTAAAAACGTTTATTATTAAATAAAATAATATTTTATTTTTATAAATATTGTTTTTTTTATTAAAGTTTTTTTTTTTTTTTAATTTTAAAATTATAACAATATTTATTAAAATAATATAAAATCGATAATATTAAAGTTATTTTAATTAATATATTATTTTTGTAAAAAAAGCCCGTGTTAAAATGTATGGTTAATGCGTATATGTATTTTTACGAAAAAAATCAAAAGTAATATTAACATTTTTTCATACAATTATAGTACAGTTTTGTTAACAGGCTTTTTCCGAATTAATATTATAATATATTTTAACATTTTAAAGTTATATTGTTTTAAAACCTTTTTTACCCGAGTAAATACTTATTTAAATAAACATTAAAAATTACATAAATAACAATAAAAAGTTATTTATCGTTATCGTAAATAAAAGTTAAATACCCGATAAATACGCATGGTTTAACGGTGTTTGTTTTATTTACAATTATAACGTAAAATAAATAAAACTTTAATTTACCATAACGGAAAAAAAAAGTTTAAAAAAATGATTTTATAAATATAAAATTATTTTATGTATAAAAACTATTATATATTATGGTAATAACAAAATTAACTTAATACATTTTAACATTATAAAATAATTTTAAAATGTAAAATGGTTTTATAAAATAAAACGATTTTAATATTCACGTAACTTTCACGTAACTTTTACGTGGAAAAATGGGGTAAAAGTTAAAAAAGTTAAAAAAAATTTAAAAAAACTAATCTTTAAACCCATAACTTTTACGTTTGTGTAACCATAAACTTTATAATTAATTAAAAAGTTTAAAATTTAAAATTTAAACGTTTAAATTAATGGGACAAAATGGTTAATTTTATTAAATTATTTTAAAATAAAAATTTATTTAATTTTAACTTTTATAACTTTTACTTTAAAAAAAGTACAATTTTAACTTATAAAAAAATAAAAAAAATTTTCGAAATTTTTATAAAAAATTTTTTTTTTTTTAAATTAAAAGTCAAACAATTGTTCTTAAAATGGGAACGATTGTATAAAATAAAATAGTTTTACGGTTATAAAACGGTTTTTGTAAAATAAGATTTTAAAAGCGGGCCCCGGACCTACTATTTTCAGATTCTGACCAATCAGAGCCTTTAAAACCCAAAAACGTTACGCCGTACGAAACCATTCCAATTTTGGAATCATTCTCCCAAACCCCCCTCCTCCGCTATAATACCTTAGGTAAGGTAAGGAAGGTAGGTATCTTACGTAGACCTGTGCTTCTTCCATTTATATCTTTAATAGCTCGATAAATAAATCGACAATCTTAGGTGAACCCTTTTACTACTCATTCACTCCTTATTACTTACTACTCGACGGTTGCGAACACCCTTTTGGACACCCTCTCTCCGCTTGACGAATCACAGCCTATCCCGCATACTGTTCGCCCACCATGGCTAGCAATCCCTACGAAGGTAACTTTTTACCCAGTATGGATGGCCAAATGCAAATTAGCTAAACTAACAATCAAATCTACACAGTCGAGCATAACATTAAGGCTTCGGACCGCCGACCCCATCGGCGGCGCCCGGACATGTCGAGCTTCACCTCGCATTTACATCAGATATCTCCAGACTCGGCAACGAATAATGCACGAAGCCAACGGGAGCCAACGGGCCCTACACCCGTGGACGCGGCAGCGCTATTCCACCTCTTGCGGGACCAATTTCAGACGCTATCTACGGACGCCCCGACGGAAGAGAACCGAGACTTTCTTGGGTCCCTGATGTCGGCATTGGAGGACGACATTAGGGCGCCGCCCGAGAAGATCCCCGGCGTGAGCCAAGAGTACCTCGACACGTTAGACCGAGTGCCGCGGAAGAGCCTCAAGAAGGACGACAGCTGTCCCATCTGCGCCGAGCTCTTCGTCGACGATCCTTACCCCCTGGTGGTTGAGCTGCCGTGCCATGGGAGTCATAAGTTCGATCTGGAGTGCGTTGGGCCGTGGCTACAGAGCAAGGGCACGTGCCCTATGTGTAGAGCAGACTTGAACAAGAAGAAGGTCATCGAAATTCCGAAGGATGACGACGAGGAAGAAGACGATGTTGATGGGTTGTACGGCTAAGCATTGCGGGTAGGAGTTCTGCAGAGGCGAATAGACATGGAGTTTGTGATGATACCCCCGAAAATCCAATCACAAGCTCTCTACGAGTAACACTGAGGTAGTTATGGCAAGTATTGTGAAGTTCATGTGATTGCATAGATGTCCAGCAACCACTATAGCCAGCCGCCAAACTCCTAATCTCGAATGCGAAATTTGTGGGAAACGTACAACTAAGCTTCACTCTCTTTCCCCGGACTTTTATTCTCTACCAAGCCGTGGATACTCATTAAGTCCTACCCTTTTTGGGCGCATCGCCAGCGCCGCTTGCCTTCTTTTTATTACCATGCGTCTTGTCCTCCGCCTTGTCCGCCTTGCCGCGACTACCTTCGGCAAAATCTTTGTTCGCGGGACTACTGTCCAAGGCGTTGCCGTTGCTCTCAGCGCCCGCGGCTTTCACCTCGGTTTCGGGATCCGTCTTGTTCGGGTTGTACGCGGCGTCTTGCTTAGAAGCGATCTCCCCGTCGGTACCGCCCGTCGTGTACTCGTGCGCCTTGGGCTTGAGGGACTCGCGGTCCATGTCATCTTTATAAGGCATACGTAGCGCTGACGATTGATGGATCTGTCTGCTTGCGACTAGACGGTTCGTGGTTGACATGAGAGGAGCTCCCGACCGAGCTCGTAGAGCTGCGCGCATGGTTGTGAAGCTCGACATTGTTTCAACGGGTCGGGTACTGGTAAATATTAATAACTATTATAGCTTATCTCGATGGAGAATTGCAATTGAGGCTATTGTCTAGTTTAGGACTATATTGATATATGTGAATTTGTATGTTTGCACTTGTAATTCTGACGGTTCTACTTCGTACATAACGTAGAGTTTAGATAATCATTATAGTGACGTCACCGAATACCGAATCAATCAAATGCGCAGGGGCATAGCAGATCGGTGCTTCCCTCAGGGATGAAAGCTCCACCATATCGGATTCGCAATTCTTGTCGTCTTATTAATCTACCGTGAACTTACAACATTTTCTTCCATCTGTGGCATAAGACGTAAAACTCTATAGCCTCGATACTTCGTATTATATGTGTTGCTTTTAATGGATCTGCATAAAGATGAGAGCTCTTGCGGATGACCAATATGTCTTTTCATTGATGATTCTAAGAGAATCGTTATGATACTTACTAGACTTCGTTCGTACTCGTTGCGGATTCAATAGCTGCTGCTGCTGGTTGAGTGTCCCCGCAACCACGCATATGGTTATCTAGATCCGAACTAATCCTTGAATTAATACTATTCCTCTTATCAATATCAGCTTGACTTCTTTTATGAGTTAAGTGGTGTATTGAAATCTTGCGAAGGGTAATATGAAGGCTCGAGTAGCCGGTGGATAATCATGATTCACTGGTAAGGTAAGAGAATACACACAAAAGACCAGGTTAAGGATGACAATCAGCGAGCCAAACGACTAAATTCAAAAATGATATAACATAGTAAGCGATTCTCATTCCGGGGTATATAGGTGCTAACTATCCAGCATTATCCGTCCCATTCCTTGTAGGAATACTACCTGTTATTCTCGCTATCGCTTTATGTATTATATCATCCAAATATGTGACAAGAATCAAAGTCCCTTCCCCAATTATGAGGCACCGCCGCTGCACTCGGAAAAGCCACCACGGCTGGGAGATCTTAAACTAACAACGCGGCAACGACGGCAAGACCGGCAGCGATTTTGCCGTCGGCTGTGAAGATGCCACCCGCCTGCTGCGATACGGTTGTAGTGACTACGGCGGTAGGAGCAGGGGTGACGGGCGCTTGAATGGTCGAGTCTTCGGTGGTAGCTGAGCTGCTCGAAGTCTCCTCGCTACTAGTCTCGCTACTAGTCTCGCTACTTGTGCTGGATGAGCTTTCGTGATGGGTGGTAAGGGTTGCCGTCGCTTTTGTCGTGCGGCTAGTGGTGGAAGTAAAGTCATCATCCGTTGTAGAACTGCTGCTATCGTCGTCGCAATCATCGCCAACATCACAGCAGTATCCATCATTGGTACACGTGCCAAAATCGGGGCAATAATGGAGTCCGTCGGCGCAGCATGTCCCAGTCAAGGGCATGCATAGGCCGCTACACTCGGTCTCACCGATGTCACACGAGGCTTCGTCGTCGCTGGATCCGCATATTTCTCCTTCAGGGCAGCATGCATTGGGGATACAGTAGTAGCCATTGCGGCAGTACTCGTCGCTGTTGTCGTTGCAACATACAGCGTCGATAGGCATGCATCCATTCTCGCACTGGACGCGACCTACATCGCAAGTTGCCAAGACATTAAGGAGTTTGGATTTGGCGAAGCTCTTCGGTAGGCCAGAACGTGCTTGTGGCGTCGCGGCCATGACGGCCGGCGCAATGAATAGAGCAAGAGTGAGGGCGTGCATCGTGTGTGTTGATATTTTGGATAGGATCTGTACAAACTTGACAGCTGAGCACTTGGAGCTTTAGTGGTGCAAGGTTGAAGAGACGCTTGAAAAAAGGCAAACGCACCACGACGGTGTCTGGACTACCGCGTACCTTTTATCTTCTTACCCCTTCTCGACCTGATCACACTCAGAACCTGAAGCGGCACAGAATTCTCGCTGTAAAAGCCTTGTCTATCTCAATGGGCTGAAAAGCCAAGCGGCTAGCTTCATTTCCCGGCCAGGGAGCTGCATCTCTAGGGTTATAATACCTATCCGCTCTGTTGCCATGCTTGTCCTAGAGCCCCAATAGCCAGGCATCTTTTCCAATCAGAAGGCTCAGTATGTTTGCTTAGGCTTGGGCGAATTTCACCACCCCGTGTGACTATCTAAAAATCAAGTCGGTGAGCTTAATGCGCAGAAGTCGATCTTCAGTCTACGGTGATTCGGTGGAGCGTATAGGTTAGCGCTACTAGGTAACCCTCAACAAGCACACTTGGCATCGTCTACCTATACCTCTTGATATCCTGCATATAAAGTCGTACGTGCGGCGAGGCGAGAAATACCTTCAAGTTCGAATCGTATTATTTGCTAGAACAAGCGAAGATAGGGTACATAGCAAATCTATCAGGACGCCACGTCTTAGCTACGAGCAACACGACGACGGACACACGGTAAAAAAAAATGAGCACGTAATGCACGCATCTCCCCATGATTTTCTTGGCCTCTTGAGGAGGAGTGAGGAGAAAAATGCCACTATATGATGCTTTGCGAGCCTTAGCCTGGGCTGAATCAAAGTTATTGGTCACAGCGATTCCCGAGCTGAATTAACCCCTGAAAATTAACGGTCTGATCTGGTAATAGTCACATCTTTTTACCAATACTCTTCGTCGTTGAGATATCAAGGGGCAACTAGCTTTATTGGCGGAGCAAGGGTCCGTTGAGCTGGCCTACAGCCGCAATGTATCAACCCTGGTAAAAAGACGTGAAAATTAAGCGCCAAGACATCGCTAGACAGCTCATCGCGACGGTTTCTTTAGGCTTCACGTAAAGAGTAGGCTGAGATGTTTATCCCGGTTGTGTTGATGTGGCGATGCGCTCTTCGCTAGGCGCGCAACTTGGCGTTTTTCGAAGAGGAAATCATTTTTAATTCCAAGTCTAGAGGGGAAAGCAAGCGCGTATACTCTCTCTGTTTAGTCACGAAGTATCTATTTCATATATCAACACGGCTGGCCTAGGACTTAGAGATAATTCGGCGGTGACGATGAAGCTAAGTGGCTGGGGTATTGAATAGTTGGGGTGCCTAAGGTATTTGATTTTCTTATACAACAGCCTCGATACTATTCAACTATTGACACATTTGGAACGACCCGGTTGAGATATCGAACTCTCTGTGGGTAAGGATGCCTGGGTTTATTCTTGGTCTTGTTTACCCACCTGTATAAGTGTCCTTGGTATGAGTGTCCTTGATATGAGCAGTCAGGATCGTAGTTTCAAGAGTACGATAGTCACAAAACTGCATATTTACCCCATGAAGCGCACGCTTTCTACTTCATGACGCTATGAAAAGGTGTTGGTGTTGAAGTGGAATGCTTGGGGGACTTAGCAATATATTATCCGCCCTAGGCTTTGATACCCAGCCCATCTTATGTTGACCATGGGCTCCAAATTTAAGTCCCGATTCTGAGGAGCCGTATTATGGGGATTTCTAGGGATAACTAAACGTAAAATCTGGCGTTGGACTATGATGATATTGACGGGGGTTGCACTGATGAAGACAGGATGTCAGATAAACTGTATCTTCGATGTCGACTTACCGCGGACCATCGGATCTTAAAATGATCGAACAGACTTCTGTCTTTGAGCTTTAATAGACTGGATGGCCAGCAATCAATGATGACACACTAACTTTAATAATGCCACCTTGAGACAGGTAGATTAGTCCTCACATCAGACGACAGCTTCGGACGGGATCCCAAGTCGAGTCCCGAACCTCGTTTACTTGGGTTTTCAACCACCCACCTAGGTGTCGTGAGTTATGTGCCCTTTTCAAGGATACCTTGGCTTAGGACCATGATTCTCACTCAATGTCGCTCTCATCGGAGCCCTTCGGCACTCGAATAAGCATGAAAGCCGCAGCATGCATAGAGCCTATTTCTTACATCTCCTCTCCAGTAGCTATTGAGGAGGAGAATGTGTTCCGCATCTTCTCGTAATTCGCTGGGTATCGCGAAAGTCTCATCGTGATCAATATTACGTGTTCTGTCATATCGATTCTCGTTATCCTGCTTGTATTTCTACTTAGTTATAGGGCGTCTTCACCCTTCTGCCTTGCTATACATTAAGAGCTACGTGGAGGCATCGTCTATGAAGGTAGCCCGGTTATTTCGAACAGGTCAACATATAACTTATCCTAAGGGTTAGCAGAGATTCAATCTTCGTAATACAACCGGAGGGGCCCTTAACATGTCTATCTCGGCTGCGGATACCGTCACGAATTCCATCGATATTTCGGGCCCCTGGGAAGACAAGGGGCTATACGACATCAATCTTGTTGACACATCCAAAGCACCGTCGAGGGAAAACATCATCCAAGCTGATGAAGAGAATGAATACCTACCCAACAGGACTCAAACTACACCTGATTATCCTCTCTCTCTGCCTGGGTGTCTTCCTTGTAGCCCTCGATCAGACTATTATCGCCCCGGCGCTGGGCGCCATCACCAGTGAATATGGCAGCGTCGGGGATATAGGTTGGTACGGTAGCTCGTACCTCTTGACCTCTACCGCACTGCAACCATTATACGGCAAAATATACCGGATCTTTGACATCAAGTACTCATTCCTAGGTGCTATCGCACTCTTCGAACTTGGCAGCTTGGTCTCGGCCATGGCGCCGTCTTCTACAGCCTTCATCATCGGACGGGCCGTGGCGGGGATGGGCAGCGCAGGCTTGTTCTCTGGCTCAGTCGTCATCTTATCGTACACTCTGCCTCTTCGGCGACTACCTCTCATGTTTGGTATGTTCGGCTGCATGTGGGGTATCGCGTCCGTGGCCGGACCCCTGCTCGGGGGCGTCTTCACGGACCATCTCACCTGGAGATGGTGTTTCTATATCAACCTGCCGATCGGGGGACTCGCGATGGTGGTGATATTTTTCTTCCTTACAATTTCCCTGGTTAACAACCCGGATGGTCAATTTTTCCTCACGCGGGTTCTGGAACTTGACTTAATAGGGGCTATGGTACTAATGCCGGCGATCATCATGTTACTCCTCGCGCTCCAATGGGGAGGTTCTCAGTTTCCGGTATGTCTGCTAACTCAACTATAATATCAGGTTTCCTGTGTATCCCAGCTATTAACTGTAGACGTTGTAGTAGAGCGACCGACGTATTATCGGCTTATTTGTCGGCGCTGGTGCCATGGCCCTGATCTTTGTTGGCATTGAGCATTACCAGCAGGACAAGGGCTTATTGCCTCCGAGGTTCTTCAAGGATCGCAACTTGCTGTGCGCTATGCTAGTAAGTACAACCCCGATTTTACCTGTGCTTCGTGGAACTGTTCACAGTCGAGGCCCAACAGCCACCCCAAGACCAAAACCATCTGTGAGACATTCCGAAAAGGGCAATTACTAATTTGGGATGTAACAGTTTGCCGCCTTCTTCGGGGCCTCGTTCTTCCCCCTAATCTATTATCTTTGTTAGTGTACTCTTACCATTCCAGCCACTCGATGACATGTAACATAGGTAGATATCTGACCTACAGCAGCCCTCTACTTCCAAGCCATACAGGGAGACAGCGCCGTCAGGGCAGACATCAAGCTCTTACCCCTCCTTATATCAGTAGTCGTCAGCTCGATCATCTCAGGTGCCCTCATCACCGCCACCGGCTACTACAACCCGTTTATCCTAGTCGAGATCGCCATGGTCGCCGTCGGTGCGGGACTGATCACGACCTTGGACCAGCATACCCCCTTTGCCAACTAGTTCGGGTACCAGGTCCTCGACGGGCTGGGTGTAGGCGTCGGATTCCAGGCCAGTGTCGTCGTAGTGCAAAATGTAGTTTCGAGAGAGCTGGTTCCGCAGGCTACATCGTGCGTGCAATTCTTCCAGGTTCGTCGCATCGATATCAATATATCTTCAAAGAATAACCAAAATAGTCTCTCGGTGGCGCCCTCTTCATCGCCGTCGCCCAAACCGTCTTCCAAAACCGGCTCATCAAAGGCCTAGCCCGCGACGCGACGAGCCACACCTCGACCCCAGACTCTTCACGCACAGCGGCGCGTCCCAAGTCCGACAGGTCCTAGCATCCATCGGCCAAGAACGCATGCTCAACGCCGTGTTAGGCGCTTACATGAGCGGCCTGCGGCACACGTATTGCATCTCCGCAGCCGCGGCGACTGTCGCGTTTCTGGCCGCGCTAGGCCTCCAGTGGAAGAAGATCGAGAAGAAGGGCGATGGCAACACGGCTACGGCCGCAGGTGAGATCTGGAGAGCGTGTACGCCGGCTGCCGAGTTTGATACGTATTATGAGGGGGCGGGCGAGTTATGTGCTGCGTCGAAGCTGCAGAAACGTCGGCGTGGATATCCTTAAGGAGATGAATGGGATGTTCGCTGGGTTGGTATGTATCTGGAAGGTACCTAGGTAGGATTTTGAGATAAGACGTATTGGATGTTTGGTGTAGGCTTGGTTTTCGACGCAGGTAGGAGGATCAGATGAAAAGCCGTTTATGCGATATGCGTTCGCTGTCTGGATCTAGGTAGTGTTTCGCTCGGCCGTGTTAGTACACTTGCTCAGTATCATTAAGCAACCATCAGTACGGCGGTCATCTACACGATCACAATAACAGTAACAATTTCACAAAAGCCAATGACATGCATACCAACCCGAATAAAAAACATCGCTTTATAACTCAACGCTTAACCTATTGACCTAACAGAATCCATACGCATGCGCTATACGCTATGTTTAATTGCCGCCAGTGACCGCGAGACCGAACTCAAGGTCGATTTTTAGACATCAACATGACTTGTAAGCAGTGCTTCCTGCACACGGGTATATTAACCCGAAGTTTTCTCCCGAAAAGACAAGCGCCATTGATCCATCAATACATCACAGAAATCAAATCAAGTCAAGTCAAGTCAACGCCGTGCCGTACCTTAAATGTAGTACATAGTGTTCTCCAAGTTTCGGTGGATATCTGGAGCCACCACTGTGGTCTGGGTGCTAGTCGTGGACTGCGTCTCAGCGCGCTCGAAGTAATCATCGAGGTATAATCGTTGTCGAGTACACACGATGTCGGCATAGTATGCTGGCGGACAGATACTAACGGCCTTGGTTGCTCGGCCGAAAAGGTAGCACATCTCGTGCGTCAAGGCCTCGAGACCATTAGCTGCTTCCGATCCGAGGGTCGGGCGGAAGACTTCGTCTAGTAGGACGGTGTAGTGGGCTGGTCTAGCTGTGCCTATATGACATCCAAAAGTTAGCGAAATGTGTGGTGGCGTCATAGAGGATAGGGATAATTACCTTGTAGGGCCTGATGGGCGGTTAGGAAGAAATCCCATACTGTAGCCTGAGTGACTCCTCGGTCTACTACTGTCCCGCTCTTGATGTTTCGGGATCTTGTCATATGCTCGGGATCTGTAGGGTAGAAACGCGTATGGTGTCTCTTCACTGACACTACAATAGATATCTTTGGTTGCTGGTTTGGTGGGTATTTTTGCGCGCAAGCTTGTCGGATGTACGGAAGCTCCTTATCCAAGACCTGTGTGAACTGGCCTTCGGACACACCATCTCGGAATATGATAATGTTCTGCGGCAAGGCCTTGTTGTTGTGAGACCTCCATAGCTCCAGACGCGAAGCAAACTTCTCCTTCAATGTTTCGTTCAGCATCTCGACCTTTCCTGTCTGAGACCAAGCCGCAGCAGGCCACTGGGCTAGATCCCGGTCTATGCTTGATACCATTCCAACCAAGCTCGGAAGACCATCTGAGCCGTTTGCTAGGTTCGTCGGATGGGTAACATCGTACCCTAGAACCATTGTCTTACCATCTTTAATGATGGGGACATCATCCTTCAACTTGTGGTTAATGCCGCCCATCTTTAAGTTGACCTTCAGACCGACGTTCGCAAAATATTGTGGGCTGCACTTAATAATGTTGGATCGAAGCACGCACACGGTGTGGTACCCGAATTCAACATCGCCCAGCAGCTTTACGACCTTGTATATATCTTTGTCGGTCTTCTTGCCAGGAAGGACGACGAACACGAACTGAGGGGGATTGTTCCGGAACTGGTTAAATCTCTCCCTCAAGCGAACAATAGGAGGCTCGTTTCTCGGGCAGAGGACTGTATTGTTCGAAGACGGCATTGGAGCACTGGCTATGCTGATACCCGTCTTTATCATGAACTGAACAAAGTCTTTCATGGCATTGCGAAGGTCATCCGGAGTGGTATTCTGGAAGAAGTCGACATTAATCCACGTCCACTTGCTAATTGGTCGACCGGGTTTGACGACTTTCACGTTCTGCATATTCCAACTGCCGTCATTAACGAAGGCATTTTGCGGCCTGTTCTGGAGGTTCAGATAGGCAATAATAGGTGGCGTTAGCTCGCGTCCCTTCACCGCCAGCAGCTCCTTACCAGCGGTAACTTTGAAGTCCGTCTGTATAATGATTAGCAAGGTTCATATAGTACGAGATATAAAGGTAAACACCTACAAGTGCCTTGTTGCTATCTAGTCCTAGGCACTTACGACCCTCATTCATGATCGACGTCGCATTGGCCCAGGGCGACCGACAAGCAAACAAGATCATCTTGGCTGTTTCTTCGCCTGTTGTTTTGCGATTGAGAGTCTGTCCCGGTATAATTTCGAGCAACTCCGCCGGCATGTAGATTGGCCTTACTGTGCCAAATTTGACGACAGGCAGGTTGGGGTCTACTTTGTAGCCATATTCTGTGCAATGATTAGCATCAAGCTCGACTGAAAACAAGACAATACGAACTTTTGAGATAATAATCTGCGACTGTGCAGTAAGCATCTTCCTTCAGACCCTGGGGAACAGAACCTGAGAGGAAAAAGGAGACCTCCGTAGGGCCACCACCAGCGCGCTTCACCAGCGGCTTATTTTTCTGACCCTTGCCATCGTTGGGCGTAGCAAGGCCGGCGATCTGCTTTCTTATTATCTTTTCCCCTGATTTCTGACCCCCTTTCGAGCCCGGAACTGTTTTTTCAGGAAGAATTCTACAGTTGCAACGTAGACCTGCTAAGAACTTGTTGAGCTGGTATGGGGCATTAGTACCATAACTTTTCATCAAGTCAGCCACGTTTCCACTCGTACGGAATACGCCGTGGGACACATTGGCATTTAGTAGGATACGACCCGTGGTTAGTCGGGCACTTTGGAAGTATCCACGAATGACCGTGTTGTTGTCTGGGTAACCCAACTGGTGAATTTCCGAGGGGAGATTAAGGGGGAAATGTCGGCTTCGGCCTACAGACGCAATTTGATCGTCGGAGCGAGCTCGGTATCCAGTGATTATGCTAATTGCATCGATGGCCTCTATAAATTTCGGGAACGATGCATCTCCAGTAGGATCCTGCATGGATTGGGCATACGCTCTCAACTTGTCCATGTCAATGTCGGGTGCATTAGAAAACTTGACGTCGTAAACATCATTCTTGCCTTCGTCGGTATAAGGAACCTTGACTACTTGATCCTTGGGTAGTGGCAGCGGTTTGAGGGTAATAACTTGGCTCTTGAACTCGGTTGCATAAGGAATTCCTTTAGCGATCTGACCAAGGGCGGACTTGACGACATCTTGGAGCTTCATCCCTTTCGCTTCGATTGGGCCGTCACCCTTCTTACCAGATTTCTTCGCGCCTGGTTTCGCTTCTGATGAGCCCTCGTCCTTCTTAAGGCTACTTTCCTTATCTAATGTCACTTCCAGGGTGTATTTGTATAGTGACGGCGTCTGCTTGACGTCCAATGCGAAATAGTTGGCCCAAAGGGTAACTTCTGTGCCCTTGGTACCAAAAGCCGGCCGGAGAGGCATCCGTTCTTCTGTAGAAGGCTTTTTGCCCTTGCTGGACGATAACTTCAAGGCTGACATTTTAGCCGCCATTCCAAAGTCATTGAGGATCTTGTTCTCAAGCATAGTAATGCTCTCATCTGGGCGAGGTGGATAATTCGGCCTACAACTGTGTTAGCATCAAAGCATACGAAGAGTGAACCGAAACTTACTTGTACACTTCGTTCTCACCAATAAATCCGCCTCGGCCACCTCGTCCTCCTCGCCCGCCACGGAAATCACCGCCACCTCGTCCACCACCCCGCCCACCACGAAAGTCTCCTCCGCCTCGTCCGCCACCGCGATCTCCGCGGAAGTCTCCTCCTCGACCTCCGCGATAATCACCGCCGCCACGTCCACCGCCGCGTCCGCCGCGGTAGTCACCACCTCCCTGGTCAAATCCAGAAAAGGTGGCACTCCCACCACCACCACGTCCGCCACGAGGGCCACCTCGTCCTCCACCACGGTCTCCACGACCACGATTGCCTCTGCCGCGGTCTGCCATATTGGCTGTTGCAACAAGATTGAGAAAGAGTGACAAGGAGAAGCTATACGTAACTAAACTTAGGAGATATGAAGCTCAGGGATGGTTTAAATGCTAAAGAAGTTCCTGGAGGTAGCCAAATATCGATAATTGATGGCTATGAAGGTAATTATAGTTAGATAGGCGCCAGCGACAGTAGATGGAGTTGGGAAAGATTCTCACCTGAAAGTATGTAGAGGTAGCTATCTAGATATGTACCTAGATAGAGCCACTAGGTCACAGACAACACGTATGTCTACTTGATACACGTTAAGTTATATCTGTAAGAGTATGAGATGCTGATTTTAATAGGCCATGAGTGTGAAAGAGGGGGATTAAGGCACATGAACAAGATGTGAGGCGATAGTAATAGTGCTATATAGGGAAGTATGTGTGTCTTGGTGCAGCAAGAAGGCGACGCCCTTTCTATAGCGTGATTGTCATCAGGGCAAGTAAGGTAGGAGAGGAGAGTTTGATTGTGAAAACTGTTTGGTTGTGTTTGATGTTAAAATAACAAAAGCTGGGGAGTTGTAGGGGTCCTAAAACTAATGCAGTGAAGCGCCGATTCACCGGGATGGTTACATACCAGAGACGATAGCGATTAGAGATGAGATTGACGAGATTGACTTTACCTGCTAGGTCTACCGCTGTGGGGTGAAGCCGGTGAAGCAGGTCAAGCTCCGATATGGGGCGATATGAGTAGCGTCTAACTCTGATAGACAGTCCTAGAAGCTCTATAAACAAAAAGGAGAAGGAAATACCTAAACTGCTAGAGGGTTCCTTTTCTATAGGGCTAAAGGAGAGGAGAGGTGGTCGGTCTACCAGTGACTTGGGCCGAAAATAACAAAGACGAAATCTAAGGGAAGCATCATAGAATAGAATCTTGGAAAGGGGAGTGTAAAATAAAGCCCACCTCGTTAGCTTGCCAACACTGAGGGCCCATTAAAGATATGTGCATACAAGTCACTTACAGGGCTCACGTAAAATCGAAGATGTCACACAGGATACATGTTACCGCCGTACCAGGAACAGGTACATACATACATACCTATGTACATACAGTTTCTAACCTAACAGCCTAACAAGCTAATATCCTTTAATAAATGAAATTTCCCTTGTCAAACGGTTACTCTTTCTTTGCGATTCTTCTTCTTTCCCCTAAAAGCGGTGTGTATGTAGTCGGCTTGTTCATATATGTATTTGGTACGTTCCGTATAGTTATACGTTTTAACTACGGGTTTGTACATACAATACGCATCAAATATGTATTCACGATACTCGGCATCTAGATATTGAACCCCCGGTCGGGCAGCCAAACCGTTTAAGACCCAATTTGGCGTTTCGAGGACCCGCGCACGCGGATCGGAACTGCATGCTACCCCTGTCTGAACCTATCCCCCCCTGTCTTTTCTTGCCCTACAACTGTGCGTCTCGCATAAACAAAACGTCACTCGCACCAACCAAAAATCCAAAAATATTTGTTAAAATACTAGGTTACTTCATCCGGTAACCTTCCTGATATCCAACACTTGCTCACATGTCCCTTCAACTATCCCATGAGAGGCAAACATTGTATAAATATTATAGGGGTATAACTTATAACTAAGAGAATAGAATTATACAAGATTTACAGCAGATGATTGCGGACATCCTTGTTCTGTTTCCCCGTTTACACCGCTAAACTATCTTGGTTTACTTTTTTTTTCAAACAGGGATCACGGCCATGTACCTAGGTATGATTCGGTTAAGAGAATAGCAGGAATGTCGTCCGGAGCCCTATCACAGTAACCAATCACCATTTTCACTTATTAGTGAAAGCTGGTGGATACGAAAAACATACATGCACAGCTTAGCAGCCTTTGAGGTGCTTCAAAAAATGATATGTCTCTTTGACAGCGAAACTTGTCAGCCCACCATTGCTGTAAGCCATAGGCATCCTAAAAGTCAACCAGCTTACGAGTCACTCTGGCTAGCCCTTGGAAGAGTCATATTTTACCTACCTTATGTACAAGCCAAGGCGATCCAATCAGCAATCCCAGGTCTGCCCTCCGTATAGGTATTAACAGTATGTCGATAGAGGTACCTACCTGACCTTCCCAGTCGTCACCTTGTTTCCTTGGCAAACTACAGCGCCTTTTAGGTACTAGCAATCTATTCAGTACACCTTAACCTACAATTTGTCAACTACGTAATAACTACATAGCAAACGGGCTTCAGCCTCATCAGACCACCAATTGGCTGGATGCTGCCCGGACCGCCCATGTGCATATTGCGAACCGAAGCAACCGCGCCACTAGGTACTTCTTTTGCAGGACGCCAACCTGCATATTGCGCCTCAAGATGTAACATATTATTGGAGGGTGAGAATTGGGCCTCACAGCATGTCCATCAACCTCGCTAGAGAGTCTGACACGTAAACTCCTTAGGCCCAAGTTGCCCCCGATCTTCCCCACAACCATCGAGGAATCAGAATCCTACGCCCGTGATCAGAAGCAAGTATAGGACAACATCCGTTTGAGGCCATTGTAAAATCCAGGACTAACTAATCCCCATGGGGATACTAGTACTACCGGACCGATCCGCTACCCGCACTGCTGCCTTCATCTCCATAGTCCCCCAAGCCATAGAACGGATGCCGCGAGGGTGCTTACTCGCAGTCGGCTCAGATACCCTCCGGGATTTTGATACGGGCTTGTTCGCTCGGGTTGAAGTGATATTAGAAGTTACAGTCCGTTTGTACGGCCTCATTCAACCAGATAGATCGGCATAGCCCCATTAATTCCGAAATTGGTGTGCTGTCATGCAGTGCTGCCAACCCCTGCAATAAGTATCACATCAATCCCGCTGCGAACGGAAGTCACTGGCCTTCGTCTAGACCTCGAGCCGGGTCCTTACAACCAGTGTGACTCATAGGATACACGACATCTTATAAAGAGACCGTTTTGTCTAGGCGATTGGGCAGCTTATCTTCTGCCGAGAAAGATGGGCGGTCAGGGTAAAGGCAGGCTGTGCGACATATACATAAGCCGAAAGTCGTCTTGCGTAATAGCCCTTGAACAAAGGTCAGCCATAGATAGAATTTATGTGTGGAAAATACTCTTCAATAACGATATGTTGGTAGATAACTCTAAGCTAAATTCAAAGACACGCAGAAGTATCGAATTCAAACCGCAAGGCTACTTAATTTAGGAGCAGGGAGAAAATATTGATTATTGAAGAATATGCCATTCCTTCCTGAGACTCCCATTGATGTAATACATGTCCCTACTAACATTAGATCAATTTTCAAGTGGCTTAAATGAAGCCATTCCCACTTGCCCGTATCAAATTCCTCGACCCCTGAAAACCCGCTCCCAGCTGTATCTATTAGGATTCTAGATAAGACATATAAAACAAAGGGCAATTTCGGTATGTATAGCCGTAAGCTCCCATAGTTAGCTTGGAGCTCCTCGCGGAACAACGAAATTATTTCCATGCCTCTTGCTCCACCTCGTGATAGTATCGATAATCCAGTCCAACATATGTATATCGTTCTTAGTGCAATAGCTAAATTGATTTCCTAACTCTTGCTCACGTTATTATACCAGGATTATCCGCTCGGTGCTGATACCCGTCTGTCCTTGCTGTGTCTAGACTCTCTAAGTTTTCCCGCCTTATTCTTGATATTCTCGTAAAAACCCCCAATGGTATTTGTGTGATCTCTAGCGTTTCCTGTATCATTGACTACCTATTTCCCCGGCCTGACTTTAAGTAGTTATCCCATAATAGATTGATAGTAACTCCTTAAACCCCGTGACTAGTATACAGGTTGCTCAAATCCAGTTCCAGTTAGAGTAAAGAGCCACGCCAACGTGGAGATAGGAGTCTTGTCAAGTATATGATAATAGCCGTCCAATCAAGGCCATATGATATTAATTCAAAAGTAATTAGGATGACTAATACAAAATGCTTGACAGAGTCTTTGGATTTTTCAGCTTTCCTGGAGAAAATAAAAATTCAGGGGTATTTTAGATACTACTGTATTAGCTTACCAACCTCGTTTTGTGCTTCCTGATTGACCTGATACCCAGAAAATAAGTAGCCAATCCTTAATTTAAAGGGAAGCCGTTCAATCATGTATTATCCTTTAGAATTAGAGTATCTCACAACCTTAGGCACATAGACCAGTAAGCCACAGCAACCTTGGAGAAACTTATTGACCAAGCCCTCTGGATCATTACTTCCGTAACTATTTAAGACTCGGAAATGATATGTACCTGCGTCAGAATCCAAATCCTTGTTCGCGTCACTACCGACTCATGTCCGCCTCGCAAGAGTAGAGAACGCTCACGCTTCGTATACAACACCTTAGCCTTGTATGTATGTATAGCATTAACAACAGGCGTGGTAAACTCACCACTAGTATAAAACCTGATAGCGGGTGGCAAAGCTAAATCGTCAGTCATGAAATATAAGGCTCTTTTAAACAACCGCGTAACTATAGCTTGCACGTTTTAAAAACTACAGCTCTAGGGTTTCAGTAATATATTTTCTATATATAAATTCCTAGGGGCATTGATACATTTACAGAGGCGAAACTAAAGAAGCCTTATAATTTCCCTTCGTCATTCATGTGACGAGCAGCAAAACTAATAGACGATTATTTTATTTAATCTTTCTTATTTCCCCCCTTTTTTAGGCGGAGAGGGGGGAAGGCCACCAAAGCAGTAGGGCCAGCCTCTGTTTTTCAACCAACACCTAGATAGCTTCAGTCCCATTAGCTATCCTCAAACCGATGTTCTAAAGGATTTACTTAACCATAAGATTAAACCAGCTAGAATATGTGGGTTGAAAGATGTCATCTTGCTTTACAGTCTATTGAAGTAATTTTACTAAATCGCATTCTCGCTCCCAGAGATAAGCTTTCAACAAAGCAACTCGGGCTTTTCAAATCCTCTAATTCAAGCCCTTCATTGTTGGATCAAGTGACGCTTTGTGTTACACAATAATGCTGGCGGGCTCTCCCTTGCTACGTCTCCCTGCCCCTCTTAAACATAAACATAATAAACGATGATAATGATAATGGGGGTGTGTTCTAGTAGCCTCGGTCCTGTAGCCTTTTTATTCGTGAATATCACTTACGTATAGTCGAGGATGGCACAGACAGTCTCATTCGATATCACCCCTGAAAAGGAGGCTAGTAAACTCCAGTTCCTTCGCCGTCAGTTCTTCGGAGCTCCACCGGCGGTTTCGCGACACGATGTAGACCTTAGCGGCAAGACGGCTATTATAACAGGAGCTAATAGTGGCATCGGCTTGGAATGCGCGCGACAGCTTCTAGATCTTGGCCTCAGCAAGCTCATCATCGCAGTTCGCGACGAGGTCAAGGGCGACGCCGCTCGCAAGGCCCTAGCGGCCGCGAAAGCGCTCGAGCCTAATCAGATTATCGAGGTCTAGAAGCTAGGCTACGCATCTTACGAATCTGCTATAGCTTTTGCGCAACGGGCCGAGGACCTTAGCCCCCGACTCGACATTGCTATCCTCAATGCGGGAGTTAACAGAGGCTCTTTTACCCTAAATCCGACGACAGGTCACGAGGAAACTCTGCAGACCAACTACCTCTCGACAGTCCTCCTATTACTTCTTCTTCTTCGAATCTTCAAGAAAGCAGAATCCGCTACTAAACCCTCGCATACTTCTCCAGGGCGTATCGTAGTCATATCATCCGATATGGCCGCTTAGGCTAAATTCGATAAAATAAATGAGGAACCGATGCTAGAGGCCTTTGATATCAAGGGAAAATGGAGTAAAAACGAACGTTATGCTACTACTAAGCTTCTGGGGCAGCTTTTCGTGACTGAAATAGCTAAGCGTGTGTCGCCGTCGCTAGCTATTATAAATTGTGCGAACCCGGGCCTCTGCTACGGCTCGGAGCTCGCCCGCGAGCATGGTACAATTGCTGCCATATTTATACGCTCTTTCGGTCGTTCAGCTGTGGGCGCGCGTACGCTTGTGAATGCTGCTGTTAAGCAGGATGGGAGATCTCATGGGTAGTATATAGAGGATTGTACACTCAGACCGTGAGTACCTATATTCCATCATTCAGCCTTGTGTCTATTATATTTCCCGTCACTACTAGAATGGAAGGAACTGTCATTTCTAGTATATTATAGTCTCTACACATCTACGACTACCGAATGATAATGAGACCGACTCATGAGTGCGAACTTATCAGAATGGCGCCCTTTGTGTATTCGAAAGAGGCAGAGAAGATAACCCAACAGTTGTGGGAGGACACGATGAAGGAGCTGTCATTTGCGGAGGTTCACGATGTTGCTGAGAACCCATCTTCGACTCATAAATGAGGCGAGTTTTATACGGAGGATGTTTTCAGCTCGACCCATGATGGCCCTTTTCTAGTATTCCATCCGCGGCAGTCGGTTTCTTTGGAAGAAGACCTTGGAATGCGTGCTTAACATATGATAAGGATCAGAGGTCTTGGTTTGCTCTCAATTTACTGCGCTCTCTGTATTCGCTGCTATTTATTATAGCTTTAAAGTGTATAAGGGAAGTCAGCAGTATGACCCTCTTGATAAGCTTGACACTTCAATATATGGCATTAATAACTGTATTGTGGTATTTGTTTATATTGGGTGTAGAGCTGACACGCAGTATTTAGTGTATATTGCGAATGTATTCTTAGGTTGTCCCATCCACCTCCTGTGCCCCCTCTATCACCTAGGGCGCATATAAATAAACCGATATCTATCCTCCTCCATCGGCTTGTGCTCTCGACATTTCTCTTCCTCTTTTCTCTCCCTCTCCCTCCCCTTTCAGCTCGATCGGCTATCCTGGCTCTGCACCCTGCCATCCCGCCGCCTGCGGGACATGCAGAATGAAGGTTATATATTTTATACCGTAGGTCGGACTATTCGGTATGGGTGTCTTAGTCTGTGCGGCCTTGCCCAAGGGCCAGCATATTAGTAATCGCTTTTTTCTAATGCCCAAGTCTTGAAACGGTATTGTAACTACCGCCCAATCCTAACCCCATTTTATACATCTTAACATACTCTATAGACTCGGGTGAATCATAACGCCAGCCGTTCGCATATGTGCCAACCCCGCAGTTTGCACTCACTCTTCTCGAGCACATTTTAACTCTGCATCTTAGACTGCACCCACTTTACTACACCTCCCTTGGCGACGATTTCTTGAACGCTGGGAGGCATCTCACCGACCTTTTGCTCCCAGGAGGTGCCATCCTGCTCTGTAATAATGACTTTGGAGCGACGGACGTCCCAAAGTAGCTTCCAGCCTGTACGGCGAGTCAGGGGCTTCTCCGCGTCATCCTTGTACGCTTCACGAAGCCGCTCGACCAATTTCGGGATTTCAATTCCAAGAAGAGCGTTGTTGATGCCTGAAATATTTCATTAGTTGTTTGACATCATGAGGAAAAGTAAGAGGATCTCAATGGGTACTCACTATTGCGGCTGAAGATGTTACCGAAGCTACCAGCAACAACGAGAGGAATCTGATTGGCTAGGATAGAAGTGGCAGCCTGCTCACGGGAAGAACCGCACCCAAAGTTGAATCCGGTCACCAGCACATCGTTTGGTTTAACAACATTGCGGAACTCGGTATCATAGTTCTCCATGCACACCTTAGCCATTTGCTCTGTGGTCAGGCCGTCCTGGTAGGTGTAGCGTCCGGGGTAGATACCATCAGTATTGATGTTGTCATTGTCGCCTGCCGCAGTTAGCGAATGACTCCGTAAGCATATGTAACAACCACTCACAGAAAACAATCTCGCCCTCAATCTTCTCGGGGAAGCCCGGGAGGACGTCTGTCAAGGTCTCATCTTCAGTGGCCACTGGGCTGGCCGATTCCTCAGCGGCTCCTTCAGCAGCGCCAATCATGTTCTCCATCTCACCAATGATTTGGTCAAAAGCATCTCCAATAGAGCGAGCTTTGTCGGCAACAAAGTCACCGGTCCCCTCACCAAAGATAACCTTCTCAACACCTTCGGGCTTCAGGTACCAACCAGGGCTAGCAATCTTACCCTGAATAGCACTGGCTGCGACTACCTCGGGGCTGGCGAGATAACACAGTGCCTTGGGGTTACCTTGAAACAGCAAGTTAGTATCGTATATAAAGCTGGAAACATAGAGTTGAGTTACCCATGCGCCCTTTATAGTTTCTATTACTCGCTGATATGCCTACCTCGCCTTCCTCAAGTAAGCCCTGTATCAAAGATTAGCACTGAACAAAGAGGTCAAGAACATATAGTATCTACTACATACACGGCCTAAGCCTATACAAGGGCCACATCCGGCCGGGAGTAGCTCAGCTCCAGACTGTTCGAGGATCTGCCAGTCCCCGGCCTCTTCCGCCATCTGCTGTTCAGCTAGAGATGCAGGTGCAAGGTATAACTTGACACGAGGATGAACCTTAGCAGGCTTGCCATCGTTGCCGGCCTCGCGGAAGACACGAGCAGCAGCAGCAAAATCCGTACTCCTGCCGTTGGTGCAACTCAAAAGATATGCCTTGTCTATAGCAATATCCTGAGTCTCGAGCTTCTTAACAGGGGTGGCAACTTTGACAGAGTTGGGACCAGCAACAAAGGGCGAAAGGGTGGATCTGCGCCTTGTTAGAATAACATATATGAATGAGATACGGGGTAATGTTGTTTATTTCTTACAGGTTAAGATAAAATTCCTTGGCATATGTAGCACCAGGATCAGCAACTAGAGGGTTTTCCAAAAGCTCGTCAATCCGCTTGTGATTTATACGATCCTTGGTAGGACTATCAGACATGGCTGCGATTGTGGCTCTGGCGCGGTACCATGAGATAAGCATATCGTCCATAGGGAAGAGTCCTACCCATACGTATTAGTAACTGAGCGGAATTGCGGGAGAAGAAGGTAGCTACCTGATAGCGCTCCCCATTCGGTTGTCATGTTGGCGATTGTCAAGCGTTCGGAAATAGGGATGCTTGCCAGAGTCTCCTTAGACCCGGTGAACTCTACGCACATGTTAAGCACATCGGATTTGAGCATAGCACATAGGGCAATAATCGTATCTTTTCCCGTGACTCCCGGAGGCAGGACGCCCGTGAAAGTAATTTTCGCAATTGGTGGAACTTGCCAGAATATTGTAGAGGTTGCCAGGACACTTGCGGCGTCTGAGCGGACGATGGCCGTGCCAAGACACGAGATACCACCGTACATGTTTGAGTGACTGTCGCTAGCAACGGTGACGGTTCCTGGCCAGGCGTAGCCTTCTTCAATCATAATTTGGTGCCCGATCCCGTGTTTAGCAGGATCTGCTAAGTTAGTTTAACATGCTTCAAATATCTTTGGGAGGGGAAGTCCCGGTAGTGCCAGCATACAAAAATCTATGCCCTGCTTTTTGGCGAACTCCTCGATTAGGCGGTATTTGCGTAAATTTTGTTCGGAATCGTTTTGTACATCATGGTCAAGTCTGCGAGTAATTAGACAAGGAATATGAACTGGATTACAAGGCAAGATGGCATACGTCATGACGACCTGGCGATTATCGTTGACCCTGGTGGCGCCCATTTCCATATATCTACACAGCTTAGTTAGCGTAGCATTACAACGAGTCAATGAAGTGTTATTACTTGGTAATTACAGGCCAAGAGTTATCGTGGGTCATGCTCTTATGAGGCCTTTTGCAGAGTGATATTAGCTCGACTTCTTAATATCCGGACCGGGCCTAGACCAACCGCAGCGTAATATAATCTCCAGCTCTGACTTTTCTTCCTTCACGGAGGCCATCTGCGTGAAGTTGTACAATCTTCTCGGTAAGTGTCTGTGGGTTGGTCGGGGCGGTGGAGTTTAGAGAGGACTGGAGGGCAGAGGAATTGAGGGTGCTATCAATTTGCGACTGGAAGGCCTGTTGCCGTCGGGGACTGGTCGAGGAATAGGTACGGAACCGAGTCACAGGTACCGACAGTAATCGCGAGCGGGCAATCGAGGTTCTGGCCTGCCGCATCGCAAGGGCGGAGGCATTGAGAGAGATGACTCTCCGCTAAAGACGTCCCATTGTCAGTCAGGTTTCTTGGAGTCTTAGACGGGAAAGCTGCACGCGATAGAGCATTTGATGGTTGGTAGAGGAACATACAAACATAGCCATGATGGATAGTTATACCCAGTAAATGGCGTTGACGATTCCAAAGAGGTCGTTCCTAGCGATTCACCGTCAACAGCGAATAAGGAGGGGGGGATGTTGATATTGGTGATAGCTTCGATTCCTACCCTGGCGCATTCGTTACACAAAGCCGGCGTCGGAGTTGCATCGCAAAGGAAAAAAAAAAATCGATAATGCGACAGCTGTGATTGGCTGGAAATGCCTAAGGGAATTGCCCCTCCATATTCACTAATACATATCCACTAGGTTACAAGAACCCGTTAGACCTGCGTTGCCTCCCTTTGTTTCGACCATTCAAAGTCTGACCAATTAGAGCTCTTCCTTTTTGCAATGTATGAACAGGTACACAATAATTGTTTCCTAGGTATACAATGATTGTGTACTGAACTAATGATTGTAATATAAGATACCTAATCATTGTGAGACTTAACAATCATTGTTTAAACCCATACACTCCTGCTGCGGTAAAGAGGAGAAAGCTTTTCTTTCTTTTTCTATTGGAAATCCTTATTTATATGTGTATGTGTAAGTCTACTTGTGGCTTTTGGCCATTGTGAACCCGTAAACTACTCGAATTACTCATACTTATACTTACCCCAAATAATCTTCCTAGTGAAGCGGTGGTAAGTTCGGAAAAATGATTTCTTTACCTACTTATGGCGAGTTGCTTTCTGAAGCAAAAAAGGATATGAACCTGTTTCTGAAACATTATATTAACATAACGCAGGCGCGTAGATGGGCCGATACAGGGGAAAGTGACGACGATGATAATGACGATGACGATATGACCTATCTCGAGCAACGATCTCTCGAGGGTGATCCACCAACGGTTGAACAGCTAGGTCAATCGCTATATTTCTTCCAACCCGAAGCGGCATTGCGATTTCTAAATCGTAGCGAGATACAGTCGGCCTTCCAAAGGACTTATCTGGAACCGGTACTGCTAAAGGGCGACTTTGGCAGCCTACCGATCGACATGGTGCCGGTGCTCCTGGTGTTCGATAGTATGCATGAGTCGTTGCGACCACATGAATACCTCCAGTCGGAGATCGCGATGGACCCAAAGGGAAGTGATGCCCGCGTTGTAGAATTCATCATCGAAGTTGTTCTCTTTATTATGAGCGACGAATGCCAGGAGGAATTTGGGTGGGAGATAATTGATCCTCTGGTTCTTGCCACAAGGGACCTCGTTTACATCGCTGCTATGATGATAGATTTGCTTGCTAGACAAGCTCTAGGAGTTGATCTAGATCTAGAACTGTACGACGGCGGCACCCGCGCTCCTGTTGGTACCCCTATTCATTTATGGTAGACGTCGTGAGAAGCCTGTGAAATTTAGATAGTCGAATTGAAGGAATTTGTCAGTTTAGCTAATACGTAATATTATGATAGCCCTATCATTGGTATCGTTAGAACACATCTGTTGTCTTGAACACTGGAATATAATTTTTATTTAATATATGCACCAAGTAGAAATAGAAAGTTGAGATATGATTGATGTCTTTAATACGTAATCCGTATAAGTCAGCTACAGTATGAGTAATAGTGAGGGACAGTGCACACACACACATGGCATCCTAGGGTTACAAAATACTGTACCTCCAAAATACCTCCTCGGCCTATCATAGCACACCATCATCGCACAAACTATTATATACCTCAAACCCGAGCTATCTTGCACCGCCCGGTTAGCTCAATCGGTAGAGCGTGAGACTCTTAATCTCAAGGTTGCGGGTATGTACTTCTCTTCACCTGAGGTTATTCACACAATCATATGCTAACATCAACTTGAAGGTTCGACCCCCGCATCGGGCTCAATTCCTGATGCTTCCCAGTTTCTGGGATAAGCAACCCCTCTTTTTTTGTCTTTATTATTATGACTTTTTTTTTCCCCTGGTGATTTATGAGTTTATTTATTCATAAGGTTAGGTTATCTAATGCCTGATGTTAGAGTATTGGGTTCGACTTCATCCTTTTGTGACTATTTTTTTATTCGATTCCTTCCTCAGGAAGACCCCGCGTTGTGCTCAATTCCTCATACATCAAATCACCTCGACAAGTTTTTCTAGATCCAACTCCAAAATAAATTTATCGTCAATACATGTAGTCATATTTTCCGCCGGGTTTTTTTAAGTTCATTCGACTCTTTTTTAATCAATTTGTCTTCTATACCAGGTAGTCTGCTTATACATCGATGGAACATATCGTTAATGATATCTTTGTATTTTGAAATAATTGATACGTGCTTCTGGCTAAGGCGGAGTAATAGATGTCGAATACGATGGTATACACCATGATAGCGAATATACTCCATCAGCAGTTACATTTAGCTAGCCTTATCATGGCCTGCTGTTGCAACTTCTAATATTTCCTTCTCAAATCCAGAGATGTGCACGAACCCGATGTTGGCATCCTCTAACTTCCGCTTGCTAGAATTATCGCTAACGAACTTTTCTGGTTCATGAACTCCGACATAAACCGTCTTGATCTTATTCCCTATAGCTAATATCCTATCCACACACGGTAGGTTTCCGCTGAGCCTTTGGGAACATGGCTCTATAGTGGTGTAAAGTGCGACTTGGTTCGGGAGGACTTCACCTATGCGGCTTGCTGCGATATCGTACTTTTCTGCAAGCTTCTCAAAGCAGCATTGCTCAGCGTGAGTGTTACCGGGAAGCTCGAGTGTATACCCTGTTGCCAAGATCTCGTTCGTAGCTATGTCCACGACCACTGCTCCGACTCGATAGTTGGTGGGTTTTGGCGGAGATTTGGTAGCAAGAGATAGCGCAAATTTTATGTACGCTTGATGGTCTTCCGCCTTTATATCACTCGCTCGCTGAGGAATGCTTTCGGCCATTTTCCAGAGGAGCCGGCGAAACAGATAATAAAAAAATAAAACTGATAATAGAGATGTACTTCGTATAATGCCATGTGCACTGTTCTATGCAAATACCCCGCTACAGGAATTATGTAATTTGACATATCCTTATCGATAAATCGCGTAAAGAGGAAACGCGTGTAACGCGATCCCCAGACTCTGTCAACTTCCAGCATCCAACTCCAAACCAAATCTCGCTGCTCACAGCTTCGTACTCTATCCGTCAATTCCTGCCCATCATGGATGACTCGGACGACCTCCTCACCGGTGAACCGCCCACCATCGATCCGTATGAGGTCCTTGGCTTGGAGCGCACGGCAGACGAGGGCCAGATCAAATCTGCCTATCGAAAGCTCGCTCTGAAAAACCATCCAGGTAAGCTATCCAATTAATTAAAAACGCTTAAATTGTACACATTCTTACGTGTGGTGTTTCTTATGTAGACAAGGTTCCCGACGATCAGAAGCAAAAAGCCCACGAGGCCTTTCAGTCTATAGCCTTTGCATATGCGGTGCTATCCGACCCGGCGAGGCGCAAACGTTATGACGAGACAGGCTCGACCTCCGAGTCCATTGTCGACTCGGATGGCTTCAGCTGGTCAGACTTCTACCGAGAGCAGTACCGCGACACAGTCACTGCTGATGCGATCGAAAAATTCGCGAAACAGTACAAGGGTTCTGATGAAGAAAAGGACGACGTCCTAATCGCATATGAAGAATACAAAGGCAAGATGGACAAGGTCTACGAGTCAGTTATGCTAAGCGATGTACTTGAAGACGACGAACGATTCCGCGCGATCATAGACGAGGCCATCGCTAATAAGGATGTCCCTGCGTTCAAAGCTTACACGCAGGAGAGCAAAAAGTCTAAGGAAGCCCGAGTCAAGGCCGCGAAGAAGGAAAGCGTCGAGGCTGAGGAGTACGCCAAGGAATTAGGGGTGCATGATAAGCTATTTGGCAAGAAAGATAATAAAGACGGCAAGAGTAAAAGCAAGAAGGGATCGTCCGAAGATGACCTAGCAGCACTTATTCGCCGTAACCAGCAAGGTCGAAGCAATTTTCTTGACAATCTAGCGGCCAAGTATGGCGCAGCACCGAGCGCTAAGAAGGGCAAGAAGCGTGCTAGTCCGGAAGAGCCTTCTGAGGAAGCTTTCCAGGCTGCGGCAGCGAGGTTGAAGAAGAAGAGCAAGAAGTAGGATCGAGTCTAGTTTTCGTTTACGGCGCATATGGTATTCAGGCAAGTAGGGGAATCAATTATCAAGGCAAGCATGCGATAGGTTTGGAATTGTGAACGTGCTTGTTATTAACTACTACATCAGACATAAAATTCACAAGATACATAATTCAAACGTCTTGGTGTTGTATCATTTTGCGATGTGTTGGCCAGGTGTAATCGTAGTCACAACCGGTATGACGTACATGTATGTACCTTGCAGGAGGTACCCCTAACTTAGGTACATAGGTGAGTGGGGCGCTAGTACCTACCTTAAGTGCCTATGTACCTAAGCTTCCGCGTCAGTCGCGTCATCGTAGTCAATCGTCGGGTCTCTTTCAATATTTTAAAACATAACACGCTAGTCTCGTCAGTATTGCTTTTCAGTAGTTGATTTCGTTTATCAAAATGCCATGACAAGTGCGGAATCACTGATCTTCTATCCGGCGTATTGCTTCCATCTGTCCCCGACGATAAATAAATGGTGTCCTCTACGCGCCGCCGACATCCATGGTCTTGAAGGTCGGCCTGGATTTGAAGGTATATCTTTTGAACCTAGCAGACGAGCTATCAAACTTGTGACCTGAGGCTTACCGTGTCGAAGGTGACAATGTATTCTTCTCCTTAAACCACCCCATCCGTTGGGTTCGGATAGTCGGCGTTGTGGTTGCAATAGACGAGTTTTATGGCCGCCGAATCTACACTGTTGACGATAGCACTGGCGCGTGTATCGAATGTGGCATAAGTGTCCCGAAGCCGGTTGATAGCCGATATCGGAACGCCGCAGAGGACCCGGCCCCCGATCCATATCCGGAAATTGACGTCGGCATGGTCGTCGAAGTTAAGGGTAGTACGATTGTCTTCAGAGAACAGAAGCAGATTAAGGTCCAAAAACTACAGAGGGTCGGATCCACAAATCAAGAGGTCCAATTCTGGGACAAGATTCTCAATTTTCGCAAGGACGTTTTGAGTAAACCCTGGGTATTGGACAAGAAAGAGGTTCGGCGGTGTAAGAAGCAGTATATGGCTGATGTGGACTCTAAGGAGAGGAAGAAGAGGAGGAAAGAAAACGGGCTTGCCATTGACAAACATAAACGGGATCCAGAGCTTAAGGACAAGAGCAGGGAGGCAGGCAAATCTATGAAGGAAGAGTCTCCGGTCATGCTAGGAGCCCAAAGTCCCTATGCCAAAGGTCAATACAGCGCATTAGGGCTGTGAATATACTTATTTATATTTACCCCCTTTTCCCCGTATTTTTATGTGATATGTTTGATTCACATCTCAGATGACCATAGTAGAGATCAATACAAGTGAATGAAATTATTCTAATTATTGTAATAAATATTAAATACACCATCTTGCCTATCTTATATTTACCCCAAGTACGACTTTCAAGACGCCTTATACACCTTAACCAAATATACGTCCCCCTTCTCAATACTCAAAGTACCCGACGATATTAAATCAATTAAATATTTACATAATGTAATAATTATTAAAGTGGGTCTATTTAATTTAAGATCCAAAGGGGAATCTGCAACTTACAGACGTTTCTTCTTCTAGTAAGTACTCAACTCTAAATCTCGTGAGAATACGTTCTTTCTAACTATACGAAGTTTCTGTTTAGAATATGGAATGAGCAAGCGAACGGGGTAGTTACGAAGCTGTCATTAATGATTGTGTCTTATGTCGTTGAAGTCCACAAGCTTAAATTTCTGTCCGACACATTCACTACCTACAACAAATATCCTTCATAGCTTCATCTCCTTACGACAACTCCTAAAGACCTAGAACCACTATCGAAGCCGAATAATACTTTTTATCCTTTAAATTACAGTATTCCTACATCCTATAACTATTTAGCTCACCTCGCTATTCACCCGTGGTATCTTGCTACCGTCGGTTCTCATTCCAGTGACTCTTCTAGACTCCTTCGCTTGCTCAAGCTTGTCACTTAGGTAGTACCCCCAAGCCCCTATTCAAGACAACTCATTCCTCTCCTCGTGAGCTGCTCTCCACGCCACCTAACATTGGCGACCTTGAGTCACCCGTCGCCTAGACACCATCATCATTCGTGGACGTCTTTGCTCCAGTCACACACCATGTCACTCATCAACACCTTCAGCCCGCTCACTACTTATGAGCATGGGTATCGAACTTCAGATCTCAAACTCCAGCACCATCTTTTCACTTATATCCATACCAATATGTCCGTTTGCTATCCCACTATCCGTGAAGATATCATCAAACCATATCATTCCGAGTTGAGCGCCGGTAGCTCCGATGAGGCTTCGATAGCCCATAATATACATCACTAAGGATTCCCCCCTTGATCCCCGTTTCCTGAACCGCTATGTTGTTACTCTATTGGATACTGACATTGGCTCAGGTCTACCCTGTCCTGACAGCCCGACTTTGGACCCTAAACACCGAGGTCAAGTCGCATCATAAAGGTAGGCCCGCCAAAAGAGACTCTTTTCGAGAGAAGTATTCTCCCCTTCCGAAAAGTCAAAATATTCATCGCGAGGGTTATCAACCTATCGCAGTGACAGTTAATTCTACATCCTCGACTGCCTCAAAGTTCTATCCGTCATCTAGTTGTGGACCCAATACAACTACATCACTCGAAACTAGCACGACACCAAGTCCAACTACGCCTTTGCCATCTAAGTCGAACAAAAACCCGTCAGACACTTCCACAATGTCTTCAGCAACTACATCGTCAAACATCTTTGGGGCGCCAATTGCAACTAGCGCCCCTGCATCGTCTTTCCCTGTTCAGAAGGAGCATCCAGTATCTCGAAAAGGGATCAACAATAAATCTGCACCGATAGGTACGAATAAATTCTATGCCAATTTCTTTCTTGGTAACCAGACGTCGCCCACATTCGTGCACCCCTATTCAGTTGTTTGGGCGCATGGTCAGGGAGCATCGTCCAGCTGGGGGTTGGCGATCTCACATATTGAGGCACACCAGATGGTGTACGGTAAACCATCGAAAGAAACAGGTGCCGCGCAATACTTCTTGAGCCCCGTTGGCATTCAGTCATTATGTCTCTCGGCGTTGGAACTGGGTCCAAAGACTAGTTTGACAACCGATAATCTGTCTGCACACTCGGCCAACGTCAACTTACACAGTGATCCCAAAGCGAAGCCCCTTGTCACATTCCCCTTAGTGCAAGGTATGGGGTTCGTTACAGCTATCTATCAAGGAGGGACTCCGCTTATTAATACTGGTATTTACTTCAAGACGGTCACAAAATCAATCAAGGGCCCTAAACCAGGCGTGACCAAGTACACGCTATATTTGGAAGACGGAAAAGTATGGCACGTATACGCCTATTCGGAGAAGGGCGACACTTTTGACCTCACCGTCGTCAACAATGGAATGGCTAAGGCTGAGAAGCCGTTTAACGGCATCATTCAAGTTGCCAAGGATCCAGGCGACGCCGAGACCGTAATAGACGCCGCATCTGGTGCATACCCCGTCAATGTGACGCTTTCCGGCTCAGTATCTGGGTCGAAGGGCACATATACTTTCACTTTCGAGAAGGCGGGAATTTCAGATGTTAAACCACTAATCTACGCTCTGCCTCACCATGTCGACTCCTTCGACGATGCGACCCATAAAAGTATCACGACGGCGAAGCTACAAACCACGACCAAGGGAGTAGCCGTGGGCGTGGTTGCAGATTCGTGGACGATGGTTGAACCTAATATGCCTGTCTCGATGGGTCTTGCTCCTTGGGATCCCGTCGACGGCGAGAAGAAAACGTTGAAGGATTCTGCAATCAACGTAATCAACCCAATAGCTATGAACGAAACTGCCCAGGATGCAATCCACCAGTCGGACCAGAATTCAATGTATTTTAGTGGAAAGGTATAGTTACAGACTGATCAACTTTCTACCTCTGCGGATTACTAATAGTCACGATAGGCGTTGGCGAAGTTCGCTGGAATCTGTTACGTAGCCAACGACTTGCTCAAGAATACGGCGTTGGCTGAGAGTGGGTTGAAAAACTTGAAAGCCGCTTTCAGTCGGTTCTCGGCAAACAAACAGCAATTTCCGCTGTACTATGAAAGTAAGAGTTTCTGTATCTACGACGTGAATAGAGCTAACTTTAGAAGCTGCCTGGGGAGGTCTTGTCTCTTCTGCGACTTACCAGACCGGAAATGATGGTGCAGACTTTGGCAACACGTTCTACAATGATCACCACTTTCACTACGGTTATTTCATCTACGCTGCGGCCATCATCGGCTATCTTGATCCTAGTTGGCTTACAAAAGACAATGTCGACTATGTGAACGCGCTGGTCAGAGACATCGCCAATCCTTCTCCTTTAGATAAATACTTTCCAGTCTCGCGCAATTTCGACTGGTACCATGGCCACAGTTGGGCTCATGGCCTATACGAAACCTCTGATGGAAAGGTTAGCATCACCGACGATTCACTCGAGACGTAAGGGTACTAATGTGTTTAATAGGACCAGGAATCGAGCTCGGAAGACGCGATGCATGCCTATGCTATCAAGGTGTGGGGGAAAACGATCAAGGATGCTAATATGGAGGCCAGGTAAGGTTGAGCGGCCCAATAATGATGTTCTGGCGACTAACGGGGTGAAACCTATAGAGGGAACCTAATATTGTCGATCATCGCTCGTTCTATAAACCAGTACTATCTCTATACTGAAGACAACGAAGTCCAGCCCTCCCAGTACGTGGGAAATAAGGTTGCCGGAATTTTGTTCGAGAACAAGTGCGATCACAATACGTACTTCGGGTCCAAGATCGAGTACATCCAAGGTATCCATATGATTCCGCTTCTACCCAGCACGAAGTTCACTCGACCCGCCAATTTCGTGAGGCAAGAGTGGGCGACGTACTTCGACAAGGGCCGAGCCGAGAACGTTGAAGGAGGCTGGAAGGGGATTCTCTTCGCCAATCTAGCCACAGTCGACCCCAAGGCTGCGTGGGATTTCTTTACACGGAAGGACTTTGATCCTGGGTGGCTGGACGGGGGCGCTTCGTTGACGTGGTATCTGGCGTACTGCGCAGGTGAGTCTACCTTAATTCTTAGGCTTCAACAGGCTAACGATATTCTAGCCTTTATGTGATGGTCCGGCTGGGCTCGATTGCTTTTACGACAGCCTTGGGACATTTGCTAATGAGTGGAGGGGATAGGGGTTACCTGGATATATTAAAGGCGTTGGTGGCCTACTTAGTTATTTATCGACATGAATAATGATTATGATTAGAAGGCGAAATTTGGAGAATAGGGACGATAATATACTTATATTGGGTTTTGCGTATCGACTATAGGAGTACCTATCCGTACCTTACTGGCGGTGTGCGAATTAACCTCATGCTACCCCCTATTGATGTGCCCCAAACCCTATCTCTCTCAGCTGGAACTTCCTGATGCTTATAGATCAGATGGCAGTTGACCTTAGGAGTCTTCAACTCTAACTTCTTCTAGTAACGTGCTGTCTACCTGCTAGGTATTCTTACTTTCCTTCTCATTTGCGGTAATTTGGGAACGCGTAGCCGCGTTGGTTACGTATCGTTTAGAATACCTACACATACCTTACATTGCCTTGTTGTAAGCCCCGTGCATGGCATCCGACAAATAATGATTAGCCCTTGGCATCCGTACGGTCCGGGTATCATGTTAACTAAGGTTGTGCAGGACGACCTGTCGATAGTTTCAGGGGTTGTCATTGGCTACGGCAGAGTGATTTCATGTATGCTATGGAGTTATGGACTTGGGAAAGGCTTATCTAGATTTTAGTAGGTACCAAGGTATCCTTGGAGGCCTCTGGTCTTATGTATATGAGGTACACAGCCACACTTGGCAATCTACATCATTTCCATTCCTCCTTCATACTTGCGTATGTTTCCGCCAGTTTCGATTCCCGCCAAATTGACACTTTGCGCAAGCCATTGGCACGGATATTTATTATTATTGTGTATTAATATTTTCGCATTTTATTTCCACTTTTATTTCGGATAATTTAAAAAGGATAAATCGTTTTATTTATTTGTATAATAAAAACTCGTTATAACGAATTTAATATATAACGAATTTGTTTTATAACGAATTAAAATTTTAGATTTTTAAATTTTATATATAAATTAACGAATTTTTTTATATAACGAAATTCGTTAATTTCGTGATAAATTACCATTTAATTCGTTGTAAAATAAGTAAAGTTATACCGTTTTTAACTTAATATATAATTATTTCCGAAAAATATTTACTTAATTTTACTTAAACTTATAATTTTATATAATTTTATAATTTATGTTTAAACATTTTACCTTTTTAAAAAATACTTTATCGATGTATTTTATTTATTTAATAACGAATTTACTTTATAACGAATTTAACCCCGTGTTTTTTTAAATTCGTTATAACGAGTTTTTATTGTATTTATATTCGAAAATTTAGGTTTAAGTTAAGCTTACCATGTTTCGTCCTTGGTAAGATCGATTTATTCGAGAATCGGAGCTATGTAAAAACTTAGTTGGTTTTAACTCTTTGCTAAACCTGCATTCAATTGATATTCCGTCGTATCATAAAATACTAATGTACCTTTGCCCGACATTTTGCATAGTAAATACTTAGTACATGTATGCACCCCTGTCCCTGTCTCATCAAATCCGGTGCGACCTTAGAGCTTACGCCACGTTTTAACTGCAGGTAAAATCTGATGTAGTGTATTGTATTACCTTCACCTTGTTTGGGAGGTGGAGTAAGATGGTACATACCGTACAATTAGGGAAAAACGACGTCAACACCCGGACGGTGAACAAAGGAAAAAATTTAGAGGAAGCTATGAGATAACCTGACTCGTATGACCCAGGTCCTAGCAAAAAGAGAATTGTCAAGGTTTCTCTTGGCAACTTACAAGCCTAAGGATATGCCCAGACATTCTTCCATGTAATATTCTGTACCAAGAAACAACAACCTAGAAACCCCAGAAGCCCAAGAAACCACTTACACTACAAGAAAAGACAACCGTCAGCCAGGAACAGCAAAAAGTTACTTCGGTATCTGTCATCACAACTAAAATAGCGCTCTAACTACGTTACGCCCAGAAACACTTGTCTCTTTTCTGGCGACTTAGTAAATCCCCCCTTTACCAGCCGCGAGTAAAAACAAAAGGCTTTTTTTTTTACCTTACTCAGTCTGCGCCTTGTTGCCTCGCGCCCCAAATTCCTGCACATTCTTTTAAGCTTGGGCATCTTTTTTATTCGGCTGCGTTACTTTTTGGGAAAAACCCCAGCGTCTTCCCAATGGTGTGTAAGTAGCAGGCTTTACTTCTTATTGTACTAGATCTTCCTAATCTCCCAATACTCTTACTGCATTTCCCTACCTAATCAATTAGACGCTCAATCCCCAATTCCCATCTTTATCTTACCTGCCTTGGTCCCGTCCCCCCCCCCTTCCTGTGTTTCTTCACACCTCCGTAACCCTTTGTGCGCGCTGCTTTCTATAGAGTAATGTGGTGCTCGCCGACGTGGTGGCATTAATCTTCCGAGCGAATCTTAATATTTATATTGTCTGGCTAATGATGACGCGATGATGGATCGTGATTCAGCCCTACCGAGTATCCAATCCCAAATCCGCAAGACCGTAACAGGCTTGACTCACTCTCACCAGAATGGAGAGCCGAACGAGACTACATCTCTGTTAAGAGGTAACGGTCACTCCGTCCAGAATGGCTCCGCTCACCAGAACGGACACGGTGGTGGGGCTTGGGAGTTCTTTTTCAATTCGCAGCACACGCCCGGCACCGAGAACCCGAAGCCATGGGTCAAGTATCCGGCCCATGCGTGGCATATCACCAAAGCTACTTTATTGAGCAGTACGTATACCAAGCGAATAAATCCGGGGGAGACAGGGATGTATGTGTAGCTAAATCGACTCTGTAGGTCCGGTCAACATTCTTCTCGTCGCAGTGCCAATTGGTATTATTGCTGGTCAAACCGGTTGGGATCCAGTTGCCGTATTCGTCATTAATTTTTTCGCTATTATTCCGCTAGCTGCCGTGCTCTCATATGCGACGGAGGAAATATCAGTAAAACTGGGCGAGGCTCTGGGTGGCCTGCTCAATGCCACTTTCGGCAATGCTGTGGAGTTGATTGTAAATAAAAAAACGGCCCCCAACCCGCCATTACTTGCATGATGACATTTATTAACGGCTTCCCTGCAGGTTAGCATTATCGCATTAAGAGATAGACAGATCGAGGTTGTCAAGTCGTCTATGATTGGTTCGATCCTATCCAATCTGCTCCTCGTCATGGGTATGTGCTTCTTCTTCGGCGGTATCGTCAATATGAGGGACGAAGAGGGTCATGGCCAGGAGCAGTCTTTCCAGACAATCACTGCCCAAACGACAGCCTCTCTCATGACCCTGTCTGCTGCTTCTATGATCCTGCCTGGCACTGTAAGTACTTCATTCTATTTTGTAGAGGTCGGTCGGAGATTAATATGGAATGTAGCTATTTATGATCATAAATGGTACCGGCGGAGACGATAAAGATGCGCGTAATCAAATCGTGCTGTCGCTTTCTCGCGGCACCGCTATCATCCTGCTGCTTCTTTATGTGCTATACCTATGGTTTCAGCTGAGAACACACCACGAATTATTCAGCGCCGAAGCGGCAGTTGTATCGGAACCCACGCAGAACGGAACCCAGCTTCCTACCGAAGCCGCGGCCGAAAATATCCGGCCGGGGTTAGCTCAGGGCCTTGAAGAAGAGTCAGAAGAGGAGGTGCATATGAGCCCATGGTCCGCCGGTGCGGTCCTAGTCGTCACAACTATTCTTGTCGCTATCTGTGCGGATTATTTGGTCGAGAGTATAGATGCTCTAGTGGAGCGTGCCCATATCAGTCGCAGCTTCATTGGTCTTATTCTAATTCCTATCGTGGGTAATGCGGCGGAGCATGTTACCGCCGTCGTGGTGGCAGTAAAGAATAAGATGGACCTTGTAAGTATTGCCCTGGGAAACTTGAGTAACATGGAGCTTACTTGTCACGCAGGCTATGGGAGTTGCTATTGGTTCTAGCATTCAGATCGCTCTGTTCGTGACACCATTCCTTGTTGTTCTCGGTTGGATTATGGATAGAGAGATGGACTTGCACTTTGAGACCTGTAAGTTGAATATAATTCTTACTGCTGTCTCCTGAACTAACGAAATCTAGTTGAAACGGTCTCATTTGCGCTGGCTGTGCTGGTCGTAATCTACACGGTCCAAGACGGAAAATCTAACTACCTCGAAGGCGCAATGGTAATGTTACTGATTTCTATTAAATTAATTAGATGTACTAATATTATTTTAGTTAATGGCGCTTTATGTCATCATTGCCCTGGCTTTCTTTGTTACTCCCAGCCAGTACTTCAACAGCGACTGGGTCATCGGTAAGCTTGGTGGTCTAGTCAGCTCGACATGATAGATGTTCTCCTATTTTCGCAACCCGTCCTAGAAGGGCGCGGATCGCAGTTTTACGTTCAACTTACCCCATATATGCATACCTAGCGTACCGTAGTATCGGATTGTATAGCGTATCGCACTCCGAGCGTCCCTCGGATCCCATGTTCTTATAGTCATTCAGACGGTTTTTTTTTCTTTTTTTGTTGTTGTTGTTCTGTATATGTATATTAGTGGAGTTAGGGTTGAGAAAAATTCAAGGCGCGAGCTGTGTGCCTGGAGTTTGGTGGCACATGCGACTAGAATACAGAGACAGAATAGGAGTTTGTTATGTCTTGGAAATGGGCGGCTATTCCCTATCGATTATGCGAGTTATCTATTTACCTAACATTGATTCATGTGCCTGTTATTGAAACATGAAGGTATTCAAAAGTACATGGATACATTGTCTCTACACTAGTGTACCTAGGTACTAACCCCTGGCTAGCATCGGTGGAACTCGAGATCCAACGTGGGGCTGGAGGGGTAACTATGACAAACGTCATTATTCTGGAATCTGAACGCTACCTAAAGACATATTCTTTATCGGTACTTGAGAATGCAGATTAGTTGCACAGTTACCACGGCTAATAGAACACCTCCCACTACATGTCTTGTCTCCGCGGCTTGTACAGGAGCACAACGCGATCATATATACTACGTCCATCTACTCTTGGTCAGCCATCTAGGCAATTTCAGATATCCAACCAATCCTTTAAGACTATAAGTGCTTGGCGCACATTTGCGACAATGGCGACAACTACGGACACGAACAACTACAAGTTCAATCACTCGATGTAAGCTAACGACCCCGCCTTCAAGAGGACAAGCTACTAAACGCAGCAACGTGACCATAGGATCCGAGTGAAGGACCCCAAAGCATCCAGTATGACACTACCGCACCGCATAAGCCCTCAGCCGCCACAGCACAGACTAACCATGTACCTATCACCACAGTCAAATTCTACGAATTCCTAGGCATGAGCGTAGTCAAGCACCTACAATTCCCCGACGCCAAATTCGACCTGTACTTCCTAAGCTACGACGGCCCAACGGCGCTCTCGCACGGCAACAGCACGTTCGACCGGCAGGGCGTGATCGAGCTGACGCACAACTACGGCACCGAGAACGACCCGGACTACACGGTCAACAACGGCAACGCGGAGCCCCACCGCGGCTTCGGGCACGTGTGCGTCGCCGTCGACCATATCCAGGCCGCGTGCAAGAGGCTCGAGGACGCGGGGTATCGGTTTCAGAAGAAGTTGACGGATGGGAGAATGAAGCATATTGCGTTTGCGCTGGACCCGGATGGCTATTGGGTGGAGATTATTAGTCGCAGGAGGGGGTCGAAGGGTGCGGAGGATCCGGAGGAGCAGGGGGTCGAGACGGATGTTGGTACTTATCGCATGGTAGGACTGTTCTCTCTCCCTGTTCTTCTCTTTTCTTTTCGATAACCAGTAACGAGCAATAAGTAATGTGCATGTATGGCTAACGCAAGAGCATAGAACCACACGATGATCCGGGTCAAGGACGCCGAGAAGTCCCTTAAGTTCTACCAGGACGTGCTAGGCATGAAGCTGTTCCGCACGGTCGAGCAGTCCGCTGCCAAATTCAACTTGTACTTCCTCGGGTACCCCGGCTCCAAGGGCGTTCCGGAGGACGGGTTCACGGCGGATTATGAGGGATTGCTGGAGTTGACGTGGAATTATGGGACCGAGAAGGATGAAAATTTTTAAGTATCATGATGGGAACTCGGAGCCGCAGGGCTTTGGACATATTTGTGAGTTTTACTTCCCTTATTTTCTTCCCATTTTCTCATCTTTAGGGAATAATGCGTGTCAGTTTTGAGGGTGAACTAACACAGGATAGGCGTTTCGGTCGATAGTCTAGACGCAGCGTGCTCGAGGTTCGAGAGCCTGAATGTTAACTGGAAGAAGCGGCTTACGGACGGGCGCATGAAGAACGTTGCTTTCTTGCTTGATCCCGATGGATACTGGGTCGAGATCGTGCAGAATGAGCGGTTTTCCGGGCAGGAGAACTTTTAGGTCTGGTGACAGTGAATTGTAGATAGATAGCGGGGTTATAATCATTGCTATCGTGAGCTGTTAAGCATGGCGTGGAGTGTGGTTAATTGGAGTTGAGGAGGTCACCTAAAAGGGGGCGAAGAAAAGAATGATCTGATAGTCGGAAAGCAAACAAATACTCAGCTAGGGGCAATATACACATATATAAACGTTGGTCAAGACCAACTCCTGTTTGATGTACTACGTCACCGGTCCATCAAGGTACTCGTTCTATCGTCGCTATAGATTAGCACGTTCCAAGGGTCCCGGGTAACCAGCTTAATGGTCGACCTAGTTATGCTGTCCTTCCTCATCCCTCTGAATTCTCAACCGCTCAGCTCTCTCCCGCTCCTTCTCCTTGTTCTTGAAGAACGCGAGCAAGCCCAAGTCATATAGTATTTTCAACCCTCCCGAGGCGACAAATGACACCCAGAATAGATTTCGATCGACCAGTATACCTGTCAGCAGCGGGCCGAGGCTCTGTGCCGTAGTTTTGACGACGTTCACGGTCCCCATGACCGCCGTCCGTTCCGCGGGCAGCACGATAGTGGCGAGGAAGGCAGAGCGTGGTCCCATGTCCATGGACTGAGTGCTCGCGTTTAGGATGAGGAAAGCTAGTGCTAGGTGCATGTCGCTAGGGACACCGAGGAGGGCACGGAATATTTGCGAGGGGAGGTGTGTGAATATCATTGTCTTGGAGTGTCAGCATTAGGGGATATTCATACGAAATACGGAGACTGAAGAAATAGGGGGGCTTACATTGACATTACCAAACCGCTTAGCTAGAGAAGAGGCAACGATCATAGAAGCGCCTGAGATCGTCTGGGTGACGAAGAATATCGAGCCTAGCTCTCCCTCTTCGATGTCGAATTGAGATTTGAAGTAATACGTGATCCAAGATCTAGCAACATTTAGTCGGATAGTCACGAGGTGAAACGGACCGGTTTACTTACAATGGAGCGAGCCCAGAGCCAAAGGAGTCCAAAGCAAAAAGAAGGCACAGCGTCACCACTACAGGGACGCTCTCCTTACTGATGTCTGGGAACAACGCGCGCAATCCCCGTTTAGGAGGTATATTAGCCTCTACGCCGCTCTCTAACAACGGTCTCGTCTCGTCATTTCGAGCACGGTTCTGTGCCTGCTTCTTCTCCGACTCTACGGTGTGACTCAGGAGCAGAGTCAGAGTTAGTTTTAATAAGCCGAGAGCAGCATATCCGAAGTAAATAGCACGATACGCGCGAACAAAATCCCACCCAAGAGTTTCCGTCAGATGCTGGAGGATCCAGCCACACGCCATGCAGCCGCATGCAGCACCGACGAGACCTAGGAGACTGTACCAGGCGTAGATGTCGCTTCTCTTCTTAGGGTCAGTTAGCTGCGCTACGATGCTCTCCTCGATGGCGCGGAAGGGGCCGATTTCGTTGCCGCTGGGAGATAGGTCAGCATTTCAATATTCTGATATGACCTGTATGTATTATATAGAGAATAAAAGAGAGGGGAGGGAGAGGGACAGATTCAGTCTCTTACCTCGGACTTATAACCCCCACGACCGCTGCGACGAGAAGCACCCAGTACGACCCGAATAAAGCGAACACCACACCACTAGCACTCATCAGCAACGCACCGAGCGCAAGGACTGCTCGCCTCCCTAGTGCGTCGGCGAATAATGTCAAAATGAAGCTGAGACACACGTCGCCGGCTAGGGTCAGCGTCATGAATAGCCCGATGTCTGTCTTGGGGATCCCCAGGGCGGAGAGATACGCGACTAGAATGAGCGTTGATATCCCGTATGCGAACATGCGCGTGAAGCGCTGCAGGCAGAGCAGTTTGACGTCTCGTGATGAGGCGTATAGAGATAGGAGACCTGTCTCCTCGAGGACGTGGCCGAGAACCCCATGAGGCTTTGGGGCCTCGGTAGGTGGAGGGGGTGAGGACATGGTGCCGGTCGGTAGAAGAGATATATATATGGGAGGTGAGGAAAGGAAAAAATTTCAAACTAAATAATCGTTTAGAAGGAGTATTATGTGACTTTTATAATGCAAATCCGAGCTATATTAGCGTCTCGTTGAGCGTAATCGAACATATATGTGTGTATTTCCGAAACTACGAGATGCCTCGGAGATAATATCGGTAGAGGGTCTTGTTAGTTTAGACGAATAAGCCGCTTATATTCCAAGATATTAAGGTGTATACGCTCATATAAACACCCGGGCAGCACTAGCCAGGCCCTGGGATTTGAATTTTGACGTGGTATAGGCAGACTTGCTGCTCTGAATATACGGGCAAACCTGACAGTCGTTGAGATGTTGTCGTCAAAGCTCGGGGTTCGAGCTTGTCGCCTTCCAATTGGCCAATCAACGACGACCGATAGAAGATGATCCCCGCCGCGAAATGATGAGCTTAGGAAGTAGTGACTCACTTGCAGGGGACGACGCGTAGAGATACTGGGAGACGCGCTAGCATGGATAGCATCATATATACCTAGTAAATATCCTCCTTAATGACCTATCTTCATCGTGTCACCGCTGGCGGGTTCGTATTCGTACTATATAGTCTATCTCGATCGACATTCGCAAACAGCTCCCCTATTACAAAATCGTTCAAGGACACACATTTACCCTTCGTTAACTTACAAGAGGTAGTTATAGTCTCATTCACGACGCCTTCAAAGCTTATATCGGAAGTGTTTATTCTCCTTATCGGTTAAATCCTCGAAACCCTCAAGCAATTCCGCTTCTGTCACCTCGTTGTGGAGAGCCAGTCGGTCGCGTTCCCTATTGTCAAGCCAACACCACAGTGTGTAGAGCCCTTGGAGAAAGACGACGGCACAATAAGTGCCAAGGAGGCCTTTAATTGCGGTTGGGTACCTAGGCGCCTCCCACGATAGGAACAAGTGAGGGCCGATAATACTACATTCCTTGATGTTAGCCGCTGTTTTTCTCGGCGTTTCTGGTCTCGAACTTACTTTCCAACGACGAAACAGACGAAATAAATCCCTATCACGGTACTCCTCTTAGTATGCCCAGCTACATTGAGACCGGGAATTGTCCAGTTCAAAACAATGGGCGATCCAACGACGAATTCCAGCCAGCACATAGCGACAAGCGCATACCGGTGCTCGATATCAATGGTCAGGATACCTACCAGTCCAACTATGCCAGGTAAACATCCAAGGATGATAGCTACGCCCACCATATTCGGGAGTTGCGAGAATAATCCTAGTGAAATACAAGCAACGACTTGGACCGCGCCTCCTGGTGTCTGTAACAGAGATGTTCTGAGCGCGTCGAAGTTGAACCCCTTGATTATAGCGGACATGAAGGTGGTTATAGCACCGTTGAGGATTCCGAGTCCTATTCCAGTCAGCCACATCAAGTAGCATTTTCCGTCCAGCAGGGCCTCCTTGACTTGGTATGGCCGAAAAGTTGCGTCCTTGAGGCCAATCTGGTTGTTGGAGACACGCCAAACAGCAACGGCACGTTCATATTCTGTCAGCATCTTCGCATTGTGTGGTCCATCGGGGAGGTAGAGCAAGATGACAAACCCCCATATGAACGTGAGAGCGCCGACTATCTAGACATACTTCGCATTAGCCCGTCCCGCAAGGAGAATAGAAAGGGGCTCCTACCAGGAATATTAGTTTCCATTGCGCTATCGCCAGACCCTCAGCAACGCCCGAGGCGTAAGCGAGTAAGGCCCCGAGGATGTTTGCTAGGCCATTCGTACACAGCCAAATGGAGCTTCTCAAGGATTGCTCTTGACGAGTCCATAGCATCGAAGTCAGGAGCACCCACGCAGGCGAGATACAACCCTCAAGCATGCCTAGAAAGAATCGGACAGCAAAGAAGCCGCTGAAATTAAAAACCGCGGCTTGGAGCATGCAGACAGCCCCCCAGACGAATAACATGCCACCGACCAGTTTTCCAATAGCGACGCGTTGTAGCAGTAGGTTCCACGGCCACGCTCCGCCTTGACGGTTGGTATTAGTTTTTCATCTGATACGCTAAGATTTAAGGATTGCCACGTACAGAGCCAACCAAAGTAGACGGCTGATGCGACCCAGGAGTAATCGTCCCCAGTCATCTTCGTGTCTCCTTGTAAGCCATATGCGTTCGAGTAGTTGAGACTGCGATTGCCTCGTCAGTATGAGAACCCAATAAGAAGGTGTCAGTGCCAACCGTACGTCTGCTTGTCGAGGAATGATAACATGTACGTGGTCATCATCTTCACCCGGACCTTATGTTAGGAGCAAATAATATAAAATGCGTTGATGTTGTCATCGTACCATGGGAAGCACCAGGAGATCCAACTTCCATCGAACTTTTATGGCGTCTGCTTCAAGTTGCGCTCGGTCGTATTGCAACGACTGCTGCAGCATGTCTTTGCCTAGCTGGTTTGGATCATTTCGTCGGTGTATCAAGTCCCCCAATATGTTCTTCTTCGGCAATACGAGGCCCGTCCCTTGTTCTGTATCAGAGGCCACGCTCTCGGCAGCGGGGCTGTCTTTTTTCTCCGACATTGTTGTAATACCTTAGATGTCCAAGGATGGGTTCTTAGAAGTAATAGAGAACTATTAGAATTCGGGAATGCCAAAGGGCATGTTAAATATTACTCCGCTCTATCCTAGCACTTGGCTGTACTTGGCTGAGATAGTTGTGATGCTCTCTACCCCGAATTGTACCTGGAGCCTGGTATGCTGATAAGATCCTTGCTCTATATTAGTCAGAGTATGTACAAAGGTGACGCTCGAAATTATTCACACCGAAGTCTCACGCCCAGGATTGTTATCAAAAATGGGTATAGCGATTGCATGTTATATCTAACATGGTATACCGCACTTGGCTCCGCTACATATTCTTTCCTGGGTTGTCATTCTATACCTAGATAGAAGAGATAGACGAGCAATGCTTGCTGATTACCAGATAGGCAATCCCCGATGCCAAGAGATATGATTATCTTGCGTCGAATGTAACGATGGGGTAGGAATAAAACAGGTTATACATGAGGAGTTACTGGTATAGTCCCCAACTATTCGGATCTAATGAGGTTTAAGTCTATTCCCTTAATTCCTTCCCCCACTCTTCAGAGTTATACCGCGACATAGCGTCTCGAGGGCTGCATGAGATACTCATATGAGGGGTCAAGCTTATAAGCATCTCTCCACTTAAATACTTTCTATGTAATGTCTATTATTAGATAGGTAGGTAGACAAACGTTTGAATATGGGCAGTATTGAAGAATCAACGACTAAGTCCTGGCAGGAATTGCAAGCCGCAAAAAAAGCTGAGCAGGATTCAAGAATACCAGCAGAATGGAAGTTGAAACCGGAAGACATTCCGCCGGAGGACACAGTTGACCTCCGCCCCTTTGTTAACACATACAATATATTATCTCCGGCTGAGCTGGCAATTACAAGTGAGGAATACGATGCAACATCTTTGGCGGCCGCCATTGCCACAGGCAAATTCACAGCCGTAGAGGTCGTGACGGCATTCTGCAAACGTGCTGCGATAGGCCATCAGCTCTGCAACATGCTGACGGAAATCATGTTCGCGGATGCAATAGAGCGAGCCAAAGAACTAGACAACATCTTCAAAAGCACGGGGAAGGTAGTCGGACCTCTGCATGGGGTTCCTATGACTTTTAAGGAGTGCTTTCATTTCAAGGGGTACGACTCGACGAACGGGTACATGTCTCGGGTCTTCCAGCCGGCCGACCGCACGTCACCTTTACCGGAACTCTTGCAAGCTGCTGGGGCGGTAATCATTTCCAAGACGAATGTACCACAGACGATGCTGGTTGCGGAGAGCCATAATAATGTATTTGGGCGCACGAAGAACCCCGTGAACTCCCGCCTGACATGTGGTGGAAGTAGCGGTGGCGAGGGTGCAAGCCAGGCCTTTCGCTGCAGTGCTCTCGGCGTCGGAACTGACGTAGGCGGATCGGTGAGGATACCGGCTGCTTGTAATGGCGTCTATGGGTACAAGCCAAGCTCCGGGATCATCCCCATGATCGGGTATTCCTACTCCGGCTGGACGGGCTCCAACACCGGGATTCCGGCTGTGACCGGTCCTTTGGGTCATTCCGTGCGTGACCTTGATCTGTTCACTCGCATTGTCAGGGACACGAAGCCTTGGAATTTTGACCCTGCCGTCATTCCGAATATCATGGAACTTGGCACCACAGCGACGCGGAAACCCATCGTCGGTGTTATCCACGCATCTGGCCTTACGCCTCACCCGCCGGTCCGCCGGGCCCTACGAGAAGCCGTAGCCAGGCTCTCAGCAGCCGGGTTCGAGATCAGGGACTTCAATCCGCCGGACTTCATCGGCATCCGCGATATATCAGAGCAGCTGTTCACGCTAGACGGGCTCTCGTTCCCAAGACAAGAATTCGCCAAGTCGGGCGAGCCGATCGTGCCTAGCGTCAAGAAGATCGGGTTCCTGGATCTCCCGCGGAAGACCCAGGAGGAGGCTTGGCAGTGGAATACCAAGAAATTGGGGATTCAGAAGCAGATGCTGGATGAGTGGCAGAGGGTGGGTTGCGATGTCGTTCTGGCTCCTGCTGGTCCGCATACGGCGGTGTTGCCGGGGGATTGGACGAGCGATATTTACACCGTGGCTTGGAATGTGGTCGATGTAAGGCTTTTTTTTACGAAGTAATAAGTTATTGACATAGGTCGCTTACATGGCTATTTCCATTCTAGTATCCTGCTATCATCATCCCCTTCACGCATGCCGATCCGGCTCTCGACCCCGTGGATGCCGAGTTCAGGCCTTTGCACGATGTCGACCAGAAGAACCAGGATATGTGTAAGCAAAACATTTACCTACCATGCTGTATTATGGTTAGTTAATAGTTGACATATCACAGATAACCCGGAGCTTTTCAAAGGTGCGCCTGTGGCATTGCAGATTGTTGGTCCGAGATTAGGGGACAAGCAACTACTCAAGGACGTCGAGCTCCTTGACAGTGTACTGAACGGTACTGCTTGATCCACTTGAATTCTCGACGTGTTTGATCTTTGGCCTACTCGCATCTGTCTCTTGTTGGCATCTGACCGCAGGATAGTGCGTTCGTTGCTCGGCCACCAGCTTTTCCAGCTGGTCTTAAAGCAAACTAACGAAGGTATCTTTTATTAGAACCCTTGGTAGTCTAGTTGGTTATGGCGTTCGGCTGTAATTGTGAACATGATTGTTACCGAAAAGTCACCGGTTCGATTCCGGTCCGAGGGATCATATTTTTTTGTTGTCATGTTCGTGTCTGTTACTGCTTGTGCTTGTGCTTGGATCCGGGCTTTGATACTCTAAGAAGTGTAATAGTAGCGAGGGCTAGGGTTAATTAAGCCTTTATTTATTTTAGTCTTAGTGCAACGTCTAGCGTCGAATTGTAGCCTTATTTTCAGCTGTGGATTTTCTATGAGCTAAAAAGGGGGTAAATGTGAGGCTACTTTTGGGGTTGTTGGATTTATAAGTCGCATGCGAGGATGGACATCTAGGATTATCTAAAGACGAATATGAGACTTGACTTTTGACGTGTCCGCATCGATGCAGCTCGTTTAATAAAACTAGTTACGGTAGTTAACAAAACTTCGCCCGGAGCATGTGTTGACGTCACAGAATGCGCGTTGCATGCATTTAGCCGGGGCCGGTTCCGACTTGTCCGTTTGTAAACGGGAAGGCTCCCGGGCCCTTGCATTAGGTAACAAACTTCGTATTCACATCCAAGGAATCGGGAAAGCGATATGTAAGAACTTTAACTTTTATTTTTATTGGGTGTTACGTCCCTGCTCAACGTTACTCGGTAGGTGCTTATAATGAGAAGGTCTCGATGCACAATAGGTAATACTGCATCGTACCCCCGAATGCCGTACTACGCAAACTCGCGGCAATTAACATATCCTCAAATTTGCATCGATATTGACTCCTAGTGTAAAGTAGCACCAACTAATAAAACGGGAAATTCACATCGACCGGAAGGATGCAGCTTCTCGGGAGTCTCGGGATCTTGACGGTTGTCCTCCTCTGGCAAACCAGAGTCGCACTCTCATACGACACCACTCCATTCATCGGACCGCTCGACCCCTGGAAGGTAACCCGGCTGAATATCACGGCTCCGGAGCCCGGCCGCTCGGGACCCCTTCACATTGACCTGGCGATCTCAAATCCCAACAAGGTCTCAGCGGGCACAGCGCCGCACGCGGATGGCGGTGGGTACTTGCCGTTTGACCCAAGCGCTGCGAACTGCACCGTCGAGAGCGCGGACGGGGGCACAGCTGTGAGCGACACCTGCATTGAGACGACGCACTACTCGTACGGGGTATGGTCGGTAGATTTGCTGCCTGGAATAACTACCTATATTGACCATCGGAGCTTCAACCTGAATTTCACGCTGAACTACAACGTTACTCGCTGGGGATGGGTTCTATACAAAGTATATGAGGGTACGGGACACTTCGAAGTCGGTGGTAATTTGGAAGACGGACCCTGTGATGATGTGAGTGGGACGTGCTTGTTCACGCTGAAGGCAGATAGCACGCCGGTTTTGATACCGCCAACGATGACGGCTTGCAAGGGGACTTGTAAACTGAATTAGTTGGGAGGGGAAGATTGCCTGTCTTGTGGTTGGTGAGGATGGTTACTAGACACCTCTTTTGTGAAGCGAAATAGGACTAACGAGGAAGTATCACCTACAAAACCCTCCTAAATAATTATTTTGCAGAGTTATTCACATACGTATTTATTTCCTAAGGTTTCAAGAAGTGAAAGTTTGACTAGATGCTAAAATATCTCAGTAAGGGAGAAGCTTACGGGGTAGGGGCTAGATCAAGTTACTGGATTCTCGTAGAAGGGAAAGGGGAAGGGAACTAAAACTTCCTGCCATAGGTACGGTTTCTTGTTGGGTTTAGACGGGGACCATTTAAGTTCCGATTGATTGTTTCGAGGCTAGGCTATTTGTTCCATTAAACAACGCATGATGGGATACAGAAGTCTCCTATGAGTGACAAAATTCGAGCCACTGTTCGCCGAGGCAAAGTGCGTAGTGGTCTATTATAATGACAAACGACTGACTAGGTATATAAGGTACATACCTATGCTTGATGATAGTGTTACAAAGCGCTCGTAACTGAGGACTTGTGTTACTGATGACGAGATTCTAGAATCGAACTTCCTACGAAGAGATACCTACTCCTTCCTAAAGAAGGGATAAACTAGTAAAACTATTTTTTTCCGGGAGTTATCAACCTGAACCTCAAGTCTGATAAGTGAGTAGTTAATACATCTACCACTCCTTCAAAATTAGCAGTAATTTTCTCCTTCTACATATTCGAGCTAATAATTGCAATCGTATAGCCCGTTGAATATAATTAACCCAAGTTGGGCATTGTCTTGGGGGGTCCAATAACTCCTGATGAATAATACCGAGCACTAGGCGAAGAAAGGAGCAACTAGTCCTACTTATTCTTAATAAAAATACAGTAGATTTAATTCATACTTCATTGAAATAAAACCCTCAGAGCTTCGTTGCCGTGGGTATTTTTTAGCAGTCTGAGATAGCTGAGATTGCCATCCCCTCAACGTCGTTCACGGGTCACCCTTAGGTTGTTCTAGAGCTCTAATACATGCAGCATACTTAAAAAACATTGGATGCCTGTATTAGGGATTATTTTATATTTATAGGGCACTGCAGTTGCTCTCGCGAGTCTAGAGCCTAGACGCGTACAGTGCCGCCGGCAATGCGAGTTGAGCAGATTTTAGAGAGCGCTATAGGCGCAATAGACGCCTGGCGGGATATCACTTCTGCCTCATTGTATATATAGAACTCACAAATATACGGCTAACTACCGAACTTACTACGCTGAAACCTAGCAAGTAGGAAGAGAGCGAGTGATCTGATCGAGATAACTCACGCGTGGACGAGCTTATGAATTGATAGCCAGCCGCGAGCACCAACGGCAAATCCCTCCTTATCGTGAAAATACCTAACCCACGACTTTCCAAAGCGGAGGCGCTTATTATCAATGAATGAAAAACCACGCAATACACCGCCGGCAGCTCTCGAGCGTGACTAATAAGGCTTGTACGCGGTCTGGAAAAATACGGAATTTTAATGAGCTGCATCCGGTGGGTAACACGACTTTAAGGTTGCAGTTGTGTTCGAAAAGCAAAAAGGTCTAAGCCGGTGAAGGGGTTGATATCAGGCTATAATGGGGAAGAAAGGAGGTATTTATTAACTGAATATGCGCATATGTTCTTATACAGACATTATATAAGCGAGATCGGATTTACTACTTCTTATCGGATACGGGTCCATGTGGCTGAAGGTTCTTACGTAAGGGAACAGTCACCGAATTTATTAATTCGACATGCAGGTCGCACGTGGTCCGACTATATTTTTTGCGCGGTAAAACCGCAGTAGAAATGGGAAGAAGTTACATAGGAAGGAGAGAGTTAGGTATACATAGAAATTATGGGAAGTTATGGGTCTCTACATCTGCCGAGTTGCTATTACCGTTATTATATCGTCCCCACCTCACCGAATCTGTCGATGGCTCGATTTGGTTAATGTCTGAAACTTACTACGAGATTCCCTTCGTCATTACAACTCGGCAGTTTTAATGACCCATTTCCTGCGCCGGTTAACAACACCATCACCATTTACCATTACCAGACAACAACAGGAATCCCACACGCCTGGTCTCGGACGTCAGATTTATTGTGTGGTCTAGAATCTAGATCCTGCTCGGCTTGCAGCTGTGGCTTTGTGTATCATGGTAGCATATCATGTAGGTATGATGTACGATGTATGATGTATGATATATGATGTATGCTACACACGACTATGCAAGAATACCTAACGTCTACAGACAGACACACACACACACACACACACCTGGCCCTACAATTAGAAATTCCATCTCAATTTTACGAGAATCAAACTACATCATACACCACCGCGGTATCATACCCGTCTGCAATGCTGCTATCATCTCGATAGGCCGCCTTCCATTTATGGATGTGCCGAGGCTTACAGACGCCACCTTCGTCGCCTCTTGAGCTAATTACCATCTCTGGTTCGTCATGGATGAGAGCCGCATTGCCTGCCCCCTGCGCGCTTAGTTGCCCTCTTCGGCGCCATTTTCAACGAGAGCTACTCTATTCGCCCAAGCGGATGGCGGATAGCGGAAAGCGGACTTAAGCTCCCTAGGACAGTGTTGAGAGGGTAATATATACGCCTCGGGTTTCCAAGAAAGTTCCCGAGACGGTTACCGTGTCACCAACAGCGCCCTGGTCAACCCAAGCTACATCAGTTGATCATCGCGGATATGACCCGAAACATAACATATTCTCCGGCTCGCGCTATCGTGCTCTTGTTTGATTATACCTGCGAAACCATTGGACTATCCATCTGCCGAAATCACGTCTAATACAGCCCCAAGCGCAGATTCGAGCTATTCACGTGTCTACTCACTTGGCGGTCATGGGTTTTCTTGTCGATTTCCCCAATTCAACACTAGGCCAGGCACTTGTTTCCCCCGCTCACCTCGTTTGATGGCCTCGTCGACAGGGCCCCCTTTCCTCTCGGGTGGGTCGGCGGGGTCCCCAGAGTCTTGGGTCTCTAGTAGCCTGGCTAGTTCTGAGCGGAACCTCAAGCAGGTATGGGGATGATCTCACAGGGACCGAGAGGCGCCGGGGAGCTGGTTCAAGCCACCGCAACGCCTTGAAGTACCGTCACAAGCGTAACGGTTCATATATCATATATCTAAATATTAAGTACGAGTGTACCTTCCACCCTCAAGCCGTCTCCCGCCATTTTAATCGAACAGGCTAGCCGCAGGTACTGGGAGTCTTTATCCTTGGTCGAATCATCGTTTGATAACGCCGACATGCCCGTGGGATAACCGACAAATAGGACCGCATATATACCCACCTTGGCACACGTTGTCAGCAGTCCCTGATATTCGGCTTCGGCGTTTCTACTTCTCATATTCCCAAGGGTATAGGTGCACCCAGGGTTTCTTGTTTTGGCTGTATTTTCAGATCGGAAACTCTCTACGTCGATAGCTAGGAGTATCTAAAGGTTCCAATAACCTATAGGCTCTTACAGATTTCCCACCGTGTTTGGAGAGTGGAAGTCTGCTATTATCCGTTCCGCTCTAACTTCAGTTTATCTCGCAAAGAGCAGATGAACCCCTGGGGCAATGCTGGGACTGGAGAACTCTGTGATTGGGAGCTTCGTAGCTCACTTTTGGTTACCCCTAATCGTTTCAGCAGTTCTCACATGGTTGGTTAGGAATCGGTACTACAATGGCTTGAACAAGTACCCGGGACCCTTTCTGGCTTCGTTGACAGACTTGTGGCGATTTTGGGATGTTTATGGACAGCGACCTGACATGACACATCGAAAGTTGCATGCGAAATATGGCGATGTAGTACGTCTGGGACCTAATTCTCTGTCGTTTGCGGACCCGAAGGCCCTCAAGACAATATACGGTCTTAATAAGGGATTTATTAAGGTACGAGCTCCTTATACAACTTCCGGTAGGAGGTATCAATTTTTAACACTTTCCATTAGTCCGACTTCTATGTTGTCCAGCAGTCAGTAGTCAAGGGAAATTCTCTTGCCTCACTATTTAGTACGACGGACAACAACTTCCACGCCCAATTCAGACGATGTGTCAATTCGGCCTTTGCTATGTCTGCTCTAGTGCAATACGAACCTTTTGTTGACAATACGACTAAGTTGTTCCTTAAGCAAACGGAGCACCTCTTTGCTGGGAACCCGGAAGGGTGCGACTTCACACGATGGCTTCAATTCTACGCTTTCGACGTAATTGGCGAGATCACTTATAGCAAGCGCCATGGATTTGTCGAGAAGAACGAGGATATCGATGGCATAGTTGACTACTTGGGGAGCCTGTTCCTCTATGTTGCGCCGGTATGTTGGAACTTGACGTGGGACGGTATGAAAGGGTACTAATACACTTAATCAGATCGGCCAGATTCCGTGGCTCGATCGCGTCTTCCTCAAAAACCCCATCTACCTCAAGCTCTCCCAATGGGGTCTCATTGATGCGACTTTCCCTGTTGCGCGGTTCGCGCGTGCTCGCATGGCTGAGCGTCTGGGACCTAATCTTTCAGGCGATCCTTCCAAGCCTCTTCTTCCGGTCTCCACCGAAGGCAAAGCCGAACCCAAATCGCCCGATCTGCTATCCAAGTTCCTCGCTTCGCATGATGCCCGACCGGAGTTCATGAACGATACTCTAGTGCAAACCATGGCTGTGTCCATGGCATTCGCCGGCTCCGAAACGACCGCCATCTCACTAGCTAGTGTCTTCTATTACCTGCTACGCAACCCGTCTGCGCTCTCGAAATTGCGAAAAGAGCTCGACGACGCTGCTTTGACTGGTATCTTCAGCGATTACGAAACGGGTCTTGTGACATGGACCGAGAGCCAGAAGTTGCCGTATCTTGACGCTTGCATTAAGGAGGCATTCCGGCTACATCCGGCGGCTGGCTTGCCGCTCGAGCGCATCGTTCCCGAGCCTGGCGTTGAGATTGCAGGTCATTACGTCAAGGGCGGGACCATTGTTGGCTGCTCGGCGTGGATCATACATCGCCGACCAGAGATCTGGGGCGAGGACGTTGACACCTTCAGACCTGAGCGGTGGCTAGTCGATGAGACACTCACAGGCGCCAAGAAAGAGGAACAGGAGCGTCGGATCCGTGAGATGAATGGAATGATGTTCCAATTCGGCATGGGCGCCCGCACGTGTATAGGAAAGAATATTAGCTTGTTAGAGATCTACAAGGTCGTCCCAAGCTTGCTCAGGCGGTTCGATGTAAGCTTCCCCCCCATATCCTCTAATCTGATTAGCAATCGTATCCACTACTAACACCCGCCCGCAGATCCAATTCAAGGACCCCAACCAGGAGTGGAAGCTAGTGAATGCGTGGTTCGTCAAGCAGCAGAACTTCGATGCTATGTTCGAGGTGCGGGATCTGGTGAAGCCCCTGAATGAAAAACTTGCCTCGTCTTAAACTATATTGCGTAATGGAATGGGTCGAGCCGAGTGGAAAATAATGAATGCTTTGTATATACTTTCTCATGATTAGGTCCGCCAATGAGCGTAATAGATTTGCTTCTTGTTGCTTTGATATGCTTGGGGAAAATTTGCTGTAGTGTGGGGAAGTACAAATACTCAGGCTGCTCCTAAGGATTAATGTGAATTGGTATAGTTGCTCTAACATAACATCGTAAAGTGATGTTGTCGAACATATAAGCCCTGGTTGCATGCTTGCAATCGGCGGCGTCGCCATTTTGATTGCGACAGATGTTTATTATTTCATCAAGACTCTTTATTGCAGCCGACAGTGACATGAAGTACGAAACCCAACAAACAAAAGTTATCAGCAGGTTAAAAAGGGGGTATCGTCCATTTCAACTACTAGACAACCTGACTACTACAATATCCACATAACGTAATCCTTAGAGAAAGCGAAGCAAAATAACGTTAATCAATCAAAACGGGCGGGAAAAATATTTCCTTCGGCATTACCCTAGCACGCAGCTGGCTGTTCCGCACAACTTTCCTATTCTTCTCATACACATCAAATCCATGCCATGCCATGCCATGTCCTCCCATCCCGGGCGCGACGACTCACAGTGAAGATGAAGAAAAAAAAGATAAAAAAAAAAAAAAGGTCGCGCCCTTCCCTTCCCCCCTAAGGTATCTGTATCAGGACCCTTTCCCCTCCAAGAAAATATTTCATTACAAAGCGTGTCGGTTTCCGAATAATAAGTGCAAGTTCCCGATAAAAAACGGCGTACGTTTAGTAAGGGTTAGGCCCGGGCGAAAAGGTAGCGGTGGGCGAGAAAAATTGGTTGGATGGCGTATCCAACGTGTTGGCGTTGAAAGTTCGTGGCCGAAATAAAGTCATCAGAGGGCGAGTCATGCTAGGAGCATCATCAAAAGCGTGGAATGAAAGAACCGCTATAGTATCGAGAAGGAATTTCTCGTCATAGCCGACTATCGTTCAGTTCCAGCTTATGATTTCTGGGGAATATTGGTCATGGACTTGAGCATGCTGTGTCCTGTTAGCCTGCTGATCGAATCGACACCTTCACACACGTATAATTTAAGAGATGAGATTAGATATTAGATCTACGTACCGCAGATTCCGGTCTCCCATTTCGTCACTCATGGACTTCAGGCCCTTGATGGATAGATTAACTTGCGCTAACTGTTATTACACATGGGTCAGCCACTTTTTCTCATGATGGCTTGAAAAAAACTTGGGTAAGTGAATGTAGATGCAAGCGAAGATGCTGCGACTGGCAAGCGAGGGTTTGTATAGGGGGTACTGCGCACCGCACTCATCGCAGCCGATGAATGATCAGGCTCCTCACCTGCAGCTGCGGGAGCCTCCGAGTCGGTAGCACCTTCGTTATCTTCTTTCTTGTCAGCTTCATTGTCGTCTGCGAATCTACTAGCTGACAGACCCTTCTTCACTGGCGTTTGCGCCGCCGCCTTAGCCTGGTATTCAGGTCAGCATAATGTATTATAGATTACTACTAATAGAGTTTAATCGGGCATCATACCAGTGCCTCGGCAATTTCCGCGTCCTTGACCTTCAGTTGAGCCTCCATCTCTGCAAATCTCGACTTGATATCGGATGCTTCCTTCTCGAATGCTGCCCTCTTCTTCTGCTCTTCCTCCGCTATAGTAGACAGATTCTCGTACATATCCTTGTAGTCGGCTTCCTGGTTCTTTAGCTTGGCCTCGGCGTCCTTCTTATGCGCCTCTAGATCCTTCTGCGCAATGAGAGCGTCCTGCTTGGCTGCCTCTAACTGCTCCTTCAGGGATTCAAACTCTGACTTTGTTGCATCGTAATCCTTCTGTAGAAGCTCGAAATCACCCGCGGATTTTGTGGATACCTCCTTGACAGCAGCCAATTCTTGAGCGTGAGACTGTTTGAGTTCCTGGAGCTCCGCCCTCAACGCGTCCGCAATAGAGGTATCCGGCCTCTGGTTCTTTAAAGCGTCAAGCTCAGCCATGAGTTCCACGTTGTTCATCTTGGCCTCTGCAAGCTGTTGGTGCAAGTACTCGTACTCTTCCTGGATCTTAGCTAGTTCAATGTTCTTGGTCTTGATTTCAGCTAATTCTGCTTCCAGAGTTGTGGATTGCTCTTGGGCCTTAGCCAATGCCTCCTTCGCTGCGATTAATGCTGCCTCGTGCTCGGTAACGGCATCTATATGCTTAGCCACATCAGAAGTGGCTGCAGAGAGCTTACTCTCGTGGTCTTGCTTCAACTCCTCGATCAGCTGGGCATGCTTCGCTTCAAGGGCTTCGATGGCTTCCCTGTGAGAGCTCGATGCGTTGTTCTTCGCGGCTTCTACAGCTTCGGATTGCATCGTTATCAGCTTCTCAATCTCGGCAGAGTGGGCATCCTCGGTTTCCTTCTTGAGAGCCTCGAGAGCAGCGGCGTGACCAGCATGAGCTTTCTCGAGTTCGGCCTGCGAATCTTCGACTGCCGTCTTGAGGGCTTCTAATTGAGTCACATAGGCACTTCCATCGGCATCCTTGGCAGCCAGCTCCTGAGCATGGCTAGCCTTAGCTTTGTCGAGTTCCGCGTGCGCGTCTTCTAGGGCCGCCTTCAATACTTCCAACTGGGCACTATGGGCGCTACTGTCAGCCTCCTTCTCAGCAAGCTCTTGTGCATGGCTGGCCTTGGCTTTCTCCAATTCAGCCTGCGCCTCCTCGACAGCTGTCTTCAAAGCTTCCAGTTGCGCCACATGCGCGCTACTATCAGCATCCTTAGTAGAAAGCTCCTGGGCGTGAGCAGCCTTCAACTCGGCAATCACCATGTCCAAGTCTTGCTTCTGAGCATTGAGAACTTCAAGATGGGCAGCCTTGAGAGCCTCTAGCTCTCTTGCGAGAGCAGCTTCACTCTCAGCCTTGGAGATCTCGATTTGTTTCGCATGGCTGGCCTTGAGAGACTCTAGTTCGGCTAGTTGTGCTTCCTTGTCAACCGAAGCACCGCTCTTGGCGCTTTCTAAATCCATTGCATGGCTAGCTTGTAATGCGTCAAGTGCTTTTTGATGCTCCTCTTCCTTGGCGGAAAGGGCTGCAACAGCAGCCGCATATTCAGCCTTTGCAGCCTCCAACTCATCCGTGTGGCTCTGGACAGTCGTTGAATGTGTACCGGTTAGCTCGTCAAATTTGGTCTTTAATTCGTTATGTTCTTCCTCGAGGACGTGAAACTTGCGTTTGAAGAAAGCATCACCCTTGAGGCTCTCAATCTCTGTCTCGTAGTCCTGGGATACCTGTTTCAGTTGGGCTTCGTGTGTCTCATCCGAGAGTTTATGCTCATGCTTTAACTTCTCGTACTTTTCCTCGGCCTCCTTGATCTGAGTAGTGAGATCAGCGCTGAATGATGCATCCGCTTTTGCCTGGCCTAACTCCTCCTGTAAGCTAGCAAACTCTTCCTTGACCTTCGTTAGCTCTTCCCTTGTAGCATCTACGGCAGCGAGGGACTCCTCAAGCTTCGCTTTAACTTCTTGTAGTTCTGCCTGCGAAGCAGCCAATGCAGCCTTGTCTTGCTCAGCAGCAGACTTCAGATCTGCGAGTTCATTCTCAAGCGCGGAAATCTTGGAAGCACTCTCGGCACCTACGCTGTCGGTGGAAGAGGTAAATTCATCAATCTTCTTCTGCAGCGCTTCATTAGCGGCCTTCAGTTCTTCAAGTGCTTTCTCGTGCTCGCCAGATGAGGCTTTGCTTTGGTCTAGTTCGTCTGCATGCGAAGTTTTCAGAGCTTCAACGAAAGCTTGATGTTGCTCATCTAACGATTTCCGAAGACCTTCTAATTCAGCAGCGTGCTCCTCGGCCGCCTTGGCACCGGTATCTTTCTCAAGCTGGAGGGACTCAAGCTTGCTCTGTAGGCCGTTGATCTCGGTGTCTTTGACTTCCTGGGAGCTAGCCAATTCAGCTAGCTTCGTCCTGTGGGCTTCAAGCTGCTCCTCGGCAGCCTTTAGCTTGTCAACAGCCTCCGAGATCTGACTGCTTAAAGTCTCCTTCTCAGAAGCATGAGTTGACTTCAAGGTTTCCAAGAGTTCTTCGTGTCCCTGGCGGACGGCATCTTCGGCGCCCTGGACGCCATTTACCTCGGTCTTGATTTTTTCTTCAAGCTCGGTGACTTTAGCCTGAGAAGAAACAACTTGTTCCTTCAAAGACTCTACCTCTGACTCTTTCTCGGCAAGCTTCGCTTTCAAGTCTTCGATATCCCTTGCTGCTGCCGCAGAAGTCGGCGACGCGATAGATGGGCGAGGTGCGTGTCTCGCAACTCCAGTAGAAGAAATCGAAGAACCTGTGACGCTAGACAGCCGCTTCCTTGCATCGGCTACGGCACCGGGAGCTCCTGGTCGAGTGACTGTCGATGTCCGTGCCGACAGAGAGCTTCCTGTACCAGCCGCAGACGGCGTGGGCTTTGCAAGGGTGCTAGTTCTTGAGGTTATGCTGTTAGTGGCCGAGGAGGGTTTCCTTGCCGCGGTAGTGGTGGAAATGCCCGATCTAACGCTGGATTTTCCGGGAGACGATGTCACACTTGGTGCCGTCGAGGTTCGACGCGCTGCCGCAGAGGTCATAGTGGACCTCTTTCTCTCGTCTTCTGAGACGGACGGCTGGGGCCTATGGGTCGTAGTAGTGCTTACTGACGGCTTCTTGACGGCGGTCCCAACAGGTGGGCGAGTTGGGGGCTTGGTCAAACCGCCACTAGCACGAGCCGTTGAAGTTGTAGCAGTCTTCGGAGCGGTACTGGCTGCTGTTCCCGGACGACGGACACCAGAAGTACCAGCAGCTGGCCGCTTCACGGCATTGTCTTCGGTTTTAGATCCATTGCTTGACTTAACCGAAGATTTGGGCGATTCAGTAGCCCCAGTACCAGCGGTACCGGCAGTCTCCTCGCCCGATAGAACCGACTCATCGTGCTGGACAACCTCGAACCCTTCGGCGTCAGACATGATTTCAGTCTTTACGGGATAGAGAGAACTCTATTATCGGATACACGTAATCGGTCGCTTGTCAAACGTCTCCAGGTCGGGAAAATCAAGAGCGCTACTAATACAACTTTCTAGAAGGCCAGAGTGTTAACAATTGTAATTGTTCAAACACAATCGGTGGCTACAGGTATGAGTGAGCAACGAATGGGATGCATGTAGCTTTAGATTCCCATTGATCAAGGAATCAATTAAGACTGCAAACAGCTAATATTCGCGACACCGACACGTCACAAAAGGGGGGGTTCGAGCGTTGATGGTGGGTTGAATCGGGTGTTGACTGACCTGTCGTCTTACGAACTCCTTTTTTTCCCTTGCTCGTCTTGATGTTGGATTAGCGCCGTGGGATATTAACCAGTGAGGTATAATACAGCAAAGTATTTTACTTGTTACTGGTGTAGTATTGACGATAGAGATTTAAAAATCAGGTAAAAGAAAGGATGACACAGAAAAGAAACGCGTATTTTCTTTCGCGACGTGAATGACTTTTTTCTCAATCCTTCGCGACGCCCTTTTGCAAAAGATACGAAAGTGTCGGATGGGGGGGTGGAAAAGGTAAAAAAGAGAATGGCTTCTCCAAGATTCTGCACCAACGGTTAAGACCGCCACAAAACAACCGACTCCCTCATTGGCTAAGAGACCGTCTAAGCACTGAACCTAAACCCCGATAGGCAAGCATCGCTGGAGGGGATCACTTAATCACAGGGGTCCAGACAGGGGCTTCACAGGGGCCCTAGCGGGTCGATTGTCATTGAGCAATAAGAGCTCTAAGCTCACTTGGTAGTTAGGTACTTGGCCCGTGCTTGTGCCGGCTAACTCACCTACCAATTCCACTAAAAACGAGCATTAATGAAACCAGATGGCTGGTACCTCTAACCGGCATTTAATGCCTCCTATAAAAAGACTAAGAACATTCTTTAATTTACTTCTTACAAATGAAAATTAGAAGCAAACTTCCAGACGGGCGCATCGACGTCGCTTACTTCTAACACGACAATGCAATATAAGGTATATACATCATCTTAACTCCTCACCATCCCGTTTCATTACAATGTCGCTTTTGCAACGTCGTCTCTGTTCGGCTACGTAATTGATAACGGTCAACCCAATAATAAAACATGTGACATGATTTGGCCTGTCTGCCTGTCTGCCTGTCCGCCTCGTTTCAGTGGATCTACCGATTACCTGCATGTACATACACATGCCTACATGTACATTAACAAGCCCGCCTTAGCGAAAAGTCAATTCCAGTTTCCGACCTGCTAATGAGAAGCTCTGAATAATGGATCACAGCTAATCTAACCGCTAGGCCTCAACTGGTTCTGGTTCAGTCTGCAGGCACGACTTGGCCAAGCTGGAGGTTGAGGCCGGGAATTGGCCAACTAATGCCGTCGACCCCCGTTGATGACCCGACAGCATGCAGACCGTATGTACGCAATCTAATAATTGGGTATGCTAACCTCTCATTTGGCATTGAAGCTAGACAACTCCCTACTTGTAAGCCTAGAAAACCTGTAGGCTGTCTTAAATGTTCTCAAGAACCGCAGGCATACTTATCCGAGAGCCAATTAAATCGATCCAGCCCTCCAATAATACGTACCTAAGATAACCAAACCGGAGAGGATTGGCAATTAGACCATTATGCGATTCAATCACATTAACACTACGCTAGATTACTCAAGTTGAAGTATTGTAGCCTTAAATTTTGAAGCTTGATATTCTGAAAGCCAAGAGCTAAACATTGTACACGGGTATAGTAACTTTCATTCCTCAAACCAATAAACAAACTCAATGATCCGATGTACGCCTATAATTCTGCATAATCTCTTGGATATGCGCATTTCTGTCTGCTGCCGTTTGTTGCGGACATGCAGCTTCCAACATCTGTCCCAGGAGCTCTTCTGTCATCGCCTCGGTGTCGTTCAGGGTTCTATTAAGTTCCCAACGGACATCATCTAAATCTGGTAGATTGGGGTACGACTCCTGTATTTTCTTGAAGAGGAATATCTTCTCTTCGTCAGACCAATCGCTAGCATTTTGAGACGGTTCTTGGGCCGATGATCCTCGCGTAGACGTTGGTATTCGTGATTGTGACAGCGGTATGTGGACTCCCCTGATAGATAACAACGACCTCAGTTGCCGGTCCCGGTTAGATATCCTCAATAATTCTTCATCCCGCCTCCGTTGGGCCCTAATTTCTTCCTGTCGTCTCAATCGCTCTTGATTAGCCCGATGTTCCAGTCGGAGGCGGCGTTCTTCTCTCTCGAGGATATCTGGGCCAGCCTCAACAAGCCGCTTCAAGTCATTTAAAACCCCTTCAAGTTCTTCTCGCTTCTCCCGTTGTAAACGTCGGTTTTTTTTCTGGACTTCGGTTTCTTCTTCTCCTTCCCCCTCCCCTTCAGTATCAGATGGCTGTTGTCTTAGCGCTCTAAGCAACGGGCGGTATAACAACCCGATCCAACCAAGTGTCCTCATAAGTAACTCAACGGTAGAAATTGTAAATGATGAGTGGCCCCCATACCTGCCACCACCTAGCCACCACACAGATGCTAGAACATGAAACAGCATAGGAATAGCGAGCGAAGCAATGTCCCCGGCCAGCTGGTCATGCTTCTTAAGTTCCCGGTTTCGTTGTGATCGACTTAGCCCTTCTTTTGCAGGCTTCATTCCCCGAATATGACGGAGCATAAGTTTGATCTTCGAGAAATAATAACCAAAGAGATCACCGTGCTCATTAAAAAACTTATTCTGCTCTATAATTCGAGGAGCTTTTGGAGTTGCTACGAGCAATCTTTCTAGTTTCGTTAGAAACTTGAGTAAAATTCGGACGGGTCCAGGCTGCATAAAATCGAAAAGAAATGGCCGCTCATGCCATTTTCGTCCTTTACCAGACCAAGCGTCATGTCCTATGAGTCGAAGCGCTTTTTTGAGACTAGAAGAATCAATGTGTATAGTAACATCATCTTCTTGGGGGCTTTCGAATATTTCACTGCCTCTATAGCCCCCGGGATATCGAGTTCGAAATTTTGCCAGATCCTGAGCGAAACCATCTTCGGACAAGTCGAAATCCGAAAGGTTTTCGTCGTCTGAGGAGAGCCCATCAATACGTTCCGAGGCAACACCCACTTCATCGTCCTCCCGTATATCTTGTGTGCCAACTTCAAGATCCGGTTGTACTGATTGTGGCGAACCATTTTGATCTCCTTCCGATGCGGGTCGGGGATGCTTAGAAGTTTTAGTTTGTCCTATTTGAGAAGCTTGGGCAGACTTCGAGCCACGGTGTGGTATATGAACTTCGATACGCCTCGCACGCAAAGGCAGTTCTCCCGACACTTTAGAGATTGCTGACTGCCTAGGTAATGGTTGTTGGCCTGGTGACACGGGCACATCCCATATCTCAGCCTGGCTTTGAACTTCGCCTGGGCCATGTTGAACGATACTATTATTGTCCAGGGCGGAATCTAGTTCATGTCCCTCCCCATGGTCAATGATGAGCGCGGGCGGGGATTTGCCGCGTCTAGATGTGCCAGTCGCATCATGGTCCTGAATTTCCTGCAAGCCTATATTCTCATCATGGTTGTGTTGGACCTGAGCATTGTCCTCTACATTTTCCCGCGCATCCTCATTTTCTTCTGAACTGGTGGTGCTATTATTCAAATGACTATTTGCAGACGCTGGAAGTTGCTGATGATCTCCACGTCCTTTCTTTTTGAGCGCGGCATTGACACTGCTTACCAGGCCCGGAGGTACATCATCTTCGGGACTTCTGCTTGCTTTTCGAGCAGGTATGGTTCCGGCCGACCGTCTAGCAGAGGGTAATGCAAGCGTTGGATGTAGGCGTGCATTTCTAGAATTGGTTGTAGGCTCAGCTTTCCGTCTTTTAGATGGACTGAACTGTACAGATAGGTCATCATCTAGTTGTCGACTCCGCTTTCGGCGGTGATCTAGCGACCGTATACTCGGATCGATTGAGCGCCTAGGTGACAAGATACAAGGAATTTCATCCTCACCGCTGTCGACGTTTTCAGGGCTTGGACTCTGCTGTTGTATTCTCCCTCCGTCTGGAATGTGACCTTTAGCTAGAACCTGAGCTCCACTCCGAGTCCCCACCATATTTCCGGCCTTAGATACAATAAATACGATGAGAATTAGCTGAGGCGCGTAACTGAAAGTTGGGTATTAATTAAGAGAAAGGAGATAGTAGACTAAGTTCCGTCTAGTTAGGTACTTTCGAGAAGACTTTGAATAAGGCTTAATTAGAGGTGACCATCGGAAGTAAATTGCGTGAGGCTCTCGCGAAAGAGGTAATAATTAATTACGACGCGTGATTATCCCAGTCTCGACTTTTCGGTACACAACCACACGGCTCACTTACCGGGGTGCCGGGCGACGTACCTGGTAGGAGGTACCTATGTAGAAAGTGGGTTGTGGGGTTTCGCGAAGTCGAAGACAAGGACATGGGAAGTGCGTTACCTAATTTGAGGCCCGTGCATAAGCTTTTCAACTGCAAGCACATCCTCTATGTATGTACATAACATAATACATAGTGGGGGCGGGGCATATTTTACTCAGGAAGCTGTGACGCAGCTAAGAAACGCCATGTGCTACATTTATCAAGTATTCTATCAACTTCTGGTTTCGTCATTCCTAAAATAACAAATACCAAAAAGTGGCCATGGCAGCTATTCAGGATTCGCAACAATCCCAAGGGGGTGCTAATAGCTTCCCCGTCTTAGAGATATGGGATCCTTCAAAGAAATACACTTTTATCAAGCCCACAAAACAGATTAACGATGGGCCTAACGTCGCTAGGTTCTTGACTTCAAAGGCGTATCGAGATATTGGCATATTTGTCATGCAACTAAATCGCGCCATGTGTCCTCGGAAGTCTGTAGGGGATGACGGGAAGGACAAGATTATAGCTTTCCATATCGGCTCGGAATACGAGACCCAACCGGTCCAGTCGGTATTAAAGCTGCAAGAGTTACTTGTCAGGATAGAGTCTTACATCGACGAAGCTCCGCCTGATCAGGGCCCGAGGCGCTTTGGAAATGTTAGCTTCCGGAAGTGGTACAAATTACTAGAGGAAAGAGTCGTAGACCTTCTTGAAGAGTTCCTCCCTGATTCCGTCTTAAATTTTGGCCATGGGGGTGAATCCGATACCACCTCCGAAGACGAGCTCACTGCTTATCTACTTGGTGGGTTTGGGAGTCCACAGAGACTCGACTACGGAACCGGTCATGAGTTAAGCTTCTTAGCTTTTCTCGGGGGCCTATGGAAACTTGGTGCATTTAAGGATGGCAAGCCAGGTGGTGACATTGAGCGCAGCATCGTGCTCGGTATTTTTGAACCCTACCTTCGAGTGGTGAGGCGTTTGATTCTAACATATACTCTCGAGCCTGCCGGGTCTCACGGCGTCTGGGGTCTAGACGATCACTCGTTCCAACCCTATATCTACGGCTCAGCACAATTAAGCCGCGCGATTACAGATTCAGAGCCCATGCCGATTGAAGGCTCCCTGTTTCGGGCACCTAAACCTGCACAAGTAGTCAAAGCTGAATATGTTGAACAAGAGAGAAATAGAAACATGTATTTCTCGGCAATAGGGTTTATCAATGATGTGAAGAAAGGTCCTTTTTGGGAGCACAGTCCTATACTATTTGATATATCTGGTATCAAGGACGGCTGGGGTAAAATCAACAAGGTATAGATACAGACATAATGGTGTCTCTCGCTCCTCGCTAACTCTACGGCAGGGAATGATCAAGATGTTCAACGCCGAAGTTCTTTCTAAGTTCCCAGTGGTGCAACATTTTCCATTCGGCTCACTATTTTCTTGGGAACAGGATCCTAATGCCGCGGCCCCTCAGCAGAGTATCCATATGGCAAACCAACCCCCTTCTACGACATCCATGCCGCCGCCAACTGGAGCAATTGGATCCGGTACAGGTGCACCATGGGCACAAACAACAAATATGATGCCACCCTCCGGACCTGGTATTCCATACTCCCGAGCACCGTGGGGTCCGGGACATCCTGTCCCTAGGGCATCTCAACCACGGACCAGCACGCCAGGTACCCAATCACCTGTCACCCAAGCCCCCTGGACCAAATCTAGCGATAGGCCAAGTGGATAAATGCGCAAGTTATTTTACGAAGTTCGTCTTCTAGAAGCTTAGGTTTACTTCTATGAAGTATTCGTTTACCCAAGCTTCTTAATAACTCGCAGGGTGAAGACAAGGGTCCCTCAAAACTTATTGAGCCCCGTAGTCATATTTAAAAACATAACCGCGAGCCCCAGGCGCTTTCTATAATTATCATGTTTAATAAAAGCGATATTGCAAACTCGACTAGGATATTCGAAGGCCCCTATATCTCAGGATTAGACCCTCTTTGTATTAAGGACAATTAGTTACGCAGAAGCACATAGAGTTATGATCACTCTAGGACCCGTGAAAAGATGCGGTATTACAGTGCGTAATGAGAGCCCACAATGAACCAGACTTCGTGTTTCCATTTACTTTCTCGAACCTTGCCGTTTTCATCCATTAGCTCAGTCCAGAATTACCGTCATTTACTTTGCAGAACTAGCATTCCGAATATCCACGGGCTCTATTGCCCATAGAAAGCTTCCACACACTTGCCAAACACACGTATCAACTTATCCTCTGGTCCTCAAACAAAATGATGGGTCTCTTCAAATCGTATTGCAATCAATAATGCTCAAAGAATAGTTGGATAGTATCTACATCAGGTCTGCCGGGCAAGAGGACCTCAGGAATGCGTGAACATGTACTTGGGTATGCCTTTTCGAGCAGCCCGCCTGGTCGTGAGGTAAGAGACGTAGATACTTGGTACAGTTTCTATCACATGCAATAGCGTTCAAGACCAATATGAAAAATAGGATAAAAACGGTACTAGAAGTATAGTGTATCACGTGCTGATAGACCCCTAAAGACCGAAGGATAATGCCATTGTGTGCCAAACCAGTATTATTAGGGTATCTCTCAAACTGCAAACTCTGTGGGAATATCCTCCGTCCATTCGCAACCACCAAGCTATGAAATCAAAACCATTGTCAGCAATCTGCGACAGAAAGCAGCCCCGTTCACTCCACTTGTCCAACGACCATATTAGTTCAGTTTATACTGTCTGAATTGATTCGATCGGAGACCATTGCAGATGACGTCCGCTTAGGCAGCGGGGGCGGGCTTGGCCTCGGCAGGGGCTTCGGCGGCAGGGGCGGCGGTCTCGACGGGGGCCTCAAGCTTGGGAGCCTCGGTAGTAGCAGCAGCCTCTGTTCGAAGAAGATTATTAGCTAGTGTCACGCGCAATTCCGATTCCAGTACGATGCATGTAACACTACGGAAACCCCCGCGGGAAGATCCATTGGTACGCATTCAACATGAAACAAAGGAGGGGTTCGGGTTGGACTTACGCGCAGGGGCAGCAGGTGCCTCGGCGGGCTGATCAGCCTTGGGGGCTTCGGCGGCGGCTGCGGCTATGATAAGTTAGCAACAGTTCAGTAGGGAAATACTTTGTCATGTAGCTGAAGAATGCTGGAGGAATGGGATAGAGCTTACCAGCAGGAGCCGCAGCGTCAGCCTTGGATGCCTCTTTGGGCTTCTTCTCGGCCTTGGGCTTCTTGCTGAAGATCTTCTTGAGCTTGGCCTTCAAGTTGTCAAGAGCACCCTTAGCTATAATGGGTATGGCATATTAGCATTATAACCTTTGACGAATTGACTTGGGGTATTTAGATTGTAAGATAGAAGTCGAAGGACAGAGTATTTGCAACTGTTCATGATGGGGGAATGATCCATATCCATCACGTCCAGAGCAGACATAGGTCCTCTAGGGGTGCATAGCGAAAGGAGGAATATAGATGACTTACGAACACCAGGCATGATTGCGGTATTGAAAGTGAAAGGCTTGGATGAGAAATTGAAGCGTGGTGGTGCAAATGAACGGCGCGTCTCGAAGACAAAGACTTGAGGTAGGAAGTGTCGATGTTGATGCTTGACGTGCGCACAAATAAGTGTTCTCTTAAAGAAGAAGGAAAGGTAAGAAATAGCTTTTGGGGGAAGTTGTCGAGATTAATAAAACTGGGGAACCGATAAGTGGTAAATTGAAGAAGCAACCCTTTTGCTGCACCCTTGACAACTTACATGTATTGACAACCGCCCATGCAGCCCATGCAGTCCATGCACGCACGTTGGATATTTCTATCAATTTAGCGCCGGGCCGCCAATAAGGCGCACTGGCCTTAACCAACAGACAAGACCAGCCAAGGAGCTTCTAGACAATTACAGACAATTACAGACAATTACACTACAGTTCAGGGGTTGCTCATTGGTCATTACCAGTATCTACATATGTACCTACCTACATACATAGGTAGGTACATATGTAGCAAATATGCATCTTTTACACGACCTAACTGTAGGTACTATACCAGGTACTCAAGGTAGCAGCTGAGCTACACCAGCTTCAGATTTGCATCATGTCTAATTTAGAAATGGTCACATCGTCTATTCCTTTGCTATTTGTACACTATTTGCATGTACATACCTAGGTTAAGATGTAAGTAGCTAGAGAGCTAGAGAGCTAGAGAGGGGTTATTCAGGGTTCTACCAACTATGACGGGTAATTCGACATCGTTGTTAGTGCATAGCTACACGTTATATCTCCGCGTCTCACACATGTGTTGGGCACGTCCCAAGCGTTCCCACGGCGGTCTCAGATATTCTAGTCTGGGGTAGTTAAGACGACATGTATATGATGGCTTGTATGCCTCGTACATATTAAAATTTTATTATTATCTCAAGGAACCTTACCCGTCCGTAAACTCAGCGGCAAGCCAGCTTATTGGAGAGTTATTCTAAATCCGACAATAGCGCCGATCTAGCGAGATAAGTCGTTGCACGAGATCCCCGGAGGCCTTCAACTGTACTATGTACGAAGTACCTCGTAATTGTTTCCAAAATAGTTACAGTCTAACCAAATCGCAAAATTGTTAATTATATCTTTCGTACAGGTAATTACTGAGTAGTATCCCACATGACCTACATACATACACGAACACACCTCAATATCTAAAATCCTCAACGTTTCGAATTGTTGCAATGCAGAACCAGGTTATTGGGTTGCAGATCCTCGGATAGCTGCAGCATTTGAAAGCTCCTTTACTCCTGGCCGATTAGAATAGATGGTTCCCCTTTTTGAAAGGTACGTCATGGCTTAAGCTGGGCGAATTCGCAATATGAGTTCAAATTGCAAGTTCATAATGAGTCAATCAAATAAATGTCTTGGGAGGTCCACTGCGAAGAACGGTATTGCATTATCCAAAAGCTACCTAAATACTTACCTAACTGTCAATAATTCAATCCAATCAGAGTTTGCACAATGACTCGTGGCTCTAGCATCACCGCAATCGGGTCCCGAACAGTCATTAGTGGTCTAAATAAGGTCCGAGACAAACGACATCTGTCAAAGAAACTATCCTGGACCCCGATGAGTATCTAAAGAATAGAAAGAATAGAACTTACCTATATTGTCTCAACTCTTCGTCAGGAGCCAAGTTTCTTGAAGTCCCTAACTAGATTAATTATATCATCAGAACTACTGTAGTAATGGCTCCTATCATTCATCTCGTCCGCCATGCTCAAGGTTATCACAACCTAAGCGAAGCAAATCAGCAAATACGCGATCCAGACTTAACGCCTCTAGGCGAGTCTCAGTGCGATGAGCTCTGCAAGAGATTCGATGCTCACGATAAAATTACGCATCTCGTCGCTTCCCCTATACGACGGACGATACTTACTTGTCTGCGCTCTTTTACGCCAGCGGTTAAAGCCGGGAAGAAAGTAATCGCTCTCCCGGATGCTCAAGAAATCTCAACGTTACCTTGCGATATTGGTTCAGATCCCAGCAAGCTGAAAGAAGAATTTGGCGAACTTGTGGATTTCCATCTGCTTCACGAGGGCTGGAACGATAAGTCCAGCGAAAGCAAATATCATCCCACCCCTGCCAATCTCGAGGCGAGGTCACGGGCCGCTAGGGTGTGGCTTAGGGACTTGGTGAACAAAGCCGGAGATGACGCGCAGGTTGTCCTTGTCACCCATGGCGGTATTCTCCACTTCCTTACCGAGGACTTTGATGGAGTGAAGTTAGAGAGAGGTATGCAAAATATACACTGTTTCAAATAGACAATATTACCAATTGGTAGAGCAGATGACCACTGACGGCCAATAGGTACTGGTTGGGACAACACCGAGATACGTTCATACGAATTCAAGGATCCAACCGGCCAAGATCCCGAGGCAACACTGAAGGAGACCCAGCCAAGCTGGCGTCGTCGGCGTGGCAGCGCAATCCCTCTCACTGAGACTGAGCAGATGCAGATACGCCAAGCTTTCCAGACTGCTCTTAAGGAAGAGACCAAGAAGCAAGAGAGTCGTTCGGCTCAGGCATCTGAGGCCGTTGTCGATTAAGAGGTAATCAACGCGGAGGGCTGGTTAGACCTAAGACCTTGCCTAATAGAAGTCCATAAATAGAGTAGAGCACTTCGATAAATAGACAATACAAGACTATATACCGCCTTTTCTACCTAGAAATATTGATCTATCGCTGGATAACATGTATGTGACAGATACTAAAAGAAGTCATACTGATAGGTGAAGCCTGTAGGCAACCCATAGTAGCCCTTGCAACCCATAGTAGCCCTTGCAACCCATGCTCGGCTTCATTCTTCACTCCTCTTCGTCATTTGTGTTAGATACGCCATCAGGACGCTATCACATCCTAGCATTACTTAAATGTATTTCTACAATTACATCGACGCGTTGTACCTAAACTACAAGGTACTTTCGCCCCAAGACATCTTAAACTGCAAGTTCGACTTTTCTCCCAATTAACAATATGATTTAGTTTTGATATTTCTTAAACTGCCAACAGTGACAGAGTAACTTCTTCTACGGGCTTGGGTGGTAGCAGTAAGCCTATGAGCGCGGGTTTACTATGTAAAGGAGGCGTGGAAGGTTTTGTTTGGAGTCCCCTTACGTACATCTTGCTTTTTGCCAGAGCTGACTTCTTCATATGCGTCTGATGACAGACATCACGCACCTAATTCAAGTTTGGGTAAGTACCTAGAAAGAAAGGAACACGCAGGTTCCTGAGGCAATTATTTATTAGGGGAGTTGTACTGGTAAAGAGCTATTACATGCATCATACGTACTTAATATGACATAGGTGCCTTGGCCAAGGTACTTACCCAATTAGAGATTTCATATTGTTGGGGGGGAAACGTTGACCTAAGAGGTGCTGTGATATCCTTTTAGTTGAAGACTTGAATAAGTTGAATGTCTTATTCTTGTAGTCATTAATAAAATACCTAACACTGAGATAATTCTTGAGATTATGTCCGCCTCCCACCTTGGCGCGTTAACGTGTAACATATATGTATTTTGTAACTAACAGGTAGATATAAACTTTATCAGGTGGTATGCAGTTGCCCAGCTACGGAATATTCGTTTGTACATGCGCAGTTACCTTCCCTGCGAGGCTTCTTGAGATTCGGAGTCGTAGCTGCCAAATGTATACCTTAGGAGACTGCAAGACTCTAAACAAGAAACTCCAGACGTGCAACTGCCTTGCCTAAGAGGTACGTTCTTTAGCCAAACGGGTTATATCAGTTCAGTAGCCTGGAACAACTTGCTCATAGTCTGTTTCACCGCCGTATAGAAACTTGCTCAGGCAAGAACCTCCTAAGACCATTCTTGCAGGTAACTACTAACGTTCAACACATATTCAAACCCCAAGCAACAAAACATCATTTACACCATCCACAACGTTTACAACATACACCATTCTCTGTTCTTGTCTCCCAGGCCTAGGATAGTTAACTTGAATTTCTCGTCCAAGGTAACAGGAAACTTCGAGACATTCTGTTATTTTTCTATCCAAGCCTAGCCACTCGTCACTTTCACACTTGACTCTAAGCCTATCACTGTTCGTTTTTTATCACGCTCTTTTACAATCTTGACAGATCATCACCGCAATCATGCGATCTACATCCTACTTGACATGCTTTGCCTTCTTGGCTGTCACCGTTATTGGTGCATGGAACGACTTCACTGACCTGCACCCGGTCTTGGCCCCTCGCTATGATGTGAACCAGTACGCCAACATGGTGCCGATTAAGAACGTCAGTCTCTACTATACTCTCGGCAATTCCATGGATCCCCTCAATAGTGTCAACGTTGATCTACTAACCAAGCAACCTGCGATGCTACTCGAGTCCATCGGATCGGTACACGCGGTTACTTGCACGTCTAACACGGTGACTATTACTTTCAATGCTACAACTGCGTTCGAGCGCGCCCTTGGAATTTGGTCCCTCTATGATATCTTCTACCTAGTCACAAACAGCGCAGAGGGTTGTGACGCTAAAGGTGAAAGAGGAATCTACGAAGTCAGAAGTCTCATCTGGCAAGACGACATCGCCACGGTGACAGCACGGACTACCAAGAAGAATTTTGCCGCCGTAACTGGTAAGTTAGAAGCAATATTAAGCAGTTGAACTTACTAACATTGATTCAAAGATTCCATGCATGTCACCTTTTCCCATGTCCGAGGCTCGATGCAGAACAGTAGCGGAAACATCACGTTCGATGAGCCTGGTATCAATATCGCCTCTAACTTCTCACTTCCTCGGGACATGGAAATCTTTGAAGCGCCATACTTTACGACTATAGCCAAGGATGGATACCTGACCGACGCTGCTATAATCCGCGGCTATTTTAGCTACGATGTTCCAAGCGCGCACCTTCAGAGTCTCTGGTTCGACATAGACGCGGCCTTCATCGGTGACTTATCCGTCACTTTCAACCTTACCGCACCTCTTGACAACAACAACTTCTTGTTCTCCCCTGGCCAGTTCTTCCCCAGCGCTATTAGTGTGCCTAATGCCTTCAGTCTCAAACCAGCACTTCGTTGGGCCGTAGGTGCTGATGTTGGTGCTGTGGGGGCTATATACCACAATAGCAATATCACGACTGAAATTAATGACGGTCACGCACATATTGACTTCGTGAATGCTGATAAGTCATACGCCGTTGGATGGTCACCACGCCTCGCCTCTGCTGTCGAAACTGCGGAAGCAGCTACAGGACACGCATCGCCTTTCATTGATTTCACAATTGAGTTGGCCCTTGATGTCATGGATGGCCTTTACAATACCACAGGCGGAATCACGGCACGGCCTCAGTTTGTGAACGAGTTGAACGTAGCACAGAGCCAAACGCGCGTCAGAAAGGCTAGCCGAATGATCTGGCCCAGGAACGTTACCTGCACCAACGGCTTCGAGCTACGCTCAGCTTTCAATTTCTCCGTGAATGCATATGTCGAGGGCTCATGGGAGAAGACGCTGTATAACACCACAGTCCCCATTGCGGATCAGTGTTACCGTTTTTAGGGTCTCACTCGCCAGACCATCAATAGTGCAATAATGGATGGTAATTTCTGTGGTGCATGGTCCCTAGCGCCACATTGCAGACATTCAGCCTTGCCAAACGATATTCATTTGAGCTGATACAGAGGAGTATGGTAGCTAGGAGAGATGCAGATTTGAGTTATTACCAAAAAAGGAGAGAAAATTGGAATCTCGTTCAGTTATGTCAGGAAGAATGCGGTCATGTAATTATCAGTCTCGGGCGCAGATGCCAAGAGCGGGACTGATGATAAGGTGGCAACGGGACTATGCAGTTATGGAAGGTCTTCGGATTTCGTACTTGGTCCTGTTGTGGCTTATTGGGGCATCATTCTAAATCATTCTAAGTCATCAATTTTGGGTCGAGTCATCATCGCCCTAAGTAGATAAAAACCACAAATACATCGATGTCTCACATATCTCTTCTGAGTTCTCGAGCGTAAGGATAATTTTCTTATTTATTAGTATTCGTTTTTCTTTTCCATATTTAGTGGAGAACCTCTTAGTGATTTGAAGTGTCCTTTTCGGTGAAGCCCGGCCTTTTTTTCTTAACATCATGATTTCAACTAGAACTCCCCATGGAGGCGCCATTGAGGGCCGCCAAGCCGTGGATAGAGCCCCTACTAATCACGTCGTGCCGAAGCCGATCCCCGACTCACAGACTCAGGATCCCCGGAGATACCAGCTAAATCAGATAAAAAGGCGCTTCTCTCCTATAGAAAATACGTTGCAAGACGGAACAACAAATCTATTATTCCAGCTCAAACCATCCGATCCGGACTTTCCTTTCGAGCTGGATTATCTGAAATGCGAGCTTCGGGTACCTGCCTTATATCCGGAGAGGCCCCCCGTTCTTCGAGTTAAGAACAAGGACATCCCTCGTGGGTTCGCCGTCAATATAGAAAGAGGATGGGTCAGGCTTGTCCATGAAAATCAAGGCTCAACTCTATTAGCTCTTATCAATGCTTTGGACAAAAACCTCGAAGCATTTCTTTCGGAGCGAAAGACCGAGACTATAACTCTATTGTCCTTTAAAGATACAAGACACCTAGACAGCTCAGCCGTTGTGTTAGGCGAGGCTTCATCTCCAACGGTTAATGCACAACCAAAACCTACTCCGGCACCTCGAAGACAGTATGTACTGGAGGAATCTTTCACGGAAGAGCAAATCGCCACTGCGAGAGCAAGGCGAGCGCAAGAGATCAGACAGCTTGAATCTCGGATGTCCCGGATGCCTCACTACCAAAAATCCGCGGATGGAATTGTTTATACTTTACCCTTAGAGCCAAGACGACGGAATGAATTGCCGATGGAGTTACAGCAAATTCAATCAGTTCAGTTGATCATCCCCTTGCTTTACCCCCTACAGCCCTTGAGAGCTCTGCTTAATAACGTCGAGTCACAAGATGCTGAGGCCCTGGAAGAGATATTTGCACAAAGGGCTGCTCAACAGAAGCAGATGAACTTGACAAGTCATCTAAATTATCTCTCACAGAATATCCACACAATGGCCAAACAGGCCCACGCAGCCAAAATTCAACCCGAGGTGGCTTCGAAAAGTGATAGCGGGGTGACTGATACCATAGCTCAACAAACGGTAGCCCCGAAAAATACTAGTGACGACGGAAGAAGTCACATTCAAGTCATTCCTCGTCCTCCAGAGTGGAGCTTCGGCAATGAATCCGGAGAGTCGGACAATTCTGACGATGATTTCTGGGACTCGGAGGATGAATCTGACGACGGGGGTGCGGCGACCGGCATACGGAGCGAAGGCGTCTCTGTTGTTACGCAGCAGGCCGAAAAGGGCACAGCGATGTCATTCCCATCAATCGAACTACACGGTATCGAGTTACTCCAAGTATCGATATTGAACCTCAGCGTTAAGTGCGAGCGCTGTAAAACATTAAACGAGGTAACGGGGTTAAAACCAGAGGTGGAAAAGACAGGAAGCTGTAAAAAGTGCGCCACAGCATTCACGGTCAAGTTCCGTCAGGAGATGGTGCACCAGAGCTCGGTCAGGGCCGGATTCATCGACGTTGCCTGCTGCACCGTCGCCGACATGCTTCCTAGGTATGTTACTCTTATCCTTCCTCATTCCGTAGTATTTCACGCACTAACATTTCCTCTAGCACATTCGTGCCCACATGCTCTAGATGTTCGACGCCAAGCCAGGGGCTAGTAACCGTTCGAGGAGACGCCATCACCAACGTCTGTCGAGAGTGCCACGCCAAGTTCACCTTCAAGATCCCAGAGGTCAAATTCCTCGCCATCAGCCACGGCACCCTACCGCCACCAACAGCCGGGCCGCGGAAGCGCGTAGAGAAGCTAGGCCTACATGCAGGCGACCCGCTGCCCGAGAAGGGCACGTGTCCGCACTACCGGCGGTCGTACCGGTGGTTCCGGTTCTCGTGCTGCGCCAAGGTATACCCGTGCGACAAGTGCCACGACGCGGCCGAGGACCACCCGCAGGAGTGGGCGAACAGGATGGTATGCGGGTGGTGCAGCCGGGAGCAGAACTACGCGGTGGAGGCGTGTTTGTTCTGCGGCCGCAGCGTTATCGGGAAGAAGGGTCGAGGGTTCTGGGAGGGGGGGAAGGGGACTAGGGATAGGACTAGGATGAGTAGGAAGGATAAGAGGAAGTTTCGCCGCGTGGGAGGGAATGAGGGGAGGAAGAAGGATTAAAGGGGGGGTGAGGTTGGGGATGATGGATGGTGTTGTGGGTCTTAAGAGAGTTGGGGGCACGGCGGCTTCGGCTATGTACATTGACTGACCAGGTGTTCTAAATCTTGAAATGATATGGGTGGAGGTTTTTATGGGATAAAATCTGGTGATCTACAAGTCCGGAATTTCTATCTTCGATCTAACGTCCCTCGTTCAAGGGTAAATAAGAGGTATATATACAAGCAAGTTACGGAAAGGAGACTTGCTAGAAACCCACCCTTTCTTAGGTAAACATGAACATAAATAATTTCAAGCCCATAACCTCCATTGCAACGAGTTTAAAATCGGAATATTAGGTACTCTATGGGTGACGGTTTAAGATGTTCTTCACCTTCCCCCAAAATATTCCTCCACCCTTTCATCAATATCTTGCCACCTCACCTAGCTCACGCTTTCTTAATAACCTAGGTACCTATGGTATTAAAGGCAGTATAATTTTATGAGCTACTTAAAAGTTTCATAATCGGATTGTAGGGGAATTGGATTTCATATAACTAAACACTGACCTTGAATAGGAACACTGCAATCATTCAACACACTTGAGGGATACGAGGATAACTACTAATATTAATGCTAATATCTGAAGGGCTTGGGCATAAGGGAGGGAGGGATGCAAGTGGGGACGGGGTATAAATCAGGTCCCTCTTGTAAATAAGTATATGACTTTCCTACCTTTCCTCAGACAACCTTCAGCTCAATGCGTAGTAAATCTACCGACCTTTTCCATTTTCACTCCTCTCCTCGAACTCTGCTACTCTGTCGTTGACTACTTCGATTCTCTCCGCATGCCCTTTTGCTCCGGTGTAGGTATCGTAGCCGGGCCAGTTGGTTCTCATATCTTGACGGCCTTTTGCCTCCTGTTTGTATGCCTGGGCAACATCCTCAGCCAATTGTACTTTAACTGGACCAGGAGCCTGGCGCTTCTTCCATTCTTTCAAGGCCTTTGAAGCCGCCTTGCCACTGTTATGGTATTTGTCGCTCTGTTGGGCGAAGGGACTCTCGGGGGGTGCTATGTCTAGGCCTTTGGCTTTTCGGTCGGCAATAGCCTCGCGGAAAGGATCCTGCTTCTCCGAGCCGCCAGCAATATCGCTTGCGAAGCTGTCCTGTCGTTTTCCCATTCCAAATCGTTGCTCGGGGATTCGGTAAATACCAGAATTGTCCGCGTTGTCGGTGGCCTTGTTTTTAACGGTGGCCTTGCTTTCTTCTGGCTGCGGGGGACAGGACGGTGGTCGACGCGTTTGATCCATTATGATAATAACGGTTCTTTCGATAAGACTTGTCTGGTACGTTGCAGAATAGAGTAAAGATGAATGATTCTCCGGTGAGGACTACAGGAACGTTTAATAGATAGGAGTATTTCTCATATGAAGATGTAGCAGTGTTGCTGTAAGAGTGTTGCTAAGTTATCATAACCATTTGTCTTCTTCAAAGTGGGAGGAGGGTATGGGGAGGGGAGGTTTAAATACATGGCGTATGTTTAAGATGCGTATGGAGTTGAGTGGCTACATTTGTCAGTTCTGGTCTCATCGACACCTATTTTGTCATTATCACATTGACGAGGTATCTTGGTGTTGGAGAAGATCAAGATTCACCCTCCCGCATTAGGTGAGATATATTGGCTGAATTCTATGATTACCTTAGGTACCTGCCTTACCTTAGGTAGGTATGTTATGACTCTAAGATATCTTCGGTAAATCCCATGACCATGCTATGAGAGCTCTCAGGGTGTGTCGTACAAGTGACGACGATACGAGTGACAAGGCTGACCACATACTCTAGCAAACAACAAAACATCAAACCGAAAATGAGCACGAGTTGAGAGATTGAATTGTAACAGAGTCGATTCACATGTCTAGAACTTAAGTGTACGTCATCAACGTCACAAATGTTACAAGTGTCACAAATGAAAGTTGTTGTTGCTCTGTCCTCCCAGCCGCTGTGTGCCCCACTTTTCACCAATACTTAAAGCAGGCAGGCAGAACCGCAAGGCAGGTTCTATTCGAGGCAGGTTCTGTTATGTCAAGCCCGGACGATTTGCATTTAACTTATAACGGCCATATTTTTACCTTACTTTACACTTTCATCACCTTCATCACTACCTACCTAACCTACCCAAGTATCTACTGTTTACTTGATTGAAGCGAACCCGGCAAGCGACAAAAAGATGTCTGAAACCGATAATAATCGGCCAGAGAAGCCTGCGATAAATGAGAAAGCAATTCCAGGAGTTCAGAATCCTCTTAATGCACTTGAGCGCTTGCCTTCCGAGCTACGAAACTGCATTCTCGCGTGTTTGCCAGATGTCACATCTCTCATCTCCGCCGCCTTGAGTTGTCGTATTCTCTACGCGACTTTCAAAGAAAGCGAGAACATCATTATACGGAACGTACTTATCAACTCCCTCGGATCCAGTGTTCTACCCATAGCCACTATCGCCTACCGATGCTCTCCACCGTTCTACAGCGAAAGCCCCGAATCCCAAACGGGATCTCCGAGAGATGAGATGGTGAAATCTTTAAAGAGTTACGCGTTCGACTTTATGGGAAATCTGAAGCCATCGACGCCTTCCCCTACCGAATTTTCTATGCGTGATGCCATAGCGCTCGATGCTTATCATCACCAGGTGGTCTTGAAACTAACACAAAAATTCGTCCAAGCATGTAGTAGAACTTCATCGTCCTACTTAGACATTGGGCATAGTCTACGGACACTTTCACCTTCAAGCTCTGAGAAAGAACGGATTGCTCGGTCGCTCTATCAATTCGAAATATTCCGTAGACTTTTTGGCTGCCTACGTCGTATGGCAGAGAACGCACTTGATTTGAACGTGGTGTTTTTCTCCAAATTTGCCCCTTGGGAGAATACACAGTTAGCTTGCGTTCACGATTTCTTAGCTAGGCAGGTGATACCAGGTGCGTACTGACTACATTCTGAGTATAGTTCTCACAATAGCATCATCACTGATTTATCATAACATAGCATTCAATGAAATCGCACGGCACGATGTCGTATGGGGGGGAGAATATTCAGTCGATTTCGACGCGAACATTGATGATAAGACGATTCAGCACCTTTTAACATTGGGACTGGAAAGAATTCTCCTAATTGCCTCTGCCGGATCATACAGGGACCGGGAGGCACTGCTTAGAATCGAAGAGATGCCACCTAAGGAAAATAGCGTATTTCTATCATATTGTCTCGCCGAAATCAACAAATTAAATCCACACGAAGGTGATGGCGCAGCCATATTGAAGGCGCCAGCATTCTTTCTAGATGAAGATTCTGGTGCTGAGCAGATATGGAAGATTTCTTTGGAATACGCTCCAAGCCGACATTTCGCCATCTACAATGAGCTGGACTGGCCATATCGCGAGTGCGGCTACGTGTTCTGGGACCAAGAGAGACTCCAGGCCCTTGGAGCCCTAAAGCCTGCTTGGAAACCCGCGGAACAATTGGCCTATAACTCTACGGTCGATATGGAGGAAATGCAAAGTTCTTGGGATGAAAGAACCTCTATTTATAACCGTGGCGGGCGAGGATTTTGGTCAAAGGACGACGACACGCAGGTCGTTTGGCCTGTCCGACAAAAAGAGCAAACGCCGCACGCTGTACCAGAGTCCCTTGCAGAAGCAAGAGACTTTTGGCGGACTACTTTGAGACTAAATAACAAGTAGTGAACGAAAGTTTAATATACTTTTATCATGTAGGTTCGTACTATAGGACTTATCCTAGGGCTAGCATTATCTCCCTTACATGTATGTCATTGGCTGCTGTGCCGTATCCAGCCGTATTGACTACTAACTCCTAGCCTTCTCAATCCTTTTTCTGACGCTCAGCCAAGAAATCATCGCACGACGAACGCAAGTAGTATCGATCCTACGTTTTGATTTGTGTCTTCATTCGGCCGAATGGGATTTGAAGCTGTCTTGAGTAGGCTATAACTGCATATGCATATTGTACTTGGAGGTAATCTCGTAAACTCAACCAACAAAAGCTATTGACAATTGGTCCGCCAACTTGCGTTTAAAGTGACACAGCTTGTCAGCTAGAACCAACGCTCCCGAACTTGAATATTTACCATTATAGGTAAAATGTACTTATCTTCTCTGCTTCACCTACCCTAGATGCTACCAACCTGCTAAAATGGTGGGTATCCTCGATATTATACCATCCGTGGTGAAGTATTCTGCTGTAATCTTTATCCCCTATGTGAGTCCCCAATCTGCTAACGTAGTGGTGGTTCACTAATATACTGCGAAAGTATCTCCTCATACTTATTTACCGTATCTTTTTCCATCCCTTAAGAAAGTACCCAGGACCCTTCCTTGCGAAGTTGTCCGGTCTTTATACGGGGTTCTACGCACTGTTGAGACGCCTTCATTTAACCACTTACTTAGAGCAAAAGAAATATGGTAAGCTCAAATAATCAGGAGAAATGATTGTCCCCCCTACTAAGTAGGAGGGCATGCAGGAGGACCAGTATTGCGACATGGTCCCGACAAGCTCGTCTTCAACTCAGTTGAGGCGTTACAAGGTAAGCGACGCCTGTTAGGACCGTAAGTAAGATACATATACTAAATTCAGTAGACATCTATAACAATGAGAGAGTTACAAAGTCGCATGTCTATAAGCTCACCATGAGGTCGGGCAAACCAAGTATATTCAGTACCATCGATAAGCAACAGCATAGACTTAAGCGCAAGCTCATCGGGCAAGCCGTCAATGATAAAGCGACGCGTGCTTTTGAGCCTACTATGATAGAGCAGGTCGACATCTTTATTAAACAACTCATGGCTTCGTCTCAAGGCTCTAGCCCCGTTGATATGACCGAACGCTGCAAGTGGCTCGGCATGGACATTGTAGGCCTTCTTGCATTCGGCTTTGCTCTTAACATGCAGACGGACCCGACATATCGGTTCGTCACCCGCGGACTTAGCGTAGGAACGTACCAGATGAACAGCATCATGCAGTGGCCACTGCTGAAGAACCTAGGGCTTCACCACTTACTTCTCCTCGTGGGTTATGGTCAGCGGGTGAAGTACCTCGATACGCTACAGACCATGATCAGCACTCGTTTATTTCGGGGGAAGCATGCTAAGAATGACCTTTACTCGTTCGTTGCCGACCATCTTGACAACGCTGCCGACGGAATTACGACCAGCGAGCTCTGGTCCGAAGCCTTGTTCTTCTTCCCAGCAGGTCTGTGTCTTATTATATATGCTTCCCTCCCCCCTGACCCCTATTCCCAGAATATCCGTGCACTAACTCGAATACAGCGGGCGACACAACAACCACAGCCCTAAGCGCACTATTCTTCTACCTCTCGCGCTACCGGGAAGTCTACAAAAAACTAGCCGACGAGATCCGGCGCTCCTTCTCCAGCAGCGCTGACATCAAAAGCGGCCCTCAACTCTCCAGCTGCCGCTACCTGCGCGCCTGCATCGACAAGGCCCTGCGCATGTCACCACCCATCACAGGAACACTGTGGCGGGAACTACCGCCCGAGGAACACGCCCGCGAACCGTGAATCGTCGACGGCCACGTAATTCCACAAGGAACACAGGTCGGCGTGTGCACGTACGCGCTCCACCACAACGAGGCGTACTTCGCCGACCCGTTTATCTTCCGGCCCGAGCGGTGGCTCGACGAGAACGGTGATCCGGAGACGCTTAGTCGCATGTATGCTGCTTTCAGCCCATTTTCAGTCGGCTCCCGGGCTTGTGCGGGGAAGAGCACGGCGTATCTGGAGGCGAGATTGGTGATTGCCAAGACGCTTTTCACGTTTTGATTTCTGGACGGCGCAGGGGAAGGCGGGACATGTGGGAGCGGGGGTTCCGGGTAGGACGGACGGTAGGGGGCGGCCGCATGAGTTTCAGTTGTATGATACGTTTGGCTCGCAGCATGTTGGGCCGAAGTTGATATTTCGGCGGCGGGGGGGAGTTTGGAGGGGATGTTGAGAAGGAGGTGTTGGGGTCTTGATTTGGGAGTTGGGAAAAGGGGGCTTGCTTGATGAGGACTTGGGCTACTTCTGAAGGCTGTGTTTATCTGGGATTGACTGTATGTATCGGAAAATACTAAAAGGTTATACGCTGCTGTGTTTACGGATAAATAAAATTTCTTCAACAGATTTCCTACACTACATATTTCACGATCATCTTGAATAAACCCCTTTTCCCCCTTGGCAGCTCTTCTAAGTAGTCCTTAAACATGGGTACTGATACGACGTCAAGCTGCATGATTTATGATATTTATGGCCCATCTCATGACACTGAGATGAAATTTACTACGATATAGGGCTGGAATATCCAGTGACATGCTAGTTAAAGCAAATAAATACCCTTTATAGCTACAACACACAGCTTACTACTCTAGAGATAAGTCAAGACTCCACGACTATCGAGGCAATATACTTATGAATTATACTTCCGCCCGGCTACCTAAACTTCTACTTACTTGAAAAGCCCAGCCCCTAAAAACAAGTCTGCCTAAAGCTTATAAAGGGGCACATGTCACCATCATCGCTGTCCTAGATCTAGAGCATGATGGCTCCACCGATGATTGGATAACCCTAGTAAATCTGATAAGTTAGCACGGTTTCTGCTTTATGAGCTTGCTTGCTCTCCAACCTTCTCCGCCGATCTCCACCCCCCTGTATATGGTCGACAAGTAAGGGAGGATGTGAACTATAGAGCTATTGGTGACTTTCGGCTTACGGAGTTCTAATTCGACTTAAGGGACGTAAGTTGTAGATAAGAAACTAAATGAATAGATGTATACCTATCTGCAGGTAGGTAATATATGAAAAGGGGTAGTTGGGCACTATGATAGGTATTTACGTCGTCTGCAACCTTATAACTTATTTCTAAAAGAATATTTCTGATTATTATCAAACAGAACTGCCACGAAACTTAAAAAGAACGCTGTTAAGTACCTATAGCTTGAGTATCGTGTTATAGGACCTTTTCGTAACAATTATATAACATAGAATGAAACTCAGGAGGTTATACCGAAGCCGTAACACGTAATCAGATAATATATATTAGATAGCTACCAGCTTCCCCAGCTATATTATCGATTCTTTAATTATCAAGTATTACTAACTTATTCTTAACGAGTCGTTAAAAATATCATGTGGGCCATCTGGTCAACGTTCGAAAGCTATAGATTACCTACCTAGGTATCTATTATCTAGTAAACTTCAGTAAAATTAATCTACGATAACTTCCTAGCCGTAGGATTGGACGTGATCTCAAAACTTCTTTATACGCAACTCACTAGTCAAATTGTTTAGTGTTAAGCTATAAAATCAGATATCAAGCTTCCGGAAGCAAACCTCATGCTATGGTAGTAACAATGAACTGCACCACCAGATCTAGGATCTTAGAGGAGTGGCACAGAGCGATTTCATTTCCCTAGGGCTGTATATTACATTACATTACATAGGTACACTTACAACAAGAGCCTCAAGGTTACTCGTGTGATTAGCTATTTTATGACCACTAAACTATAACCCCCTTTCCACTAAACATGGGCCCGATATACACAACTGATATTCGTACTAGCTTATATTTGAAGGCCTTAAGAGCTTTGTTAGGGCTAAATTTTGAAGATCATAGAAGCTTTACCGCTTTTGCGTCAACGTAAGGGATGTTACTAGCATCTATCTACGTACTAAAATGAGTGAACTTCTGTTAAAATTAACTGCTACAAAGTTCGAGAATCTTCATCTGGCCGAGGTTAAATCCGCTTGACCCTTCTAGATGTTTTTATTGACGTATTCGGTTTGCTGCTACCAACAAGTCGGTACAGTTAATATTACCTAGTATCAAATACCTTAGGTATATGTCTCCTATTAAGGAGATTACCGCGTCGTCGGTAATACACGTGGCAGTGCCCAAGTATTTTTATTGTCTCTCAGGAATAAAATAATAAAATAATATTTATTTTATTTTATCTTATTTTATTTTATTCTAATCCTTGCGTACTTTCATTACCGCTCAAACCTCCCATACGATGAAAAATCCCGAACGCATCCCAAACCAATCCGCCGTCATCCCTGAAGCGACAACGACATGTCACATTTTCGCTTCTCCATGCGAACTGTTTTCCCAAGCCATAGCCCCGGGACGAACTTCCTCGTGACTTAGGTGTTCAATGGTAGAGAATAGATATATCCAATTCGGCCCAAGCGGGTCCTCCCCCCTGGCTCCAAGGCTCCCGGGATGCACCGGCCTCCCTTCCGCCTGGAACTCAAGGTAACATTGCTGCGGAGCCGCAAATCGCACCTAACGCCCCATGCCTATAGCGCAATATCAATTGAATACATAGGTAGGTACATAGCATGGACTGTCCGGAGTTTTAACACGCCAATACCATCTTGAGTAAAATTCTTGCCGAGCGCCCTTCCATTTTGGAACATCCACAGCCAGTAACCCAGATATGCCGCCGACAAGGCTCTTCTATACCCGGCCCCCTACCCACTCCGCTGCTCCTATTCGGGGTAAGGGAGATTAATTCTAGGCTGATTAGCTTCTTACTTTGCCGGTACAGAGAGTGACAGGACCCGCCCTCGCTGCCGCAAGTACACAACATATCGAGCCCGGCAGCATGGCGCTGGCGCGATGCTCCATCAAAACTGTATCGGTCCATCTACGGTGTAATCGAACCCGTGGTCATGGATTTGGTAGTTTGGGAGACGAGATAACTCCACTACTCTAATGTCGCGTGTGATAATCCATAATTACTCAACTGTCCCATGAATATAACGACTTTCTAGAAATTAAGAAGGATTCCCATCACGATCCATGGTCCTGGATCAGATTTGATGTCGGGTCTTTCGGCGCGTTGGGCATCATGCTATGTAGAGAATACAGACGGACAGACATACACAGACATGGTTCAGGCGGCGGTGATGACCGGGCAAAAATTTGCGTGCGAAGCCGACAGGGTTGACGATGTCGACACGAGGCGGTAAGTTGAATCGAAGGCCTAAGCAGCCAGCCTCGCACCAACAAAAATACACATAAACAACTACATACATACATACATACACGTACAGCGGCATGCAGGGCTACGGACAAGGCGACCCAACCATTCGAGGCGCGTTTCGCAGAAAGCCGCAGCTAATGAGCGTCCCGCGCCGGCGGCTCACTGTACATACATACGGATTACAGTACATGAAGAATACCGGTGTAAATCCGGGGCAGTACACTACAATTTTGACAGGTCTAATCGTCGCGGCGGAAACCAATCAGCGCGCGCCATAAATTAACTCCGCTGCAGGTCGGAGCTTGCGGTGTACATAGTGTAGCAGTGGTGAATACCGTACCTATCAATGGTTCCCCAGTCCCTGTGTTACGAAAAGCATGCGCCGCATGCGCCGGCCGTCACGAGTTACGGCAGTTGTTCGTGGTAGTTGATTGATTGATTGATTGATTGATTGACGGGATGCTGCGCTGGCTGCACTTATGGGATGAGCTACATACTCCTTTCGTCTGGCCATCTTACTTAACGCAGGATGTATGAATGTACGGATGTATGTACATAGGGACCAGCACGGCCAAACCATGCCATTACATAGTATAATATGTAAATTACGAGATTAAGATATCGAATCCTACGCGGGATGTTAGGAACGGTTTCCCGTCCACCCATCCCGCCAGACCGCGACGGGAAGATGTGATGCTTTTATTGGCGTGCTCGTGTTTAAACTTCTGACGGGAACTTCTCCATTCCAGAAAACTTATATACATAGTTGAAGTGGCTTTCCATCTTTCCATCTAGGGGTTGGGGTTTTGGGGGTCACCCACTTACTTACTGACCTTCCCCTTTCGGCAATAAGTGGCAGGTTCGAGCCATTCACGCTTCTCACCGAGAGACATCTAGAGACTAGTATCCCATTGAGTCCCAGACATGGGTCAAAAAATGTCTCCACTGCCCGAACCCTCAAAAAGAATATTTTATGCAATTTATGCTTATTTTAAAATCTTATTTTTGGTAGCGAGCTTGATATCGTGATTCTTTGAACTTGTTTGGTTTAGTTGAGTGGATACAATTTTTGACCCATGTCTGGGACTCAATGGGATAAGTGTTAGACTAGGGGTAGATTTCAGTGTGGTCTGGTGGTCATTAGATAAGTTCGAGCCATAGCAAACTCACGATATGGCACAATGCCACATGGGTTGGTGCCATCGGAGTTACCCTATCTCGAGGTCCCTGCATGAGCCCTTTGCGTACAACTGTAATAGGTGCGTTTCATTCCTTTGCGGCAGAAGGATTCATTATTAACAGAATCCCATTGACTGCGGTCAAGTACCTGGATGTCTGCTATGACTGCCCACACACAGGCATATGCACGTTTTCAAATCACTGGTCGGTTATTCTTAGTCGTATATTTAGATATAACTATGTATTACACTAACTAGTTAGTAGATATAGACTATTGTTTTACATATGTCTACCGAATAACTATTTAGGCGTAGTTTACTTATAACTTGGCTTAGTTATTATAACTAATAGAAGTAGTTTAAGCTTGGGCACATCCTTATGCAAGGTTAGGTACTATTTGTGGTGTTTCTGCTGAAAGGGTGATGACCTTACAGAAAGAGAAACAGGGCCTGTGTATAACGCTTATCTTCAAGGCGCGGGAGGGATCAACCGCATTGCGACAGTAAGCACTCCGCAATGAAATATTATTCCAATATTTCTATTTATTTGAATTTATCTCAAGATGGAAATATGGTTCCTCAGTGTTCAAGTTTCTGGTTGAAGGAATAGAACCTCGCATTTCGCCAATGTACCTGAGTGGGGGAACTTCATGTCCACGTGGAAAATAAGCTCCCTTATCTCATCCCATTAGCAAAGACTATTAGCTACCATCCTACTCTATGTATACGTAGTACTTGTGGGTGAATATGTAGTTACCACGAGATCGAAACAATCAATCCACAAACTGACCCGATCACTCGGAGTCGTGGTTCAAAGACCAACTTCTCCATTCTTCATCATAAGATCGTAGAATGGAGCTCATCGTACCCACTCATGCCGCTGTGAAGTAGTTGTAAAGTCCACCAAAGCCATGGCCTCGGGTCGATATGCCCTCATGTTATTCAACTTACTTGGCGGCGGGCTTCAAGCGGTCCGCAATTCTAGCATTCTCCGGGGTTGTCTCCATACGAACAGATCAGAAACACCAGAATTGGTAAATTAAAGCGTCCAGAAACACCGACTGGAGCTGAGAAAGTCTCTTATGTCCGATGGAGATAGGTATCGTGGTGGAGAACTATCCGAGAGGTCGATTAAAGAGCCTATCAGATTTCAGATTATGCGAAGCAGTTGCTACGTAGTACATATGTGCTGGTCAACGCCTTACGAGCTGCAAGGCTGCAATTTCGCGTCTCGGAGCTCCCTTGTGATTGCAAGGTTTCGAAAGAGCAGCTAACACGGCGTATGTATGTAATAGTTGCTACAGCGTGACTTCGAGTTTATGCTAGCTTCAAGACGCGACGTCCTCACACAAGTGAATCTCCTTTGGGAATGGCGTCTTCAAGTCATCAATGGGCGATCCATAACATTCGCTATGACGAGGTTTCAGGGGGCCTCGGGGCAACGATAGCGTGATTTGGTGTACATACATAATGGATATTGGGTCAGGCGCTCCGCTTCGCGCGAAACACCTAACGCCAGGGCTGTCGGCGAAATTCCTTCTAGCTGGTGTCCTAGTTCTACATAGGTAGCAGGGCCGAATGCTTCGAACTTCCTTCTAGAAGGACCAGGCTGTATGGAGCGACAGAGCCCGGTAGTTGAGTTCGGCTAAGTTAGGCGGCGCTCGCTCGGTAACAGCTAAAGCCTAAGAGAGTCATGGCGACGGCAGCGCGTTCGAACTGGGAAACGCGCGCGAGTCAAGAGATTGGCCGGGGGTCAGACTATGTAAGTTGACTAAGTTGACGATGCCCTGCGCCGGATGCTCACCCGTCCCGCGGGAACGCTAGAACGTCTGAGAGCCCGCTGGTGTCATTTACCCCCGAGCAAAACAGGATATGGTATTCCAATCGTCCCAAGCACAGATGCGTATGGGTTAGGATTGATACAAAGAGAGGCCGTGCGTGAGACGGGGCACTATGGTACCATAGTTTCGTTTTTACGATACGATAATTTGAATAAATAAAATAAAATAAAATAAAATAAAATAAATAAGAATATTTATTATTTTATTATTTTATTATTTTATTTCGAATATTTACTTCCGTCGCTGGGACCTACTGTATGTACATCACTACGTATCTCATCATCACGACTAGGATACCCAGTCCCAGTCCCAGTCCCAGTCCCACGACTGACAGCGGGAACATTCCCCAGATCTTCTCTTCAGCTCAACGACATCAATATGTAAGCCTTCATTGATTATCTAAGTTGTTAGCCATCGGTGATAAGATGGAATTCTCGCTCTTGAGGTACCTAAAGTATCATTCTCTGCAGTACTATGTAAAATAAATGTCATATGCCCCTAATGGCCGTTACTTGTTTGCTATCCTTTAGAGCGTGATGATCGTGTGACATGTCATTCGGCTATCCCGACCAACAATAATTAGGGGTAATACCGTCGGGAGGTTGTTTGATATTATCGTGAGAAAAGGCCAAAAATAATAATAAAATGACAGATAAAATAAAAATAATCGCATGGGATAAAGGAAGTGGAAACGCGAACCAGGGGTACATGAAATGCTTCTCCACACTCATCATTTCTACCTAACAATATGCGAATTCTGGTTCAGAGCGTCCCAAGAATCTCCGCCAGTTCAGGAAGATCTGGAGCTCGAAACGATCACGGGATCTGTGCTTCCCAAGTCGGAAATCCAGGGCGTTGGTCGGTGTTTGTTCGCATTGTTATGATACTTAGGTACCTAGGTACCTATTAAATGCAATTAAGATGATGGACCCGCCGACACGGTGATTGGTTTGAAGCCCAACTAATAATAGTCCCGAGATAATAGTCCCGAGGTTAAGCAAGCCTATGGTGGACCATTAGTGCAACTGTGCCAAAATCAAGAAAATTGGTGGCACTATGTCTAATAGGGTAATAGTAACGTTAGGGTACAGTGTAGGCTCGATTATTTGCCTTGTATATACAATTTACAAGGTAATACGGATTATATAACTACTTTTTTTAAAACTAATAATATAATAACTTTACGAATATTTATTTAAATTTTTTTTAAAAAACATTAATATTTTAATTAATAAATAATAAAAATTATGGTTTAAATTACATGTGATTTAATTTAATATTAATAAAAAAATATTAAAAAAGTTATAAACGTAATTATACGGGCCGTTTTTTTTAAAAGTTTAAAAAATTAACCAATTAAATTGTTTAAATATTAATATCCGGGCTATTTTTTTATTAATCTTTAATATTAACCAATTAAATTAAAAAATTTTATTATTAATTTAATTTTTAATTACTTTATATATATAACACGATACATTTAAATAATTTTATAAAAATAATAATTTAAACGTTATAAATGGTATTATTTTAGAGCAACACTAAATCGGCAGTAGGGGGCGTAATATATCGGCAGTAGCCACGTCATTTAGCCACAATTAGGAGGTCACGCGACAATCGCATTGTAACTACATGTACTCCCCATACAAATTTACCTAGCAGCGCATGTATCTTTCATGCCAACCCCGCGCAATCTCCAATTTCTTAAAATATACTGGCCAGCCTTATTATCTAATCCAATAGCCTCGTACAACACAGCTTTCTGATTGGCCAGCTAAATTGGCCAGCCAAATTGGCTACCCACTTAGCTTTATATCATTTAAAAAGACCTTATTTTCAACCATTTTGCCTCGAAATGATTGCATGCGACCGTATAGTCTTTAGCCGATGCATGCACCCGAATAAAAGCAATAAAATCTTCCATGGAATAAAGAGATACAGGCCTTGTATTGTCATTTTAATCGACTTGATTGAATAAAAGGCTGGACAAGAGGCTGTAAGATAAGGTGTAAGATAAGGTGTAAGATAAGGTATAAGATAAGGGTATTGCCAGGTGGGCGGTGTGGGATTTAGCCAATAGGAGGGCGCGTATCTGGTTGAAAAGCGTTGTGTAAGACTTGTAGCGCATGTACAAGAAAAATGAACATAAGGTACAAAGAGATACTGGCAAAATTGTATGGTGGGGTACGTACCCATGGTTTGCCCCACTTTAACTGTGGCTACTGCCGATTTATTACGCCCTTTACTGCCGATTTAGTGTTGCTCTTATTTTATAACTTTAATTAATGCGAAAATAATAATTTAAATTACATTTAAATCGGTTTTTTAACTGTTATATTATAATAAAATTAAATAACGTTTATTTAAAAAAATAAACATGTAATACTTTTTAAAAATACGTAATACTTTTTAAAAATACGTGATATTTTTTAAAAACACTTTAATAAAATTATTTTAAACAAACTTTAAATATTTTAATAATAATATAATATTTAATATATATCGTATAAACATGTAATTTAATCCATTATTTTTACATTAATTATAATTATAAAATAATATTAATTATAACGTTTAAAATATTATTTTTATAAAGTTATTTAAATGTGTTATATGTTATGTATAAAACAATTAAAAATTAAATTAATAATAATAAACCTTATTATTTTGTATATAACGTACTGTACATTTAGCGTTGCTTATTATATTACCTTATTAAATATAGTGCCACCAATTTTCTTGATTTTGGCACAGTTGCACTAATGGTCCACCATAAAGCCGGATAAGCCTTGTTATCAATGCTATCAATGCGTACATACATATGTACCTCATATTTTCATCCTTGCAGTTATGCCGTTTCAAAGAGCATTTCATGATTGGTGGAGTTATTTCCTCTGAAGTCCATGGGTACACAGGTAGTGTTATGGATCTTATGTAATTGCGATATTCCCCGCCTAAAGGTCACAAGCCTGGAGAGCATTTCGTCATGTTTGTTTCTCTTTACTCCTTTCCCGGTAACAAACTGTTAAGGGGCTGACATCATTCGATCACATGTATTCCCTTATCTACCGAATTATCTAGCATCTGACAATAAGACAAACATGCCGCTCAAAGCTTAATGAGTTGTGCAACATAGTGCGGTTTTAAAGAAAACTATTGTTACTAAGTAACAATGCATACATTACCTAAAGTGCACGATTGTGTAGATCACCCAGACTTGCGAAACGACGTCATGCCGCGAGACAATGTCTTCAAGTAGAGATCGAGCCTCAATTGTCAAGCCACAACCAAACAACTACCTACTTCCAAAAGAGGAACCTACCCTAAACGGATGGGGCTGATGCTTTACAACACTCATACGCTTTCGTTGACATTTACAATTCGTTTATAGAAGGACAGGACTTCTCTTACAGCGTTACGGCAGGCCAATCTTTCAGGTTAGCGATGGCAGACAACAGCAAAGAAGAAAGCAAAGAGGAGCAGAAGAAAAGGCCGACAACCAAGGAGAAGCTCATGGAGGAAATCACCTCGCGCATCGAAGAATCGAAGAAACTCCAAGAGGAGTCCGTACAGCTCCACAAACAGGCCGACGAAGCAGAAGATCCCGGCGTCGCCGAGGATCTAAAATTCCGCGCTCAGGAGCTCGATATGAAAGCTGCCAAGCTGCTGAAGATAGCCAAGCGTCTTGAGTCTGGCTGGTTACAGGGTGGAGTCACTGGTGCTGGTATAGGGGTTGGGATTGCCGGCGGACTCGGCGTGACTGTCGGATCCTTGGTCAGCGGTTTAGTAGCTATTCCTACCACGGGAATAGGTATCTTAGTCGGTATGGGTACGGGCTTGGTACATGGTCCTTGGGTCAAGTTCAGCGAGGCGTTTAGTAAGGACGAGGTTGACGAGATAGATAAGGAAGCTGAGAAAGAGGCTCGTCGGATCGGCGGGGCTTAGGGCCAGTGACATTGGGAATCTGGGGAAAGGTCTCGTGTTTTAATGAGGGTACATTTAGAGCGAGAGCAGGTTTGGGTTTGACACGAATGGGCATGAGGCTATGCAATATTCTATCTATTTTCTAGGTAAAGGGTGGTAATTGGGTATATTACTTGGTTATGATGATGTCTACGAATTCGATGATACATTATGGTACTGATCAGAGGACACTTATACCCTATCGGGGCAACCATCTACTTGTTGACGGCTCATGTGCTTCTCCGTAGTCAGTTCGAATTAGTTATTTCGTCAAGCTTCTTAAGCCCCTTAAGGTTATAAGGTTCTTATCCATATATACGCTAAGCACCGATCCTTGGACTTAATAGGCTGTTCACTGCCTTGATGACGGAATAGTCCGCCCACTAAGTTCTTACGCAAAGACAGTTGTGGGTTGACTAAAATGCATAAGGTGTTTATCATATGACACTATCCTATGGCGCTAACATAGTTATCTCCTTCCTCCCGTGATCACTTTACTGTTCCTCATCAGCAAGTAATGATATAATGACGTATTTTAGCTACCTATAAGTTACATATGAGTACCTACTCTTGCTTTCCCGGCATTGGCATAGATAAAATTACCATATCATAATCCAGAGAATTTATCTCTTATGTCGTAGTAGCTTAAGAAGGAGGAGGCTACGGGTTTAGTTAAAATCGCGATAAGTATGAGAGCTGCTGGGTGCATTTGTCTCCTAAACAAAGTCAGATAAGCTTTCAATCCTATTATCTGGTGAGAACCTCTGGTTAGGAAGTTCAGGTATAGTTAAGACCACGAGCTAAGTGTAATGGTTGCTTCAAACTTCCAGGGACGCAAGCCCCTGATTGAACCGATACCCCTTTATATTTGACTATGAAACCTAGTTCAACCACGTCGTAGAAACCAAACACGATTTACCCCTAAGGCTCTATTTATTATTACTAACAGCCTCTTTATGCCCGATCATGCTGATAATCGCTACCAATGATCTCTCGGTAATCACTAAGAAGCCCTACTTGCATATTGTTATGATTTCAGCATCAGGGGCAGCGAGGAATGTTTACTCCTTCGTGCAGCTTCAATCGGCGCTCATTTTTCTCTAGAGATCTATTTAAATCTATGTCGCTTCAACTCTCTAGGTTATAACGAGGAATGAGATTAATAGGTAATGAATAGGACAGTGCAGGGACTGGACCCCTTTATCAAGCACTGATTTTTTGGGTTACAGGGGTTCTTTCTCGAGACGACTTCAGATGCCAACTCGGAAGCATATTGCACAGTCAAAAGGAGAGGTCAGTCGCCTTATCATGAATTACTCATATCTTGCAACACGACCGTTACGTTTATGTCGACCCAAATCGGTCGTTATAGTTAGAGACATGATAAGATGCTCCATAATGACCCCCGAGAGTAGTAACCTACCATGCATCAAAACATCTCAATACAAACATTCGTGGCCTAGCAGTAGTTCTAATGTGCCCCCAGTTGAAGCGACCTGTCACCATAGTTCATAACTCTCTCGTTACATGATCTTAGTACTATGCCGGCCGCCCCCTGTATACGAGACTTGGCCTCCTAGTTCAAGCGACGTTATTCTAACATGGCTAACAGTACCTTGACAGAGTATTCTTCTACTACAATAGCCTAAAGCAGGCAATTTTATGACGGCGTTAACACCACCGTTCGAAACGTAGGATATCATTACTAGGGGTTACAAGTTAAGAATCAAGGAACGTATAAGATATTACTTGAATATATCAGGACATCGGGATAACACACTAGTAGCGACTACGAGCACCAAGGACCAGAGAGACAATACTCAAGCATGATCCTGATTTCTCGCACTGAGTCTAACTACTATCAAAATCCATCGGACCCCCTTTTCCAGTTTCGTAGACTACTCTCAAGAAGTGTATCTAGGTGAATATCTCATTCAAGCTCCGTGGGCTACCGGGGCCTCATTTAGGATTAGGGGTAGGCAATTCCTTCCCGACATCTACTTCAAACAACTATCTCCGATGCGAACTACGTTGATATCCTCGTGTAATATTATACTTATACAACGTTGCAGCAGTTATATGTATTCTCAATAGACGTGTTGATTGGAATTACAGGAAAGCTGAATGGCTCTATGTTCGGTAGACAAATGAGCAAGACCCGAAACTAGAAACGCACATTGTACTTACGCATTCAGAAAGCCTACTATCGGGCAGACATTGAATCGAGCTGCGCCCGAAATTATTGCCATTCTGGCGGTGTTAATTGAAGCTGGATGTCTTCTACCCAGTTGCTTCGGTATAGCCCTCACAGACCGAAAGGTGCTGTGCGAGCCTTACGCTTAGTTAATACTTACGGGAATACGAGTGGCGACGCGGCTACTGTAACCTTACAACTGTAACCTTACAGCTTGTGTCCCGAATCGGCGGTTACACTAAGAGCTCAGGTGCCTGTCAGGGCTTGTCAGGGCCAGATCCTCCTCTCCGAGACATAATGGGAAGGCTGAAGAACACCGTTGTCCCGACAAATCTGTTGAGGGTGTGAAGACAGTTGTCAAGGCTGAGTTGTCAAAAACTGTCTCAAATCGAACGCGTGATAGCATCCTACGTCCTTGGGGGGTGGCACCGAGCCTCTGAAACATTGTCCCGTTCCCACGAAAAGGGTGTGCTGACTTATTTCGGGTCTTACCCTACCTTACCTTACCTTACCTTACCTAACAACTGCCTAGCCGCCTCTCCAGATCTCGTACCGTTAATCTCCACGTCGTATGGCGAGGCTCTGGAGAGGACGCGGGGAAGGATCATCAGACCAAGCACAACGGAGCCCGCGAACGGAAGCTAGGCCTAGCCTCCCCGGGAGAGCAATCTTGTGCATCGCCAAGACTAATATAGAGGTTTTGATTACTCTTAGTACACTCCATCATATGTGTCGCACGACTACAGACTCTTCACCGCCGATTACATTATCCGACCATCACTCGTGGTGTGTCAGTTGCGCCGTTGGCCAGTTTAAGACAGGCCCCTACGAGTACCGTAGAGGAAGAGAGCCGGGTTTACCTAAGACTCAACTTACGCGTCTCAAGCACACATGAGCGAGCTCAGGGCTGTCGCAATAGCGCAGGCCTGCGGCACAGTTTGATCACAATCCAATAAGCAGTACCAAGTAAAAATAACGTCACTAACGGAAGCTATTCAAGGAAGAAGAAATGAATCTGGCCCGGTCCTGGCTAGAACCATCTAGCTATCCATCCACCAGTCTAACTACGACGGCCTTTTGACCCAAAAGCCAACGCAACGGTATGTAGCAGCCACGGAGATATTTTTGACAGCCAGCTAGCCATGGAGTGTCGTACTTGATGATGCCTCGTGAGTGCCATGCCGTGCCTTGTTCCTGGAGACCATGGGGGAAAGCAACCCTCCGCATCGGCAAGCGATCCGTACCCCAAGCGTTGGAGAAGGAGGAGAAGAAAAAAAAATTTCAAAGAAAAAAAGGATAGTGCCCCCCCCCCGCAGCGAGACTATGACCTTATGAACCCTCGTGTCCTCCTCGCCGGCTAAATGGCGCGCAGTCGAGGCGTGCCGAGTAGATTTAACCGGCGAGTTTACCCAAGGCCCTGAGAGCCCGTCGGGACTCCTACGGAGCAGGGGGCGGCAGCCCGCCCGCCTTCACAGAACCCTGGAACCGATCTCCCGGGATCTTTGGGACGGAACTTACGGGGAATTATGTAGGGGCGTGCCGCTACGCAGCCAGCTAGTTCCGCCGCGATGGCTTTTTTTTTTCGGCTGCGGCAATGTAGGTATCTATCGCGAACCCGTTAGCCGGCGAGTTTACAACCACGAACGACCCAACAGCCTAGATCCAAGGCAACTCCAGGGGTTGGCGACTATCCCCCCTTGGGTCGCCACCCGAGGAGATTAGGAGTTCCATCAATATATATATTAATTATATCTCCATAAAATAGACTACAGCCTACAGGCGACGTGTATGTGCAATACGTGCGTAGGGGCTCCAGAATATTTCTGGGGTGCATGAAGTTAAAAAACTTGTTCGGTATGACGGCCCCCAGATCTACACCCGTGGTACGCCAGCCCACTTATGCTACGACATGCCTCATCGTCATTATATTCATTTATTTCTCATTTTTATTTTTATTTTTTCAAAAAATCAATTCATTATTTCTTTTTTTCTACGGCCTTCATCTTCTTTATTTCTCGGTGTGCAGGGTCATCGTTGATGGCTGAATGGTGAGACGGATCTGACTAGAGTTTGGTTCAAAGATCTGAATTTGGAGACATCCCTCATCTTAGTCTCCTTACTTCTACCTACCTACCTATCCTTACCGTATTTGACTACTATACTAGAACAAGACACTTGGAATAAGACACTTTTCTAAATTACTGTTGTAACGTGACTCGTCCTACGCCGCGGTGCCGAGTGATAGAGATCCCGCGTAACCGATTCTTCAAGACTGCTGTTGGTAGACGTTGTGCAGTTTACTAATTATATTCACTTGGCGGAGGATGATGGTACACACTCGGTGATCGGTGATCGGTGATCGGTGATGACCACGCTTATCCTGACTCGAAGCTGGAGTTCTGCCTGAGACTCTTTCTTACTGACGATCGTAAGAGGCGTATATGGGATTGCACATACGTTCCTATTCTGTTTAAGTGACAACCCTGCCTTAGTTTCACTACAGGATCGGTCATTTCGGGGGCACTACTATAAATGGTATACTTGCACGAGTTTCTGCATCGCGTGACCCCAGGTCTCAGCTACTCACATATACGATCGCGATAGCACGTCGTGACAAATCAGAAGAGACATTGTGCCTGGGGCTAATAGGATTAGTTTAGGAGAATGTGATGCTAGGAATTTGTTCTTCGTTTCTAGAAGTCGAGATTACTCGTGGCTGACCAGGACCTGGGTTGAGAACTATATCGGATACTAGTATTGCAGATACCTACCCTAGCTTCCCCACGGAGTAGTTAGGTACCTACTTACTATTCCTGAGACCTGCTATTTGAATATTTGCCTCGGCCCTTGAATAATGTCCGCCGGTCCGAGAATCATTTGCATGTGCTATAAACGCAACCAGCCGTTTCTCCTTGTATGCGACAATGCGGCTTGAACCCTTTTACCTCTACCTGGTTTAAACGGAGAAATCAACCCGGACTATTGCTAGTCGGCGACTTGTAAACACGGTGGTGTGCATGTGCTTCGGGGTGCGTCAGGATATGAGCAAGTGCAGACGATAGTCTATGTACAACCCGTCTTAGAATTAAGAGTTGAGCAGATAGAGAATTGGAGCGTACCGAATTTCGATTAACTTATACGCTATTTGCGGGAAAGCCACGATCTATGGCGCTGACCAGATTACACGATTGGTCATGTTTCGCAAGTCATCTCGAAGAAGTACGTTGGTAGGTAGCATAGGCCAACCACAACCCCTGTATTGCTGGCGCTGTGCTTCCCACCTTAAATGATGCACAACGGCAATGGCGGTCTTAAAGAATAATCGAATAGTTGAATAGGTAGTTGAATAAAAATGCTTCTTACTTCTACTTGCTGACCGAACCCGGGTCTGACTACGCCCGTGGGGGCCAATCGTCTTCTTCTCTTTCCTTACCTACCTAATACATTCATTTTCACTAGATTAAGGAGTAGGATGAGGAATCAACTATAGAAATGCGCGGCTGACCATCCGGCGCAATAGCCCTTGAAACTAGCTAGGAATATGGTGTTGCCACTTGTGCAGTTGGATCTGACTATTCGAATTAACATGATAAGGGACGGCCCGAGTACATAGCAAAAACACTAGACACGCCCGTGCCGCATGCTGTCAGCAGGGTTGAATAGACTTCTTCTAACATCGTCAGATAGACTGATCCCTCATATTACCCTCAACACGTTGTGTTGGCGAAGCAAGTCTGACGGACGCCGGCCATGTCCAGTAGCCAGATGGAAATTCACACCACCAATCTACTTCATTACCAAGTCAACGTGAGGCAGATTCGTCAGCACAGCAATTGGCCTTGGCCTTAGCCGTCAGCATCCGTATGACCCCGCGAATGGGCGAAGCCTTTCTCTGGGGGGTGGGTGGGGTGAAGGCTGAGCTGAACGTTGGAATTCCCACGGGGATGGCACCCTCACAACGTTCTTCGTAAGATGCCTAGCGAGATAAAACTGCAAGAAATGTTGGCGAAATCTCACTTATGTGTGAATTCGACTATTAACAGACTACCTATTAGCAGACCAGCCGCCACACCCGCGTACCTATGGGACCCCGAGCTAAATTTGTTCGGATTCTTCACGAATTACCTGCCGATATCCTCCGCGTTCTGCCTTACGTGGTGATGTGACGATCCCGGACTCGTGGTCCATAGTCCTGAAATTTCAAACAGACAACCATCCTACGCCGGTTACCTAGAACGATGAGGGTTTTCCAGATATAAAATTAGACCGTGGCTCGTGTAACCACCACATTTCGCTTCACCTCATTATGGTATTGGTCACCGTGATCATCTGTATTACAAAGATGATCCAACTCCAACTACGTGTTACGTTGGAGTTACCTGGATGAACGGGGGTAGAAGTGATTTAAAGACTTTCGCTGGAGACCAGGGAGAGTCTTACGATGCGTTGGCTAAGTCCCAGACCTACGTCTCTAGGATTGTACACATAGCAAGTGAAGCCGGGTTCCTTGGGGGAGGTAGATATCACACTCATAGTTTCTGGTCCCTTGTCAGGAGAGAGGCAGATGCCCACGATGCTTAGAACACATTGTAAAATGACCCAACGATGCGGACTAGAGTGCTACACCCGGCATCGACAGCACTGGCATCTCGACTAACATATCCACTCTCGTCACGACGCACCGCTGCGAGATAATCATAACCTGCGAGATTCTAATTGCGGTTCTCGTCGTCCCTGGACGGAAGGAGGGAAAGGGGTCCGGATGGAACACTACGAAACAAGAACACGTCGCGAGAGGCCCTTTCGTATTATGTGAGAACATACGTTGAGTTACAAGAGTTTATAGAAGACTACCTCGCAATAAAATTAACTCGCCTGTTAGCAGCAATCACGATGAACAGGTAAGCACGAAGCACATGAGAAAAGGGGCCCAGCGTTCATCTGAGGGAATCCTCGGTTGTTTGCAGGCAGCTCGCGTACGTAATAATTGCTGAACAATATTCATGTCACCCGTCTCCTGGAGCGAAAGGACCAATGGCTGGTATGCCCCATGCCGTGCCGAAAGAAAGAGAGCTCTCCGCTGCAACACCACACACACGGGTTCATGGTCCATGGGGCACGCAGGTCTCGTTCGCACAATAATTCCTAACTCATCTCGCTGCGCCGTAACACATCGAGAAATCGTGTTTTGCGGAGAGGTGGTGATCCCCGAGGCTGGATGATCTAAGCGGGATCCGGAGAAGTATGGGGAATTACTTGCCTCGTACGACGGGTCTTAGCGACTCTTCTCTCTCCCATGCTCACTTGCGACGTGATGACGCGCAGGAGGGAAGAGAAACTCGCACGGCATTAGTGGTATGTATGTAGGTAATAAGCTTCACATACCGACCTTGTCTGATTCTTATGTATCACCGCATATGACCCCGTCCCTTTTTTATTATTTTTCTGCTGCAGCTGCCGAGAGGACGATATGCAGTTATGCAAGCCCGCACATGTGAAGAACTGCTCAAGTCCCACGGGATGTTTGTTACATCCCCCACGGAAAGGCACTCTCCCAAGTTAACGGAATGCCCTCATGTAAGTCTCGGGCGCAAATTAGCGGAACATGACCACCTTTCCTAGGGAGATGCTGTAGAAAAAGATATTACCTAGACCTAAAATTAAAATAAACGATTCAGGATGAATAATTATAAATCACCTCACGAATAATTCCCCCTTGTACATAGAAGGATTCTTTTCGACAACCCCACGTGGCATCCTCGATGAATTACTTACCTACTCCTATCCTGTGAGGATCAAGATCCAAGCCAGCTGTTCGTTGTTCGTTGCTGTATCATGTACAGCGAGGACCCGGGTTGCATCCCGTCGTCGTCGAGGACCTAGCGGGTTTGATAATAATACTGGCGGGTTACAATTTACAATTTACTATCATGCACGCAATAGGATATACATGATGTACTATGGGTACTCATCAAAAATCGATATGATGTGAGCAAAAACTCCGGAGCCAGCCGGAGAAGCCGTATACACCATATCGACCAATCCGATCCAAGGATTGGGGGAACAACTGATCCTCTCGAATTCACCAGCGGCGCAAGACCCAACATCGATATCGGATTCTAAGATGGCCATTCTTGGCGGGATTTCGCTATCGGCTACAGAGAGGTACATAGGTAACAACCACTTTCACCTAGGTATCGGTTATCATTAAGCTATCAGGTTATCTATGTATTCCTCCAACCCCGTTGAGAGTTGCGGGCGATGACATCATAAACGGCCAGCAATGTTAAATATCATGGAATTTCACTAGATCGACGGCTAATCGCCATTCATAACTACCTGTATTGTCGTCCACCCAGGTGACTCGCTGACGCAATGAAATCTCTTGATACCAAACTTTTTGGACAAAGAGTCTATTCTCGCATTGAGTAAAAATACTGAGATGTCCTGATGAATTGCTACATATGTAATAATATGACCCACCATAAAGGCCGTCCCGTCTCCGTCTGCCCCCGATCTGGGACGTAATCTCGATGAGCATAGCTTAATTCGGACCGGGTCTCATCAGTTGTTCATACCCAAGACAGGTTCGATCTCGAGGAGCATCCCCGGGATTTACATTTGTTAGTGTACTCTAGGTAGGTTGATATGGAATCTGGGGAACGGTGCAAACGGGTTTGCCGCTTCGGGGTCTGAGACTATTTCATCGTTCTAGTGACATAGTGACATTTCTGATTCACCGCTGCGATTTCTGTAATCGGGTATACCTTTCGTCATCGGGGCTGACGCCAGATCCCTTTTGCGCATCCGTCTATC